GGATGTGTGGAATCAACCGGGCCAGGCTGGGGCCGACTGGGGCTACCCGGCCCGGGCCGACCCGGTACAGGTGGGAATGGGGCTTTTGATCCGCTTTGTGGGGGCCTGGTTTTCACTCAGCTGAGCTCACTGCCCGTGCAGCTTCGTGCGGTAGAGCCGCAGAAAAATCACTCAAATGGTGAATTAGGCACAAACGTTTAAACCATCTGGTTGATTTCTGGTATCGAACCAGGATTATTTAGTTTATCCGTCTTCCTGTTGTAGATTTGCTGCTTTGGAAACAACTCACACTGATGGTGAAGAAATATAATTTCTATAGCGCTGCGCATCTCAAGATAAAAATCACGAGGCGCTTCACAAAAACAAAAAATGTAAAAAATAAAAAAAGAATTTAGAAAATGGTTAAAAATATTTTTAAAATGAGCAAAAAATAGACAACTGTGATTAAAAATGTAAAGAAAGAAAGAGTGAACAGGAAAGAGGGAAACCAGTGGATCCTGAGGAAGGTGGAATAGGTGGGGAGAGCAGAATAAAGAGAGAGAGGTGAAGAAGGTCATACAAAAGCCAGCTTGAACAAGTGAGTCTTCAGTTGCTTTTTAAAGGAGACCACTGAGTCCACTGATCTCAGGCTCAGGGGGAGAGAGGTCCAGAGTCTGGGGGCCACAGCAGCAAATGATCTGTCCCCTTTGACCTTTAGCCTGGTGCTGCACAACCAGTAGGCTTTGATCACTGGACCTCAGGGACCTGCTGGGGGTGTAGGGACTAAGAAGATCACCAATGTAAGATGGTGCTTGTCCATGTAAGGCCCTATAGACCAGAACCAGGATCTTGAAATGAACCCTGAAGTTGACTGGCAGCCAGTGAAGCTGGAGGAGAAGCGGGGTGATGTGGGTGTGTTTGGAGGACTTGGTCAGAAGCCGAGCACAGGCATTCTGAACCACCTGTAGACGGTTCAGGGAGGTTCTGCTCAGACACGTGAAAAGAGAGTTACAGTAGTCTAAGCGTGAGGAGATGAAGGTGTGGAGAACTGTCTCAAGTTCAGAGCGGGACAGAACTCGCCTGGCCTGCCAGACTCGTCCTTTGTTTAATTCTGCACAGATGAAGAGTCAGGTGACTCGCAGGCAGAGAGACACTTGAGGGGCGGGACTAGCCAGCTCAAAAGCAACCAATCAGAAAAAAGACAGAAACGCCGACTGTACCACGCGATGCTGTAGTTTTTTTGCTGTAATCAAAAATGGCGTCTGGCGACAGCGCAAACATCTTTCTTTACAATTAATGCTTTTAGCGCTTCTACTTCTTGTGGTTTTAAAGACGTGTCCAAGTCATTTGGACCAGAGGAAAGAGCCACAGCGAACTCCGCTTCAGTCACCATGTTCTTTTAAAAAAATTGTTTTGTAAATATATTTATTGACTTTACAAATCCAAAAAGTACAGGTGATACAGAAAGGTTACTTTTTGCCCCATACCTCTTCCCCTCCCTTTAACAGATTAGTACCACCCCCCGCCCAAGCCGACCCGTTACATATTTGGTAGCAGACACAGAACTAACATTTATACAGTGTAATGAGTAGTGCTCTAAGGTTAGTGAACCAGATGCTTTAAGAAAAAAAATAGTAATTAACTCTTTACGGTGTCCTCTCTCTGTACCTGCAATTGGATTATGAGATTATGTTAATATACCTGTACACAGACATACAACCATACACATGCACACACCCGAAGAAAAGAAAGAACAAAAAAGGACATGAATAATTAGGGGGGGAGGCCCATCTGTGGGCCAAAAGAGGTATTTACTTCTTTTCCAACGTCTTTAGAGCTCGCATGTATTCTAGTGTTGGGTTCCAAATAGTCTCAAAGGTCTCATGGGATCTTCTTAAATTATATTTAATTTTTTCTATGTTAATAAACATCATAAGGTCCATGCAGAAGCCGAGGTGATTTCCAGCCTAGTAATATTATTCTCCGCGCTAGTAAAGATGTAAAGGCAACAACGTGTCTTGTTGACTTGCTGAAGTTATCATGACTCGGCAGTAGCCCAAAAACCCGATCATCGCTTTTGGCAGCAATGTGAGATTGAGAAACCGGGACATGTGATTGAAAATGTTTTTCCAGGAGTCAGAAAGGCGAGGACAAGACCAAATCATGTGTGTCATGTTTGCGGGAGATAAGTTACATCTGTTACATGTATCACAGACATTAGCATATATTTTGGAGAGTTAGAGTTGGTAAAATAAATGCGGTGAATTACTATAAATTGTATTAAGCTCGATCTTACAAGATGTGCTCCGATTTACTCTGGTGAGTGCTTCCTGCCACTCATCATCAGCCAACAGGCTACCCAATTCATCCTCCCAGTCCCTTTTAATCTTGTCTAATGTGGTCTCTGAGAGTTGGAATATGGAAATATATATTCTGGAAATTAGACCTTTTTGGAGACCAGGGATATCCAAGATCGAGTCAATCGCTGTAACTCGAGGGGGATTTGGAAAAATGGGATTATTCAGCTTGGCATAGTTACGAATCTGGAAATAGCGAAACAAATGCGACAGCGGGAGGCCAAACCTTTTACAGAGATCAGCAAAGCTACTAAAGGTAGTCGTTGTATTGATCTCTTAAGTTTTTAAGGCCCAGCCTATACGCCTCGTGGAGAAGGTGTGTCTACCCCTGAGGGTGTAAAGAGATGATTATTACAAATGGGACTAAGATTGGAGGCCTTCAGTCGCCATGTTCAACAAACTCGGTGTTATGGTGTGTGACGTACGCTACTCAGCGCTGATTGGCTTGGTTAGAATTCTCAGGGGGTGGGGCTATTTGAATAGGAGAGTTCCCAGACCCTTTCTCTGTGCAGAATTAACCAAAGGAGGAGTCTGGCAGGCTAAGGCAGAATGGGACTCAGCTTAGCAACGTTCCTGAGATGGAAGAAGGAAGAGCGAACAAGAAAACTGACATGAGAATCCAGGGTGAGAGCTGGGTCAAAGGTCACACCAAGATTCCTGACAGAGGGTGGTGTGAGAAACAAGCTGATCAAGAGAGCCTCTGACTTTAGAAACCAGGAAAACTTGTTTTCAGGAACTCGTGCTGATCCACCGCTTGCCCTGTGGGCCTAGTTCTTTTTCCTGCTTGTTTTCTATCGTTTAGGAATATCATTTATAGCCTTTCCCTTTGACATCCCTTTGTGATTGTAAAGCACCCTGTTATCTGCATCTTGAAAGGCACTATATAAATAAACTTTTATTCCGTACTTACTTATTTTCAAGCATAAACAATAGGTTGCTGGTTGTTATTGCTGAAAGAAAAGAGGGACATCACATGAACTGTTGTCCAGACTGAGTTCAGTTTCATTTCATGGTTGCACCGAGAGACCAATTCTGGTTTCGTTTCCTGATCTGTTGACCAAATTCAAACCGTTGCTGAATGCTTCAACAATAAAACATGGTTCCTTCAAGTACTTTCAGAATAAAGTTCCTAAAGACTGTGTCCCGAAGTGACGTGATTAGAAATGCCTTCCTGTAAAACTTGGGTTTTCTAAACTTTTCATTAGAATCAGTAGATGTGTGTGAGGCCAGTTTAGATTAGTATAGTTGATGCAAACGCACACAGACCAAGAACTTTGCACAGAATCCTTGCTAAAAGCCTACTTAAAGGGGCAATATGAAAGGATGAAGTAAGAATGACTTCCTGTGATCAGATTAGGCTACTACAGCCCATTTTCTAAACAAAACAAGTGACTGTCTGACTACCGTACTGAGTTAATGGCTGTTGCCAGTTACGGCTCAGCACCAGAAGATTCTAAATGACAAAGACGAGTCATACACAGTAAGTTGATGAGTCAAAGCATTTTACTGTAATATGTAGTTGCTGGTAATTGAAACTATAGCTTGAGGAATTTTTAGACCTTTGTTTCTAATTCACCGTTAGCATTGTTAGCTCAATGTTAGCTCAACGTTAGCCTCCAGCCTTCTTCACCAGATATTAGAGTGAAACAAAAAGATGCCGTGGCTTCTTAGGGCTTCAAAAAAAATGACATCTGGGCTGCCCTGGTTTGATGGCTTTGGTTCTTCATACAACTCTGTAGCTTTTTGCCGGCTGGTGTTGAATTACAAATGCCGGTGCTGCAGCGTTAGCTTGACGCAAACTCAGATTGTAAATAGTGAGTATGTCCTGAGAAGGAAATCTGTTTCAATGTAACCAACTGAAATGGTTTTCCAACAGTCTTGAAGGTCTTGAAGCTCATTGAGAGAACAGCAAGAGTGTGCAAAGCAGTAATCAGAGCAAAGGGCGTGAAGAAAATATAATATAAAGCATGTTTTCAGTTATTTCACCTGTTTTGGTTAAGTACATAACTCCACATGTGTTCATTCATAGTTTTGATGCCTTCAGTGAGAGAATCTCTCAAAGTAAATGATCATGAAGATAAACACGCTGAATGAGACTGTATCCTTGCATGCATGCATGCATATCAACAGTCATCCATTGTCTGATTTGACACAACACAGTTAATGTAAACCAAACCAGAAACTTTATTGGTTTATATTAAATAAGGAGCCACTGAGAACTGTGCCGATCCGACACAGCCGCAGCTTTTGACCACTCTCCTGCAGGCAGGTTGATGTTCGTTTGATAAAACGAAAAATATACGACACTTCCTACCTGTAGCCCCTTTGGGTTAAATTAAATGTTTTCATTAATGTTCCCCTTAGATCTGGAATATCTCAGCACTCCCTAAACACCATGATGCCAAAGCCGATTTGAATGGCACCGTTAAAAAACTAACATGAAACCATCTCCGTCCATCTCCCCTCCATTCTACCATCACTAAACATCGATGCATGTGAAAGTGAAACTGCTGTTTGTGTGTGTGTGTGTGTGTGTGCGTGCGTGCGTGCGTGCATGTGTGTGAGTGTGTGTGTGTGTGTGTGTGTTTTAAACTTTCATGTTAAAATGCCTTACTGGTGCTTTTATTTTTGAAACGCTGTTTGCACTTCCTCTTCTACTGCGCTGACTTGACACAGGCATGTATTTATTTTGAGGAGGTGAATCACTTTTGTTTCACTTTAGTCCAGTCAGTGTAAGGTGCAGTGAACTGAGAAGTGAACTGAGACTTGCCACCATGCAGAGAGCTGTTGTGTTGATCTTTATGGCCTGCTGTGCTCTTTCAGGTAAGAAGCGGTCTTCTTCAACCACTCAGTTAACCAAAAAGTACCAACAACTGTACACAGTTAGTGGTCAGTCATTACAATTATAGGTTGTACATGTATTGTTCAAGTTTTATTGTGTAAAAACTGTATTATAATTAATTTTATAGATGTTTGTGTAATATGTATGTAGGTGTAGTAACATAATGTGATTTGAAATGTTCTCAGTCAAACATACCATGACTTCCTGGATTGTTTAAACAAACATCTGCTGCCTTTCGATAGTCTCACCCGTCTGAGTCACATGACTGGTGAGGTAGATAAGAGCTGTTTTTTTTAGAGGACCAGTAAGCTTTGGCACTTGTACTGAAGAACAGTATTATTACACTCTAAAAATTTATGGTACATCTGTTAGTCATGTCAGGTTCACTTAAATTCAGCTAAGTCGTGCTTTTAAATGATTTGGTGTTATACTTTAATTCATCTTTTAAATAATTATTTTGCAAAGTTTTGTTCATCAGTTTTAATTCATGGTTTAGTTAATTATTCTGCATATTCACAAACAAAAAGGTCTCTAAGCCCGATTTAATCTAGTTCACTCTAAAACATCTGTTATTTTCTCTTTAACCCACTTTGCTTCTGCATCATCCAGCCAACAGGCTCAGCTAACTAGTTAGGTCTGATGACTGCAAAACTGAAAGAATCTCAAATGACCCATGTTGCAATGACATCTTGATTTCACAGCTCACAACTTGATAATGAGTGAGTAAAAGCATGAATGCTACTAATGTTTTCTGTTTATCTTTTTCATTGAAGCCCTCTCATTGGCCAAAGAGAAATACAAACCTTCTTCATCTATGGCACCAGCACATGGATTCACAAACGTACCTACCACCACTAAAATCCCAAAGCCACCCACCACCACCACTACAACTGCAACTACCCCCCCAAAAAGTACAAAGGCAACCACCACCACGGCTACAACCGTAACTACCACCCCTAAAACTACAAACGCAACCACCACCACGGCTACAACCATAACTACCACCCCTACAACTACAAACGCAACCACCACCACGGCTACAACCATAACTACCACCCCTATATCAACCACCACAGCTCCTACTCCAACCCCCCCCACCAATGTGACTGTGGGAAACTACACTGTACTGACCAGCGATGGCAAGCTCTGCTTGATGGCTACCATGGCAATACAGATACAACTTGTTTCACAGAAGGTACGTACCACTAAATCAAAAACAAACCCATTCAGAATATTTATGAGCTAAATTCTATTATAACAGTTAGATTTAAGTATTCTTGTGCACAGCCATTGATCTTTAACTTTGTAAACGTGGATTTCTAAATGCATTTCAGCACTGAGCGCTGAAAAAGTAAATTGACAGGTTTGTGTTTTATGAGGGTTAAATTTCTGTTTCCATGACAGCTAACTGTTTGTTCCATCCTTGTGTGAGTGATAAATGCTGATTCTGCATGGAAAAAGAGGCAAGCTTTTAAAAAAAACACCATTTTGTCTGTTTTATGTTTTAGGCCACTGGTAACTTCACCATTCAACCAAAGCAGACCAGTGCATCTGGACACTGTTCCAATTCCAAACCCAATGCCGACCTCACCCTTACCTTCAAACAGGGCTCAATCACCTTCCACTTCAACAAGGTTTCTTTTAATTCCTTTTCAGAGACATGTGCTTGTCCATGGTGTGGGTGATGGGGGTATCAGCCAGTGTTTCTATGATGATCAAGCAGCGAAAGGGAGTGACATCCCGGTAGCAACAGTTCAGTGTCTCAATGACAGATAATGATGTGCTTAGCTGATGATTTCGTAGAAACTAGAGTTTAAGAAAGAGAACATCACTAGGAAAAGTGTCATGAGCTGGTGTGTCATTGTTTCCAGATATGTGCTTTTATGCATGTGAGCAGATGACCAGTAACACCTCGACTGAACGTTAATAATCAGTGTTACCAGCTCACCAGCAGTTCACCGTTGCAGATTAGTTAAGGTACAATAGTTGAAGACTCCTCTAATATTTAAACTCTTCACTGTTCCAATGATCACAAGATAATCACGGGGTAGATGTAAGTTTTTTCACTGTGTTGGATGAGCAGTCTAAACACATACTGGTGAAACTGGACAGGCAGGCTTTCTTCCATCATAAACTTCTATACTAGTAGTCGTAGAACCTGTTTGGCTGTGCTAAATAAAATACTTTAGTTTTCTAAAAAAACAAAAACAATCATTTACTAAGAGTGACTGATTAAACCGTTTTTGTTTTTGAGTACAAGTGGATGAGCGGTGGTTTCTTTTGCTTTCTGCTCCTCAGAGCGTTGCTGATGGCACGGTCTTTGTTGATTCTCTCTCCTTCAGCGTGAATTACCCTTTAACGAATGCCGGTAAGTCTGAAACTCATGTAGTGATACATCTTTGGGCTCTTCTTCAGTGTTAATGCACCAATATTTTCATATGGGGTTCGTCAAGTTAGACACTTGGGAAACTGGGACAGGACGGGGTAGGCCATTACTTCTGCCAGCCCACTTTTCAAATGCCCCTTGGGTTGATTTACAAACCGTTCCATTGGAAATTTTATGTTTTTAACATGTTGTTTCCAGTATTTGATGTGATTACATGTAATATGTTCAACATTGAATAAATAAAGACAAAAGTAACAAAAGGGTTTTTAAAGCTCATAGCTTCCTAGTTTGAGAGGACATGTTCATCTATTTATAGACACAACCTGTAAGGATTCTTGTAAACCAGTGATGCCAGTAACAACCAGTCCAGCTTCAGAGCAATGCAGTCTAACACGTTTAGCTCCATGTGATCACATCTCATGACAATTTTAAGTTTAATCAATGCTTTGCTTACACTGTTGCAGGAATCAGTGCAGGCCATACACCATACACCGCCAGCAACAGCTCGCTCCATCTGTTCTCCGCAAAGATTGGGCATTCCTACTCCTGCAAGACTGAATCAATCTACATGGGAAATAACTTGTACCTCAGCGTTGAGAAGAACAAGATGCAAGCATTCAACTTCTCTAGCAATGATTTTGGCAAGCGTAAGTGATCTGGAGCCAGTGGTGGTGGCATTTGATGTTCACAGTTCATACACCAAACTAAACAAGAGTTGAAAGTGTTGCAGGATTTGAGGCAGCAGCTGCATTGGAGCCCTCTATGGCTTCTAGTGATTTTATGATGTTTTACTTTAAAGGAGTCAAAGTCATTTTCATGGGGACCAAATGTGGTCCTTAAAGGCAAGTTCAACACAGAAACGTGGAGCTTTGCAAAGCCACATATCAGAACAGCCACGATTAGCTTATTATTATTTCAAGATCAAATAAGATTCCAATGAAATTAATTTGATTTAAGTCAACTTCCTCAACACTTTTACTGAACATTTCTAATTTTAAATACTCCTGAGAAACCTGAAACTGATAAATATGACTTGTGGCTCTGGTAAGCCCAACAAGCCACATATCTGACATCTGCTACTTCCAGTTCTTCTCTATCCGGGCTCAGGCTGTTAGAGAAACAACTCGTGTGTCTGAATCGTTTCATCACAGAGCATGTTCATGTGCTTCTTCTCTGATGAACTCAGAGAAACATCTGATGGAGAACTGGAGCTGAGAGCCTGCATCTGCTTTTCTCTCGTCAGCATCAATCTTACTGAGAAATAAAAATGTTATTTTCCATGCTTGCATCTTGGTGCCTGTACGTTGGGGTTTACCCCAGTGAATGAGAGGGTAGCCTCCCTCTGCCTACGTGTGGAGGGACGGGTTCTGACTGTGGTCTGTGCTTATGCACCAAACTACAGTTCAGACTACCCACCCTTTTTGGAGATCTTAGAGGGGGTGCTGGAAAGCGCTCCTTCCGGTGACTCCCTCGTTCTGCTGGGGGACTTTAACGCTCACGTGGGCAATGACAGTGAGACCTGGAGAGGTGTGGTTGGGAGGAACAGCCCCCTGATCTGAATTCGAGTGGTGTTTTGTTATTGGACTTCTGTGCCAGTCGTGGATTGTCCATAATGAACACCATGTTCAGACATAAAGGTGTCCACATGTGCTCTTGGCACCAGGATACCTTAGGCCGCAGCTCGATGATCGACTTTGTTGTTTCATCTGACCTGCGGCCGCATGTCTTGGACACTCGGGTGAAGAGAGGGGCAGAGCTGTCAACTGACCACTACCTGGTGGTGAGTTGGCTCAGATGGTGGGGGAGGATGCCGGTCAGACCAGGCAGGCCCAAACACATTGTGAGGGTCTGCTGGGAACGTCTGGCAGAGTCTCCTGTCAGAAAGATCTTCAATTCCCACCTCTAACAGAACTTCCAAATGTTCCAGGGTAGGCAGGGGACATTGAGTCTGAATGGACCCTGTTCCGTGCCTCCATTGTTGAGGCGGCCGACCGAAGCTGTGGTCGCAGGATCGTCGGTGCCTGTCGTGGTGGCAATCCCCGAGCCCGCTGGTGGACACCGGCAGTTAGGGATGCTGTCAAGCTGAAGAAAGAGTCCTATCAGGTCTTTTTGGCCTGTGGGACTCCAGAGGCAGCTGACGGGTACCGGCAGTCCAAACGGAACGTGGCTCGGGTGGTTGCCAAGGCAAAAACCCGGGCATGGGAGGAGTTCGGTGAGACCATGGAGCAAGACTTCCGTACGGCTTCGAGGAGATTCTGGTCCACCATCCGGCGCCTCAGGGGGTGAAAGCAGTACACTACCAACACTATCTATAGTGGGGACGGTGTGTTGCTGACCGCTACTCAGGACTTTGTGGATCGGTGGACAGAACACTTCAATGACCTCCTCAATCCCACCGACACGTCTTCCTGTGAGGAAGCAGAGTCTGGGGACTTTGGGTTGGCCTCTCAAATCTCTGGTGCTGAGGTCACTGAGGTGGTTAAAAAGCTCCTCTGTGGCAAGGCTCCAGGAGTGGATGAGATCCACCCGGAGTTCCTTAAGGCTCTGGATGTTGTGGGGCTGTGTTGGCTGACGCGGCTCTGCAATATTGCGTGGACATCAGGGGCAGTCCCATTGGACTGGCAGACCGGGGTGGTGGTCCCCTTATTTAAAAAGGGGGACTGCAGGGTGTGTTCCAACTACAGGGGGATCACACTCCTGAGCCTTCCTGGTAAGGTCTATTCAGGGGTTCTGGAGAGGAGGGTCCATCAGATTGTTGAACCTCAGATTCAGGAAGAGCAATGTGGTTTTCATCCTGGTCGTGGAACACTGGACCAGCTCTATAGCCTTAGGGGAATCCTGGAGGGTGCATGGGACTTTGCCCAACCAGTCTACATGTGTTTTATGGATTTGGAGAAGGAGTTTGACCGCGTCCCTCGGGGGGTCCTGTAGGGGGCCCTGTGGGGGTACTCCGGGAGTATGGGGTACCAGGCCCTCTGATACAGGCTGTTAGGTCCCGTATGACCGGTGTCAGAGCTTGGTCCGCATTGCCGGCAGTAAGTCGGGCTCGTTCCCAGTGAGAGTTGGACTTCACCAAGGCTGCCCTTTGTCACCAATTCTGTTCATAACCTTAATGGACAGGATTTCTAGGCGCAGCCAAGGTGTGGATGGCATCCGTTTTGGTGGCCTGAGGATCAGGTCTCTGCTTTTTGCAAATGATGTGGTCCCGTTGGCTTAATCAGAACGTGATCTTCAGCTTTCGCTGGAGCAGTTCACAGCCGAGTGTGAAGCAGCTGGGATGAGAATCAGCTCCTCTAAATCTGAGACCATGGTCTTGATTCGGAAAAGGGTAGAATGCCTTCTCCGGGTCAGGGATGAGGTCCTGCCCCAAGTGGAGGAGTTTAAGTATCTCGGGGTCTTGTTCAGGAGTGAGGGAAAACTGGAGCGTGAGATCGATAGGTGGATTGGTGCTGCATCTGCAGTGATGCAGGCGTTGTACCGGTCTGTCGTGGTGAAGAGAGAGCTGAGTCAGAAGGCAAAGCTCTCGCTTTACCGGTCGATCTACGTTCCTACCCTCACCTATGGTCATGAGCTTTGGGTAGTGACAGAAACAACGAGATCACAGATACAAGCGGCCGAAATAAGTTTTCTCCAAAGAGTGGCTGGGCTCTCCCTTAGAGATAGGGTGAGAAGCTCGGTCATTCGGGAGGGGCTCGGAGTAGACCCGCTGCTCCTCCACATCGAGAGGAGCCAGTTGAGGTGCCTCGGGCTTCTGGTCAGGATGCCTCCTGGATGCCTCCCTGGGGAGGTTTTCTGGGCACGTCCAACCGGGATGAGACCTAAAGAAAGACCCAGGACATGGTGGAGGGACTATGTCTCTCACCTGGCCAGGGAACGCCTTGGGATTCCCCCGGAGGAGCTGGCCCAAGTGGCTGGGGAGAGGGAAGTCTGGGCCTCTCACCTTAGGCTGCTGCCCCCGCAACCCGACTCCGGATAATCGGATAAAAATGGATAGATGGATGGATGCTTTTTTTCAAAAGCATTCTTTTCTGTTGTGGTGAAAAAAGAGCAGGGCCAGAAAGTCGATCTACGCTCCTACCCTCAACTATGGTCATGAGCTTTGGGTAGTGACCAAAAGAACGAGATCGCGGGTAAACGCGGCCGAAATGAGTTTTCGCCGCAGGGTGGCTGGGCTCTCTCTTAGAGAAAGGGTGAGAAGATTGGTCATTCAGGAGGGGCTCGGAGTAGACCCGCTGCTCCTCCACGTCGAGAGGAGCCAGTTGAGGTGGCTCGGGCATCTGGTCAGGTTGCTTCCTTGACATCTCCCTGGTGGCGTTTTTCTGTGCATGTCCAACCAGGAGGAGACCTAAAAGGAGACTCAGGACATGTTGGGGGGTCTATGTCCTTGGCGAGGGAACGCCTTGGGATTCCCCGGAAGAGCTGGCTCAGGTGGCTGGGGAGAGAGGAGACTGGGCCTCTTGACTTAGGCTGCTGACCATGCGACCCGACTCCACATAAGTGGAAGAAAATGGATGGATACATTTTTCAAATTTTTTCAAATTATTCTTTTTTTTTGATGGTCAAAACATTTAATTTACTGGTAGCCATCAGCGTTTGAAGAACATTTCAGGCAACATGGCTAACATGCTTCTGCTTCTTCTACTCTCAATAATCTTTCTCAGCTGTTGGACCAGAAGATACGATGATAAGTGATGAAGATCTTATGGTGGGGCCAGGGCTGTGAACAGCATGTGTGCAACTCTGTTTCCTTGTAATCTGCATGAGTTGTTATTTCTTAAATTATGAATATGATTTTAAAAAGTAGAAAATAACGCCTCTAACTGGTTTCAGAGCCATGGACGTAATTATCACTTTAGAAGTGGGGGGACACGGGGGGGGGGTCTTTACAGTATGTTCTAATGGGAAACAGGCTTCAACACAAACAGTTGTTTTCCGCTTGGTCCTAGAGCTCAACCAGTGTCAATTTAATATAGCGTAATATTGTTTTTGGATGGTAAAAAGTGCAGGGGTCAAACCTTGACTTTGGAAAAAGTGGGGGGGCCATGTCCCCCCTGCCCCCCCCCCCCCCAAATTACATCCATGTCCACAGTTGTCAGCTGGAGATGAGAATATGTATGAGAATAAATTACAAACGGAGACAACTGTGAAGTGAAAGGCTGGGTGTAAGAGTGGTTCCCACTGGAGACCCAGAATTCTTTCATGTATCAGTCTTCATAAAACGGTTGTGTCCAAACAGTCCACTTACTTGTGTACTCCTTGTTTTCCAGCTGACCCCTGTCCTGCAGATCGCTCTGATTACAGTGTCGCCATCGCGGTGGGAGTGACCCTGCTGGTGCTCATTGTTATTGTGTTGGTGGTGTACCTGCTGGGCCGCAGAAGAAGAGCGGCTGGTTACCAGTCTCTGTGAGGAAGGTCAACTAAAGGTCTGGGAAATTTATGGGGCTAAGGAACTTCCACTGAGGTCTTCCCTGACAGGTTTCTGGTGTTGTTTTTGTCATTTACTGATGCTAAACTTGTTTAATACCAGGGCATTTGTTGGACTTCCAACTACAAGTAACATTAAATTTATTTTTAAATTTTTAGATATTTTTCAAATTGTTGAGATCAAACTCTGTAAAGACTCAGAAAATAAATGTTCAGAGACATTCGGTCCAGTTTTTGTGCACACTCAGGCACAATACTGAATATATAGAAGTCTATCCATTAATATCGTCGGATTAGGCCTGTAGTCAGCTTTATAAATCGACACTGATCCATCAAAACTGAATGGGAAAAAACCTGGTACATATTATTATCGTTCTCTATTCACCCAAAGACAAACACCGACTACCCATCCAAATGGTTTATACGAATTAGGAAGGTCAGGCTGAGGTGATCAGGATCAGCCCATGTCAACAGATTACAACGTGTGCATATTAGTCATTAATAGTAACGAGAACAGTGACTCGTGTGAATAACATTGAGTGGATCTTTGTCTCCTTAAACTTATTTTTATTTTAAACAATTCACAAAGAAAACTGCCAAAAAGAAGAGATCCAGATGCTGTTGAGCCCTGTGGCGTCTGACGTGGGTCTCCTCCGTGTCTGTTGGTGTCTCAGTTGCTGCAAACATCCAGAGGTTAGGCGAAGTTAGAGACGAGCCTTTGGTTCAAGGGCCATTTCTGAATTAGATTTCAGATTTCAGATTTATTGGCCAAGTATAAGTACATTTACAAGGAATTTGTCTTCGGTAGAGGTTCGCTCTCTAAAACATACAACAACCACAATAAACGAGAATAAAAATACCTAAAAACACATAAGAACATGTACACCCACACACATGTTCATTTACACACACACACATATATACATATATACATATATACATATATACATACCCACACACGCACGCACGCACCCACGCACGCACACACACACACACACACACACACACACACACACACACACACAGCCTGTGGCCACCTGGTTTTAAATTCATATTCTCAAAGGCGTTGAAAGGTGAGTTACTGTATTTTTATTGTTGAAGTTTGTTTCTCCCAAAGAAAATAAACACTTCGTAGTGATCAGGTAACATTTTACTCTGTTTTTAGTTAAGAAAACATGTATAATGCAGACACATTTTCACCTTTTGATATGATCTGGCCTTAGCCCACATCAGGCTGACGTGTATGTGGTCCAACAGACAAATCCAGTACCATAGATTTAAATGTCTCTTTAGTCAGGGTGTGTTTTGGTGTTGTTCACTTTTGCACTAACAGTACGAGTGATTTACCTTGATTGTGTTTGTAATCAACTTAAAGGGATAATGAAGAGATTTGGAAGTGATTATTGATTAATATTCATTAACTGCACTGATGACTATTGTTTTTGTTTATCTCTTAGCTTGATGATGCTGTTCTCTGGTACCTCTGTGGCATCACTGTCTGTTTCTCATGAAGGAAAAGTTACTGAAGACTACATATAATGACTAAATACAACCATAGTAACCGCATTCTGTCTGTGCTTATTGAGTCAGGTCATTTTCTCCAAAAAGGACTTTTCCATTCACAGTTTAGCCTGGTCTCACCTTCACATGGTGTCCATCATGTAGCAGTACCAACAAGAGGGACAGAAGCTTGTTATTAGCTGTTTTGGCAAATAAAATCTAATGTTTCTAAATGTTGTTGTGTTTATTTGTTGTGTTAAGGTCTGTGTGATGTTTTTATGACACTAATATAATAATTATATTGTTGTGATTTAATTATTATTATAGAATAATAATCACGGAGGACAAGGTTTTGAAATTAGCCAGACATCCATTTATATGATGTAATGATAAATGACCCGCACTTGTATAGCGCCTCTCAGAGTCAGGACTCCAGAGCGCTTTACACTACAGTGTATCATTCATCCATTCACACACACATTCACACACTGATGTGAGGAGCTACGATGTAGCCACAGCTGCCCTGGGGCGTGCTGACAGAGGCGAGGCTGCCGAGCACAGGCACCACCGGTCCCTCCGACCACCACCAGCAGGCAAGGTGGGTTAAGTGTCTTGCCCAAGGACACAACAGCAGAATTCTCTGTCCGGAGCCGGGATCGAACCTGCAACCTTCCGATTACTGGACAACCCGCTCTACCTGTTGAGCTACTGCTGCCCCATATTAAAGTTATTATGCAAACAGTCAAGCAGAGGAAGATTAGCTGTCTGCCTATCTATCTATCTATCTATCTATCTATCTATCTATCTATCTATCTATCTATCTATCTATCTATCTATCTATCTATCTATCTATCTATCTATCTATCTATCTATCTATCTATCTATCTATCTATCTACCTACCTATCTATCTATCTATCTACCTACCTACCTATCTACCTACCTACCTACCTACCTACCTACCTACCTACCTACCTACCTATCATTTAATCGGTTTAATCGGTTATTGCCAAAACACGATTAAACACCATCAGAGGAATTTTAAGGCAGTTAACTTCTTCAGCTGGATGCTAACCACTTTTTGCCAAGAAAAAAAAATCCACAGTGTTATTTTTTATTAGGGAAAACTTACCAAAAGATTTCAAGCAAAATGTACAAAAAATAATCTATTATACTTTTTCCTCCATACATTTTACATTTATCTGTATCGCAGGTAAGGATGTAGCATACTGTACAGGTGGCCAGCTCTTCCCCCCAAAATGTTTTGTTGCTATTGTTATCATGATTAATTATATTATATATTACACACACACACACACACACACACACACACACACACATACACACACACACACACACACACACACACACACACACACACACACACACACACACACACACACACACACACACACACACAACAAAAGAACGTGTGTTTAACGGGAATATTTGTAATTTTCCTTTGATTTGATGCCGCAACCACTTTCATTCTCAGGGGCACTTGATGACGTAACGCGCCTGCGCGGAAGAGGCGTCCGGGATCCTCGTATCCAGTAAATGATTAGTAAAGTTTGCAGCCGGAGTTTGACTCTGGAATTGTCTTCCTCGGGAACAACCACACGTCCGCTGCTGATACCTAATAATGGCAGGTAATAAAAAAGGCAGAGACTGCAGGTGAGAGTTGTCGGTTAAACGCTGAGGAAGTTAGGACGTTGTCTTCTACTCGCACCGAGGAGTCCTTATTGTCGCTAAAACGAACGGTGTTGCGCCGAAAAGAGCATTTTGGGCTAGATGTCCATAACGGGGCAGCTGTTTAGTAAATAAGTACTATTAACATGTTTCTTATCCATGTGCTTCATACAAATGATGGTTTATAAAACGATGGTATATAATAGGTTTTATTCAAAACATTAATAATAAAGCTATGAGTCACATTCCTGTTTTTTAAACCAAAAGCAAAATACTTAAGCAAGTAAAAAAAATTATGTAAGAAAATACTCACTAAAACATCATTCTCAAATATGTTCAAATAACTTGTCAAAAACTTAAATTATTTAATCATTTCATAATAATTTCTTATTTCTAGTAAAAAAAAAAAAAACTTTTTCAGGACAAATACGGATTACACAGCTATTTCAGCATGCTCAAAATAACTGTCAGAGTTGATTTCAACACTTTTAAAGTGTCTATATGGGTCCACCCCAGTAAGTGTTGATTTAACACTTTTTGAAGAGTTGGTACTTTAACTCTGATTTAGTGTTAGATATTTAACTCTAGAGGAGTTGGTTTTTAACACTAAAGTAGCCTACCAATTCTTCAAAAAGTGTTAAATCAACACTTACTGGGGTGCAGGGCCAGATTAACACTTTGTTGTACCCTGGGCAACAATATTCAAGGGCCCCATCATCACGACCCAAGGATCACCGTAATATGGTCACATACAGAATATTTTACTGTATGTAAATGTACTCAATACTTGAATGCCTGACATCACGTAACCCGCTCAGAGTAACCTTTGACCCACCTCGTGTGGACTGACCAATGAGGAGAGGGTCTTAACTTGAGGCCCTTTCTTCATTGGTCAGTCTGCATGAGACTGACTCTCAACCGCTCTCAAATGACGTTCAAGAATGTCTTGAAACAGCCGTGGGTGTGTGACTGAGTTTTGACGGTGATCTGAATTGTATCAGATGTATAAATATGACATGTGTATAGCTTATTGTTTTATACAGGTAAAAACGTGTAGTGGAGATAAATCTACCTACATTTTACTTTACAGACAGAGAGTGAAAAGTGGACATGTCCGGGGAAAACAGGACGTACGGTCACCCTGGTTTAATATAAAGCGGGAGATTACAGATACAGTATTTTGCTCGTGCCCTTGCTGCCCTGGGCCCTTTAGAGTTCGTGGGCCCTGGGCAATTGCCCAGTTGCCCATATGGTTAATCCGGACCCATATAGACACTTTAAAGGTGTTGAAATCAACTCTTGAGTTATTTTGAGCATGTTGAATTTGTTGTGTACACTACAACCAGTGTTAGTTTTCAGACTGTTTACGTTTATTTATGTTTATTTATTTGGCAGACGCTTTTATCCAAAGCAACTTACAATGTATGGCCTATGGGGCATGTTGTGATCTGTGTGTGTGTGTGTGGGGGGGGGGGGGTACCCGGGGGGGGGGGGGGGGGGGGACCCACGCATGCATGGGGGGAACACGCAACTCCACGCAGAAAGACCACAGCCGAGTTTTGAACCTGCAACCTTCGTGCTGCGCGGCAACGGTGCTGGCCACTGCGCCACCCATCGACATACATACGCCACCATGCAGCCCAACTTCTCTCAAGCGCTTCTCCTCTCACTACTTCTCTTATCCTCTACTGCCCCCTAGTGGTAGACACAGCAGGCAGGGCACTCATCAGGCATGCTCTCTTCAGCACAACTGTTACATCACATTAAATCTGCCTCCTACCAGTGTCACTGAATCAGCAGAGGCTAGCCTAGTTTATATCTTAAGCCTAATCTATACTTCTACGTCGGGATGGAGTCGAGCTCTAAACAGCTGTCTGACGAGACGGAAAACGCAAGCTTGTGATTGGTCAGGACGTCACTCTCGTCAACAGCACTGCCATTGTGCCCTCAAAAACATAAAGAGAGCCGAAGATATCTAGTGGTAGACACGGAGCAGCTTGAAGAATCCTTGGACCTAGCCCACCCACTTAAATATTGGTTAAATATTGTTGCTTTTAAGCTTAATATATTACCTTTACTTATGACCAATAAGCTGGGATATTCTATATAAATGTAGAGTGTCACTCTGATTGGTCTTTGAATGTTTCATCAGAAGATTCTAGGATTCGTTGCTTTTTCAGGGATCAAACACACTTCGTCTCAATTCAGACAGTCAGGTTTATAAAAGTTAAGAATTTATTTTCCAAACAATTAAAAACACGACAAGTTAACTAAGACTACTGTGATGGATGAATCTAAGTGGATGGGATGTGATGTATGGTGACTGAATGGTGCGTGTATATCAGAACCTTGTATCTAGAAGAACTGAGTTCTGGGTGTAAAAAAGGAATTTGGTTTGCATTAAACTATGAAGTTGATTCTTATCAAAACCACATCAGATGCAATTCATGCTGTCTCTACCTCGCCCTTTTTGGAGACCCTCTTCGCAGATCCGGAGGTCAGGAAGGTCAGATGACCTCTGGGCACCGAGATCCAGTAGATTAACCGCAGCACCGACTCTCCAGTCCAGAGATGTCGCCAGCCACAACAGGTTGGAACTATTTTGCGTCTAGAAGGACTCTTAGGGAGTCGGAACTGTATCAGCTTTGTTCTGCAGGAACCGTTTGCTGTGTCAGCTTCAGCGTGTAGCAGGTTTTTGACAGCTGGTCAGAAGATGCTCTGGGATAAAGAGGTTTTGCTCCCGATGGCCGGTCTGTAGCTTTCTCTAGAACTGAATCAACCCGGGGAGATTCTATTTTAATGATTCTCTATTATGATTTGTGTGGCCAATCGGAACGTGCCATGTTAAGAGGTGTTAACAATCAACCCTCAGAACATCAGATGGAAGAGCTCTGATTTGTGGATCAGGAAATCTCCATGTGTCATGACGTTTAACTTAACCTCGTGTCAGGAAGACATGCATGTGTGAGTGTAGATCACGATTACCTTGTCACATCAAACAATACTGATCATCATATAGAAATCTTTCAATGTAATAATAATCTTCATTTCAACTTCAGTAATTCAAGCACAGATTAATCAACCTTATTAATTTAAGCACAGATGAATCAAAACATTATTATTATTCATCAACCATATGATTATTTACATATTTCATTGCATCATATTCTCCAGTATAACGGTTCAGTCCATATTCTGTGCAGGACAGCCTAGATAAGCAGACAGGCTTGGCAGAGAAGAACCTTGAGAAGGGAACATGATGTTGACAATCTTGAGTGTAAACACGCAGTGTCGAATCTTTTCATGCAGCTTGGAAGATTAAGAGATGCACAGAGGCAGATTCATGTCTGTAGATGACAGGTCACAGAAAAGGTCAAGCTGTAGGTGAAACTAACCATTCCTGGATGTTACCCCCCCCCCCCCCCCCCCCCCCCCCACACACACCCCCCACCCCAGCCCCCTCACTCGCTCTTAGTGCCAGCCCCTAACGGATGAGGGTGGAACTGCCATTTTTAGCACTTCCATGTTGGGAGCAATGCTGGGTGTCCGGGAGCAACATACATACACAACATATATACCAAGTAGCATTTCTATGGCTACATTGTGATTTCTTAGGAAATATTCTATTTAGTGAGAGATAAACTTTTTTTTCTTTGTATTTGTGAATCTTAATTAAACAGGTAAACTGGTAGTAGCACATTCCATGTCAAAGAAATATAATGTTATTATCAGGAGAGGGAGAATGTTAAGTGGTTAGCAGCAGTGTGCTAGCCGACGGCCCCCTCCGTGAGGCTACCACAGCTCAGCAGAACATCATTGTAGCTTCTTCTTTAGATGGAGGCATGCTGGAGGCAGGGCAAGGGAGAGCTTCCTGTCTTTACCAACTGTATTCCCCGCTGTAAACTTCACCTCCCTCTACTCCCCCACTCGTTCAGATCTGGGCTAACATCAGATTTTAACCATAGGCCCTGTCAAATAAAAATGTTTTAAGCCTAGTCTTAAAAGTAGACAAAGTGTCTGCCTCACGGACTAAAGCTGGGAGCTGGTTCCACAGGAGAGGAGCCTGATAGGTAAAAGATCTGCCTCCCATCCTAATTTTAGATATTCTGGGAACCACCAGTAGACCTGCAGTCTGAGAGCGAAGTGCTCGGTTAGGAACGTATGGAACAATCAGATCACTGATGTATGATGGAGCTTGATTATATGTGAGATGAAGGATCTTAAAATCTATTCTGAATTTAACGGGTAGCCAATGTAGGGAAGCTAAGACAGGAGAGATATGATCTCTCTTTTTAATTCTCATCAGAACTCTAGCTGCAGCATTTTGGACAAGCTGAAGACTTTTAACTACATTCTGTGGACTTCCTGAGAGTAATGAATTACAGTAATCCAGTCTTGATGTAATAAATGCACGAACTAGTTTTTCAGCACCACTCCTGGAAAGTATGCTTCTAATCTTAGCAATATTTCGAAGGTGGAAAAAGGAAATCCTACAAACCTGCTTAAAGTGGGATTTGAATGACATGTTCTGGTCAAAGATAACATTTTGAACTTTTGAATACCTCAATTATTTTTGAAGAAGTAATTAGTAATTATAACTAGTTTATATATATATATATATATATATATATATATATATATATATATATATATATATATATTAGTATAATTTACTGACATTTGTTGGCCTGAATCTGGATTAGTTGCCTTGTACATTGCTTTGGGACAGCTGGTGTCAGGACCTGAGAGCTTTGGGAACAAACTGCATTGAGTAAAATGAACAGTCGGGTTACACCTGTCAGGTCACCAGTCCTTCACAGAGACATGCACACAAAACAGGCCCTCCTTTTCCTTCCTGTGTTGCCCGATATTAAAAGTACCCACACAATATTCCTGACTGTGAAATGCTGCTAGTTTCAGATGAAGAAGCAGTCATGGAGGAAAGCATCATCCCAGCACAGAGCCCTCTGGTTTCAGTCACGTTTCAGAGAAATGCTCGCAGGAAGGAGAAGTTCCTGGAAGCAGAACCCAAAGCTCTTGGGGTACGCTAAATGTGTAGAGGAACTTTTTCGGTGCACTCATGCTGCCGCCTTAATCCAACACGTAGTTTCTTTGTTTTTCAGATAGCTGAGATTGGCCTCAGTTTGTACACCATCATCTGTTTGGGGGTACTTCAGAGTAAAGGACTGAGTGACCCATCTAGTGGCATTCCAATTTTTATTGCATCACTGCTGGTAAGCACTATACTTTTAATAGTAGCATGTTGTTATTAACTTAGTAAATTTGTGGACTGGGACAATATGTCAGGCCTGGAGTTTGAAACCACATCAGGCCCCAACCACCACTACCCAATTAACGGAAAAAAGCTAAAAGTGATTGGACGCCTACTGATGAAAAAACAGTAAAACAACAAAATTAAGGCTTCACTTGCACCCTGTTTCTTTCCCATCCATCCATTGTCTTCCGCTTATCCGGAGTCGGGTCGCAGGGGCAGCAGCCTAAATCGAGAGGCTCAAAAGTCCCTCTACCCAGCCACTTGGGCCAGCTCTTCTGGAGGAATCCCTAGGTGTTCCCTGGCCAGGTGGGAGACATGGTCCTCCCAACGTGTCCTGGGTCTTCCTTTAGGCCTCCTCCCAGTTGGACGTGTCTGGAAAACCTCACCAGGGAGGCGTCCAGGAGGCATCCTAATCAGATGCCCGAGCCACCTCAACTGGCTCCTCTCGATGTGGAGGAGCAGCAGATCTACTCCGAGCCCCTCCCGGATGACTGAGCTTCTCACCCTATCTCTAAGGAAGAGCCCAGCCACTCTGTGGAGAAAACTCATTTCGGCCGCTTGTATCTGTGATCTCGTTCTTTCGGTCACCACTCAAAGCTCATGACCATAGGTGAGGGTAGGAACGTAGATCGACCGGTAAATCGAGAGCTTCACCTTCTGACTCAGCTCTCTCTTCACCACGACAGACCGGTACAACGCCCGCATCACTGCAGATGCAGCACCGATCCACCTATCAATCTCACGCTCCATCTTTCCCTCACTAAAGAACAAGATCTTGAGATACTTAAACTCCTACACTTGGGGCAGGACCTCATCCCTGACCCTGGAGAAGGTATTTTACCTTTTTCCGACTCAAGACCATGGTCTCAGATTTAGAGAAGCTGATTCTCATCCCAGCTGCTTCACACTCGGCTGCAAACCGCTCCAGTGAGAGCTGGAGATCATGTTCCGATGAAGCCGACAGGACCACATCATCTGCAAACACTGTTCATTTCCCCAACAATATAAATACACATTTACCAGTGTAGTCGGTGAAATAGAATAGACACCATCATCCACCTGAACAGGTACCAGACTAGTTATAAATGCCACTACTGGCTCAAATACAGAATAACACAACAAGCAGAGGCATACAATAAATGTTGGGGGGGACGTGATTTTCTGCTTTCTGGTGCATTTTAACAAGTTTTAGAATGATAATAATATGGTTTTTAAATTAACTCATGAGATACGTCAGATAAATTATCCCTGAAATAACACCAATAAATTACAGGAAATGTAAAATGTGGCCTATAGATGTTTTAACTCGAAACTCTATCAGATTTTCAGATAATTCTAAAACAAGGTCAAAATGCAGAAAAGCATCTCCAAGCCAACAGTAGTGTTTAAAACAATAGCTCAAAAGGTAGAGCATGTGGTCCAGTAGGGCTGGGCAATAAATCAAAAATTTATCGTTATCGAAATTTCTGACTCTTATCGGGATAATTTTTCCCATGTCAATAAATCTGATAATAAAAAATGAAAAGGAGTGTGTAGGTTGGCAGCGTTCATGCCCTTTAAGAAGCTGTACCTCCTTGAGTCACGTAAAAATGTGACTCAACGTAATTCATGTGACAGCCCCATCTAATGGACAACTTTTGATTCTGCGCATACCTGTAATTGTCGTCCATTTATGGTTATCGAGGTGAAATCCTCAATATATCGTGATACTGATTTTAGGCCGTATCACCCAGCCCTATGGTCCAATAATGGATGGGTTGGCTGTCCATGGTGGATCGATCCCAGCTCCTGTTGTGTCCTTGGGCAAGACACTTTAACTTGCCTATTGTAGCTAGCGTTGGGTACCGAATTCGGTACTTTTTAAGGTACCGACCGAATTCCATAGTACCGACCGAGCACCGATTCACGTCATTTGAAACGGTGCCTCGTTTCGGTACCCGTCCTTCATAACGAGAACTTGCCTAGACAGCTGCACATGTGCAAGAGCGTTATGTCGTCGGTCGCTGTGAGCCAGTTGTAAACAGAGCAGCATGGTAGAAAGAACGCACGCTAAAGCTTGGGTCCACTTCACTAAATGTGATGGGTAACTGGGTGATGATGAAACCAGCGACAACGATCTAAGTGAGACATCCTCATCTTAATCTGCTCCGGTAGCTAAATAAAATGTTTAAGATAACGTTAGCTTGATATGTTAGCTTCCGTTCCGCTAATGGTGCGTTCGCTTTCTCCTCGGCACTCCGAATTTCCGACTAGAAGAACATGAACGCGCTCTAAAGTTTGGCTTCACTTTACTAAATGCGACGGGTGATTGGGTGAAGATGAAACCAGCGACAACGATCTAAGTGTGAGGCATCATCGTTTTAATCTGCTCCAGCAGCTAAATAAACTGTTTAAGATAACGTTAGCTTGATATGTTAGCTTCCATTGCCACCATTGTTATCAGCTAATGGTGCGTTCGCTTTCTCCTCGGAAATTCTAACTTCCCAGTAGGAAAAATCAAAGTAAAAAGGACGGCAAAAGGAATGAAGATACACAGTAAATTTAGTTCACAGTAAAGATGTTTGCTTCAGTTTAATTATCAGCTTATAAAACTACAAGGACGATGTTAAAATACAAACAGTTGTATGTTATTTATCGTGATATTTATCAAATATGGTTTTAAATTGAGAAAATTATACATTTAATTATAAAAGAGAATTAAAATATTAAACACTCAAAAGTATCTAAAATTGGTACCGTTAAGTACCGGTATCGATTCCTAGGTACCGGGAATTAGTACCGAATCGATTCAAATGTCAAAGGTACCCATCCCTAAGTAGCGGTGGTGAAAAATGGCAGCCTCGCCTTCCCAAGGAAGGTCCTGCCTTTCTCGCCTCTGACTGGCTAGAAGGGCTCTTCTGTGATTGGCTGTTTCATGTAACCTTCCCTTGCAGTAGGGTTTTCATGTCTGCAGCCAGATCTTGAGGAGTCTTTTGAAGAAAATGTGAACTTAGCACTATAATAACCATTCTGTTTGTTGCAGCTTATTTTTTTATAAAAGAACCTGAAAAATGTCAAACGTGTACTTGTAATGACTCTTGTTGCATTTGATCACACTGTTAGACTGACCTTAAATCTGTTGGCTGCTAAGCGTTGGGGTTATATTTTACTATAGGCTATCTTATGTCTTCACATTCATAGGTTAAGGCTGTTTGCATGAATTAGACCTACTTTCACCACTTTTCACTGTTCTAGAAGAGAAACAGCCCTGCTGCACAATGCTGGGTAAAATATGTCAGTTTTATTATATTTCATACCCAGGTAAGGCACACGTTTATCCTATGTTCTCTGCTTTAATAAGATGACCTCAGTGCTCGAGAGCTAACAGATATAAAGTAAGTCCAACAGTGTGATTTATTATATGTTCACATTTTTACGTTTTTCTGTTTTTTAAATATAACAAACAGAAAATTTTTTTTAAACCGGACAAAACAGTTATCATAGAGCTGAGTTCACATTTTTTGTTGGTGGCAGGAGGACAGTCTGCACTTATCGAGAAATGACTGTTTGTTGCTAAATGAAATAGCCAATTGTACCTTTGCTGTTTTATCTAAAGTAGTTTAAATATATATATATATATATATATTTATGTGTGTGTGTGTGTGTGTGTGTGTGTGTGTGTGTGTATATATATAAATATATATATATACACACACACACACACATATATATATATATGTGTGTGTGTGTGTATATATATATATACACACACACACACACACATATATATATATATATATATGTATATATATATATATATATATATATATATATATATATATATATACATATATATATATGTGTGTGTGTGTGTGTGTGTGTATATATATATACACACACACACACACACACACATATATATATATATGTGTGTGTGTGTGTGTGTGTGTGTGTGTGTGTGTGTGTGTGTGTGTGTATATATACGTCCTTGAACCGTCACCTTATCGTGGTGGAGGAGTTTGAGTGCCCTAATGATCCTAGGAGCTATGTTGTCTGGGGCACTTAGTGCCCCTGGTAGGGTCTCCCATGACAAATTGGTCTTAGGTGAAGGGTGAGACAAAGAACGGTTCGAAGGATCTTTCATGGCGGTTAAAATGAAGAGTCGGAGTACCCGGCCCGGAGGGTTACCGGGGTCCCACCCTGGAGCCAGGCCTGGGGTTGGGGCCCGTGAGCGAGCGCCTGGTGGCCGGGCTTTCGCCCATGGGGCCCGGCCGGGCCCAGCCCGAACCGGATACATGGGCTCGTCCAACTGTGGACCCACCACCCGCAGGAGGAACATGAAGGGTCCGGTGCAATGCGAATCGGGTGGCAGACCAACGCGGGAGCCTTGGCGGTCCAATCCCCGGACAAGAAAACTAGTTTTTGGGACATGGAACGTCACCTCGCTGGCGGGGAAGGAGCCGGAGCTTGTGGCAGAGGTTGAGCGGTACCGGCTAGATATAGTCGGACTCACCTCGACACATTGCATTGGCTCTGGAACCCGAGACCTGGAGAGGGGTTGGACACTCTACTTTGCTGGAGTTGCTCCGGGTGAGAGGCGGAGGGCTGGGGTTGGCTTTTTGTTAGCTCCGAGACTCTCTGCCTGTGTGTTGGGGTTTACCCCGGGGGACAAGAGGGTAGCTTCCTTGCGCCTTCGGGTCGGGGAACGGGTCCTGACTGTTGTTTGTGCTTATGGGCCAAATATCAGTTCAGAGTACCCACCCTTTTTGGAGTCCCTGGGACGAGTGCTAGATAGTGCTCCATCAGGGGACTCCATTGTCCTGCTGGGGGACTTCAATGCTCACGTGGGCAATGACAGCTTGACCTGGAGGGGTGTGATTGGGAGGAACGGCCCACCTAATCTGAACTCGAGCGGTGTTTTGTTATTGGACTTCTGTGCAAGCCGCAGTTTGGCCATAACGAACACCATGTTCGAACATAAGGATGCCCACCGGTACACTTGGTACCAGGGCAGCCTAGGTCACAGGTCGATGATAGATTTTGTAGTCGTATCATCTGACCTGCGGCCGTATGTTTTGGACACCCGAGTGAAGAGAGGGGCGGAGCTGTCAACTGATCACCACCTGGTGGTGAGTTGGATCAGATGGCAAGGGAACATGCCGCGTAGACCTGGCAGACCCAAACGCATAGTGAGGGTCTGCTGGGAACGCCTGGCAGAAGAACCTGTCAAGACGGTCTTCAACTCCCACCTCCGGCAGAGCTTTGACCACGTCCCGAGAGCAGTGGGGGACATTGAGTCCGAGTGGGCCTTGTTCCACTCTGCGATTGTCGAGGCGGCTGTTGCTAGCTGTGGCCGTAAGGTGGCCGGTGCCAGTCGTGGTGGCAACCCCCGTACCCGCTGGTGGACACCAGAGGTTCGGGGAGCCGTCAGGCTGAAGAAGGAGGCCTACAGGGCGTGGCTGGTCTGTGGGTCTCCGGAGGCAGCAGACAGGTACCGGATAGCCAAGCGGGGTGCAGCAGTGGCAGTTGCCGAGGCAAAATCTCGGGCGTGGGAGGAGTTTGGTGAGGCCATGGAGAAAGACTATCGATCGGCTCCAAAGAGGTTCTGGCAAACTGTCCGGCGCCTCAGGAGAGGAAGGCAGCAACTCGCTCACACTGTTTACAGTGGGGATGGGGAGCTGCTGACGTCAACTGAGGCTATAGTCGGACGGTGGAAGGAATACTTTGAGGAGCTCCTCAATCCCACCAATGCGCATTCCGAGGAGGAACCAGAGCTGGGAGGCCTGGGGAGGGACTGTCCGATCTCGGGGGCAGAAGTTGCTGAGGTAGTCAAACAACTACACAGCGGCGGAGCCCCGGGGGCGGATGAGGTTCGTCCTGGGTATCTCAAGGCTATGGATGTTGTAGGGCTGTCATGGTTGACACGTCTCTACAACATTGCGTGGTCATCAGGGGCAGTTCCTAGGGAGTGGCAGACCGGGGTGGTGGTCCCCATCTTTAAGAAGGGTGACCTGAGGGTGTGTTCCAACTATAGGGGGATCACACTCCTCAGCCTCCCTGGAAAGGTCTACGCCAAGGTACTGGAGAGGAGGGTCCGATCGATAGTTGAATCTCAGATAGAGGAGGAGCAATGTGGTTTTCGTCCTGGCCGTGGAACTGTGGACCAGCTCTATACCCTTGCAAGGGTGATGGAGGGGGCATGGGAGTTTGCCCAACCAATCCACATGTGTTTTGTGGATTTGGAGAAGGCTTATGACCGTGTCCCCAGGGGCACCCTGTGGGGGACGCTCCAGGAGTATGGGGTGGGTGGCTTTCTGTTAAGGGCCATTCAGTCCCTTTACCAGAGGAGCGTGAGTTTAGTCCGCATAGCCGGTAGTAAGTCGGACCTGTTCCCAGTGAGGGTTGGACTCCGCCAGGGCTGCCCTTTGTCACCGGTTCTGTTCATCACTTTTATGGACAGAATTTCTAGACGCAGCCGTGGTGTGGAGTGTGTCGAGTTTGGTGGCAGGAGAATCTCGTCTCTGCTTTTTGCGGATGATGTGGTCCTCCTAGCTTCATCCAGCTCTGACCTTCAGCTCTTGCTGGGTAGGTTCGCGGCCGAATGTGAAGCGGCTGGGATGAGGATCAGCACCTCCAAATCTGAGACCATGGTTCTCGACCGGAAAAGGGTGGCTTGCCACCTCCGGGTCGGGGGAGAGGTCCTACCTCAAGTGGAGGAGTTTAAGTATCTCGGGGTCTTGTTCACGAGTGAGGGTAGGAGGGATCGGGAGATCGACAGGCGGATTGGTTCGGCGTCTGCAGTGATGCGGACGCTGAGCCGATCTGTCGTGGGGAAGAGGGAGCTGAGCCAGAAAGCCAGGCTCTCGATTTACCGGTCGATCTACGTCCCAATCCTCACCTATGGTCATGAGCTTTGGGTAATGACCGAAAGAACGAGATCGCGGATACAAGCGGCCGAAATGAGTTTCCTCCGTAGGGTGGCCGGGCTCAGCCTTAGAGATAGGGTGAGGAGCTCGGACATTCGGGAGGGACTCGGAGTAGAACCACTGCTCCTCCGGATCGAAAGGAGCCAGTTGAGGTGGTTTGGGCATCTGGTCAGGATGCCTCCTGGACGCCTCCCCGGGGAGGTGTTTCGGGCATGTCCTGCCGGCAGAAGGCCCCCGGGTCGACCCAGGACACGTTGGAGAGGTTACATCTCCAATCTGGTCCGGGAACGCCTTGGGGTCCTGCCAGAGGAGCTGGTGGACAAGGCCGGGGAGAGGACGGCCTGGAGCTCCCTAGTTGGGATGCTGCCCCCGCGACCCGGACCCGGATAAGCGGAGGAAGACGAGACGACGAGACGAGACGAGATGTGTGTGTGTGTATATATATATATATATACACACACACACACACACACACACACACACACACATATATATATATATATATATATATATATATATATATATATATATATATATATATGTGTGTGTGTGTGTGTGTGTGTGTATATATATATATATACACACACACACACACACACACACTTATATATATATATGTGTGTGTGTGTGTGTATATATATATATATATATACACACACACACACACACACACACATATATATGTGTGTGTGTGTGTGTGTGTGTGTGTGTATATATGTATATATAAGTGCTTAAATGCTTGGTTTTTATTTTCATAATCCAAGAAAAGTGGTTTAGCAGTTAAGCTGTAAGGTTCCAGAGTTATTCTTGATTTCCTGTTTTTATTATAGATTGTAATAGCAGGGAATGTGGCTGTAGCAGCGCAGAACCTCCATCTGCCAACAGTAAGACACACACACACACACACACACACACACACACACACACACACACACACACACACACACACACACACACACACACACACACACACACTGTACTGTCAATACCACCTATCATCTGGCTTCAGAGCTAAAATCACAGAGGAACAAGGCTGTTGGTCGGTGGACTTGTTCCTCTAACTGAGAGGACTGGTCATAAGCAGCAGGTGCACATTGTGCAACAGGAGCTCATGTGCTCAGGATGTAGAGCTGCAGTAAACCAGCAAACTGGTTCCTGCCTATCAGGAACCAGCTGCTGAGGGAAAAGAGAAGTGAAATTCATTTCTTTATTTCAGACTCTGAATTAAAGTCCCATTAGTTGTCACACACACCGATGTGTGCTAAATTTGTTCTCTGCATTTGACCCATCCCCTGGGGGAGCAGTGAGCTGCAGACACGGCCGCGCTCGGGAACTGTTTGGTGGTTTACCCCCCAATCCAACCACTTAATGCTGAGTGCCAAGCAGGGAGGTACTGGGTCCCATTTTTTTGAAGTCTTTGGTATGACCCGACCAGGAATCGAACCCTGATCTCCCAGTCTCAGGGCAGACACTCTACCACTAGGTCACTGTGGTAGAGTGACCTAGTGGTCAGCTGGTAAATGAAATGTGCCTTGTGACTCTCTTACGTGTATTGTGTGAATGTTTCATAAATGATTGTTTTTGTCTACTGAAGAGAATTTCCTGTTTCTTACAGCTGAGGGCATGTTTGGGGATGCAGATTTTGGCGTGTGGTGCCTCCATCGTCAACATTATCTGCACTTTGGTCAAAATGGGAGATTGGTCACACCACTGCTGGTATTTACATGCAGACAAATATCAGGAAGTCTGTCATCAGATTGAGGTACCGCTTCATTCTCTTTGTATGAATCATAGGGGGCTGTAGTGGTCTGGCAAGCCATCCTACGTGTGTAAATTATAGTCTGGCCACACCCCATAGACAGATCTCAGTTGTGGGGCGGAAACGTCAATGACTTGCAACTTGAATCGACTTGCATGTGTTGACTTGATGATGACTTGTGCATATTTGATATTTTAGCACAAAAGTGGCACGACATGGACAAAAACATTACTGATCCATCATCATATCCATTGTCACTGCTGCTACAGGGCACTCACCTTACCAGCTGGTGGCAGTGATGTTAATCAATGTTCATCCACCGCTATTAATAGTAAAGCAGAAGAAGAAGAAAAACCATTCAAGTTACAGCAGCAATGTACAAACAAGCAACTTGAAATTGGCGAGTGCCAGTTGATAGAACGATACCAAAGGTAATTTCGTTTGCACGCACAAACTACCACGTGGATCACAAAAAGTGAACTGCAGTATGTAAAACGTGTGTGGGTCAAAAATTACGGACGGAAAGGGAACAACATCAAACTGTTCAACATTTGAAGTTGCATAAAGAAAGAAGTCAAGGCTGACACACTCATGTAGTTAACGTAAAGCTAGCGATGGGTACCGAATTCTGTACTTTTTAAGGTACCAACCGAATTCCATAGTACCGACTGAGCACCGATTCACGTCATTCGAAACGGTGCCTCGTTTTGGTACCCGTCCTTCATAACGAGAACTTGCCTAGACAGCTGCACATGTGCAAGAGCGTTATGTCGTCGGTCGTTGCGAGCCAGTTGTAAACAGAGCAGCATGGTAGAAAGAACGCACGCTAACGCTTGGGTCCACTTCACTAAATGTGATGGGCAACTGGGTGATGATGAAACCAGCGACAACGATCTAAGTGAGACATCCTCATCTTAATTTGCTCCGGTAGGTAAATAAAATGTTTAAGATAACGTTAGCTTGATATGTTAGCTTCCGTTTCGCTAATGGTGCGTTCGCTTTCTCCTCGGAACTCCGAATTTCCGACAAGAAGAACATGAACGCGCTCTAAAGTTTGGCATCACTTTACTAAATGCGACGGGTGATTGGGTGAAGATGAAACCAGCAACAATGATCTAAGTGTGAGGCATCATCGTTTTAATCTGCTCCAGCAGCTAAATAAACTGTTTACGATTACGTTAGCTTGATATGTTAGCTTCCATTGCCACCATTGTTATCAGCTAATGGTGCGTTCGTGTTCTCCTCGGAAATTCTAACTTCCCACTAGGAAAAATCAAATGAAAAAGGACGGCAAAAGGAATGAAGATACACAGTAAATTTAGTTCACAGTAAAGATGTTTGCTTCAGTTTAATTATCAGCTTATAAAACTACAAGGACGATGTTAAAATACAAACAGTTGTGTGTTATTTATCGTGATATTTATCAAATATGGTTATATATTGAGAAAAATATATTTTATTATAAAAGAGAATTAAAATATTAAACACTCAAAAGTATCTAAAATTGGTACCGTTAAGTACCGGTATCGATTCCTAGGTACCGGGAATTAGTACCGAATCGATTCAAATGTCAAAGGTACCCATCCCTATAAGTTTTATCGCTTGCTAGCTAAATCTTGGAGGCTGAAAGCTCATTTACACACGACCAACGTTGCAGAATCACTCAGAAATTCTAACCTGAAAATAATATGACAAAAGCTTAAATCAGATCACCACCGCTGCGATATGCTAACATTGCAGCGGTGAAAGTACAGTAACATACCGGTTATGTGCAGTTCAGTTTCACAGATTTAGCTTGGTTCTGAAAAACGTCAGTGCCTTAATATGCATGATACGCCGATGTCAGTCTCGTAATATCTCATAAAACCAACTTCGATCATTCAAATGGCATGGATATGCAAATGGACTAGATATATGTGTGTGTACGAACATAATTTAAGGATTTATTGTAAAGGCAGGTTGGACTGTTGCAGTAGACTAACGTGAACAGCAGAAATGAAATGTAGTAAAAAACATTTATAGATGTAGAGAGGGTAATTATTGTATTATCTAGATGCTTTTAAAGCTTTGCCAACGTGATGTGATTTTCCATATAAATATGGAAATCCAGTCTTATTGGTCTTTAATGTTTAACCAGAAGATTTAGAATTCTTTGTTTATTCAGGGATTGTATAACACTTTGTATTGATTCAAGAAGAGAGTCAGGTTTATTAAAAGTAAAAATTTATTTTCCAAACAATTAAACTAAGATTTACTGTGATGGATGAATCTAGGTGGATGGAATAAGATGTATGAACGAAAACCTCATCGCTCTCGGCCGCACTAATATTACCATGAAATATGGTGAAACTTGGTTACTGCAACCTCTTTAAACAACTTTAGAGCTTGTTGCTTTTTTTAGGAATTTTATAAATTGTCTGCTCTGCAATAACAGCTTGCAGCAGCAAGACAATGACTGACATGGACAGAGTCTGGGTTCAAACAGACAACCCATTGGGCAAACTCCAAACGCAAGCCGTCATCACCCCCGATCTCCCAACTATAGGATGATAAATTGGTCAAAGCTCTGCACGTGAGGCAGGCCCTGTCGCCAGCTCCTTTCAAATCTACTTTTAAGGCCCATGACTAGGGATGTACAATATATAGGCATCAGTATCGGTATCGGCCAACATTAGTCATTTTTTAACAAATTGGCATCGGTCCGATAAACTAAACTGGGCCGATATTTACAACCGATATTTTTTCATCTTGTTTCCATTTGTGTGTGTGGGGGGGGGGGATTTGTATTTGGGGAGTGTATTTGTTTAGTCATGTGACAGTGATCGTAATCATCTCAGAGGCATAAATGTGTGTGGTACATAATAACGTAAATTCAGCTGTAATCATTTTCGTTCTACACTAAATCTGCTTCTTTTAGAAACATTAATGTTAGCATATCGGTAAATGCAAATATCAGTTATCGGCCATAACAGTGATATTAATATCGGTCCAAATATTTCATAGCAGTGCATCACTACCATGACCTTTATCTTTTTGAATGCTGATTTGAGCTCTTTATATCTCACCGTCTGTCTTTTTTATGCAGTTTTTGTTATTGTTGTATTTTGTATGTTTGTTCAGCTGTCGTGCAGTTTTAAAATGTGCTGTAGAAATAAACGTGGTAAAGCGATATGTCTGAGTCACTGATGTTTGGACTTGAGAGTGGACGAATCAGCACGGATTGGGATAGATTAATGTCCATTATTGGGATTTTGAGAGGTTGAGGACCAACAAACTGTAAGACAGAGAGGAAATTATCTCTGTCTGGCCCCAAAACAATTTCTAATCGGAATCTGGCGTCCTTGAGCCTGCAAGGCTACAACGAAAACTCCCTCCTCAGAAGATATGTGGAATGTGCCGTCACTATGGCAACTTAACTCTGTCTCCATTCCCAGCCTGGGCGGGACTGCGGGAAGGCCGCTGAAACGTTCCAGGGTCACTGCAACCCTCCAACCCCTATCCACACTGAGGTGACATGCGCTGCTTATCGTGGCTGCAGGAACTGAAGTGGGGATAGTCCCAACCCACCACCCCACCTAGTGGACACTTATGTTGTGTTGTCTGAAGTCTGTTGCATATCTGTCTGAGGTGTTTGTTTTTTTGTTTTTTTTTTGCAAAGCAAAGCTGCCCTCCTGGTGGGAGGGTACCTCTGAAGTGCCTTTTTTCCCTCCACCTGAACCAATCCTCATGTAAACCTCTTATCTCTATTAAGGTAGCGCGACTCAGGGTTGCGAATGACCACAGTCACCAATTCTTGTCATGTGTCTTGCCATGTATGTCTGATCTCTGAATTGTGTGTACTGAAACTCTAATTTCCCTCTGGGATTAATAAAGTATCTTTGATTTGATTGATTGATGGGTCAGCATTTACTCACAATTTGTCCCACCTACAGTTCATCTTCTTCAACTTTTATGGCGGGGGTGTTCTGGTCCAGGCTACTGTGCTGGCTATCTCCGCCTCTCTGATGGCTTACTGCTGCAAGGTGGTCAACTGTTGTGGACCCGCTCCCAAAATGGTGAGAATAAACTCATGGTTGTCTGGAGCTTTTGTTTGTAACAAGATGTTTCAGGTCAGGACTGTAGACTACTCTCTGCTTTGTTACACTGTCAGAAAAACAGACGTCTCCCACAGATCTGAGGCCGTTTTTAACTCAACCTGAAATCCGGAGCTTTGTTTGGTACAGCAGTGATTTACAGCTGCTCTGTTTTATTATTATTTAACCTTTAATGAAAGAAAGGATTGATTTTCAGATAGATGATTGTTGATTGTTCCTAACAAAAACAGGAAGGGAAAATATGATTGCATTTTGAGACAAACAGAAAAATAAACAGGATTAACTACTGAAATTTCTGTCTGTAGATCCATGATATCATCTAGAATCTAGATTATGTAGCGTTATGACCTTGCCTTCGGCAACCTATCGGAATCGGGAGAACACTGGACTCGTACTATGACACAGCATGCAATCGCCGATGTCGGTCACATCCTTAAACAGGCACTTAAATTCACAGTTTCTAACAGTGAACTTTCCGGTACCAGGAGAAGACCAAAGCGTTTCCTGGACGGACTTTTCTCAATTGGAAATGTAATTGGCAATCTCTTAAATCTCGCATTCTCCGCAGTCAACTCGATTGAGATTCACGCAGTTTGTCAACATGTTGATGAGCTTAGCATAGAATACCCCGAGCTGCGTAAGCAGGTCCTGCAGCAGCGGCGTGCCCTGAGACAGCTGGGCATGTCGGAGAAACAAACTATGGTGGTACTCAACACTCACAGTAACATTTTGCGTAAAACAACATCCGCTGTGAATGAGTTGCGTTCATTTGTAGAGGTTGATTATGGTCATACGCAGATGCTGACTGCTTGCCTGGCCGACTATGGTCGGGACGTGAGCGCCTCCATCGACCTTCTCATGGGGAGGATCCCTCCGTACCTCGTGTCCCAGGACATGGTCCGGGCTGCGATTGCTAGGGTGACCTCGGAGACCCCAATTACACTACAGGTTCACCTAGGTTTCTCGTTGGGCAGTGCTATTCCGTTAGGCGTCGTTCCAGATGCTGGAGAGCTAGCCTTCCTCATCAACTTACCCGTGGTGTCTCCGAAGAACATATATAGATTGAAAGATGTGGTGAATGTGGGTAACTGGGTTCGCGACTCTCATGTCAAGTTGCATACGCCTCCGGTCATTGCGTATCATGACCGCGCACCGCATGCCAGGTTAGTCCCGGACTTGAGCGCGTGTTCTCTCACCCGTGGTCTGCACTTTATGTGTCCAGGCACACCTTATTCCTTATTTTTCAGTTTAGAACATCTTTAGTAAACGGAAGAGTGTAGCTTCCCTTTTTGTTGGTATTAAAGAAAAGTGGGATGTTAATGCCTCGGAGCAGTCTGCAGCCACGAGTGACCCTCTCTGCAGTCAGATTCATCTGACTGGTAAGAAAACTCAGTCTTGTCTCATCTCTTCTGCCTCCACAGCCTGTGATCATGGTACAAACGCCTCCACGGCCCGAGAGCAGCAGTGTGAGGAACGACCAGACAAGCACTCAACAGTCATGAGGAGCAACGAAAGACTTTTACAGAGTTAAAACTCACTAGATCGGTTTTATTCATAAAACACATTTAAACAACCAGAATTGATCAAAAAAATGCTGCAAAAAATAAATAAATGACTGATTATCAAAAATAATCAAACCATAAATTACAATAGAGGAAATGACTGCTGTAGAAACCTGGGTAGCCCACTACCCAAAAACATAAACACGCATCATTAGAAGGTAACAGGACCAACAGTAGCCACATTATTAGCTTTGCTTTGTTTCTAATCACACCACTTAATGCCTCTAATACATAAATACGTATAATCATGTAGCCAGGCTTTCACAGACGCTTTAACTCTTCATTAGAATTCATATTAGTGAAATTGTTCTTTACAGTATTCTACATAGTTATGTACACATATGTATGTATATCATACACTGTGCGTGTTAAAATATGTATTCACCTAAATGGTTTACATCTGCAGACCTCTGGTTCTGCTTCGTGCACGTGGAATGTTCCGGCATCACCAAAGCATCTCAGTGGGGTTCTGATCTGGACCCTGGACCTTTGCATCACCTTGATTCTGTGGTAGATCTGCTGCTGTGTTTGGATCATGGTTCTGTCCTGTGACCTGGCCCAAATCATCAGCCCCACCTCTGTGCTGACAGTACCAAAGCTGTTTTAGACGATATTACACAAGAACTTTGCCTGTCAGCCATCATGCTTTCTTTGGAGCTTTGACTTTTAATCAGGTTAAAATATTTTTTTTTGCTTTCTGTCAAGACAAAAAAAAATTTCAAATGTGTTTGAAATAAAGTGCCACAGAAAATGATCCATTAAATTTTGTTTTGTTAAACTTTTAAGTGTCTAAAATTGTCCCTCACTAGGAGCAACATTTTACTAACAATCACAAATTAATAATTTAACAAATTCTACACAAGAAATAACGAAAAGATGAGCATCAACGTTTCATCTTCGTAGCAAAATCCTATTTCACCCAAAAGGCTTTGATGCGGCTCATAGCTGGCATGTTCTTCACAGCTCCAGCTCATCGGCCCAGTGGCTCTGTGGGAGAAGAAGGTAGTAACGTTAGTCTAATCTAGGACAGCTCAAGGACACGACGCTGCGGTTTTGTTTTAGGCCAGAGGACCGGCCCACCTTGGCCCTATTGAGATGTGATTGTTTATGAAATTGAGTTTTTTCCTCGGCCTTTCCGTCTACCCAGAAACAAAACGCTCAGATCTGATGATTGTCCCGGCCCACCCACCCAACTTTATAACTGTTCAGCTAGCATTTTGGTTGTACTCCCCACACTGACCTAGCCATCGAGGGTTTTTTATCATTGGAATGGTGCCAGTTTGAAGAAGTAATCCATAAACCCACCCCGGTACTGGTGGTTATGGATGCAACGATACCACTTTTTTCCAAACCGATACGATATCGATACTCTGATCTGAGTACTCGCCGATACCGATTACCGATACCGATACTTCTGCCACACAAGAAAATGCAATGATTTGGAATACAGATTTTATTTTCTTCTCTGCTTTCAACAGGAAAAGACTGAGGTAGATAAAAAGTTAAATATATGAATAGAAATCATCACAAAACTAAAATGACAAGTTACAGGGAAGCCATTTTCAAGCAACTGCATCGGTATCGGTTCCTGGTATCGGTTAACTTTTACCGATACCAGTATCGTATCGGTGCATCCCTACTGGTGGTGGTTTAACCCTTCATAGGACACTCATTGAAGAAGAAACATGTTTAATTTCAACCACAGGGTGTTATTGTGGTAAATACCCAAAGTGCATTTTTGTTGTAACAATTATCAAAAAAAATTTATTTTCATGCAGCAAATCAGAGAAACCAAAGTGATCAAAATATGGACGTTGGCCCTGTTCTGGTAAAAGAAAACAACATGAGCAAGTTAAATAAACATTATTTTTCAATATTATAGATGATCATGCGTGTAGGTTAGCATACGTATGTATTTTGGGTGCTTTTTAAGCTCAATATACTACACTACATTTGGCCAATAAGATGTGATTTTCTATATAAATATGGAAATCCAGTCCGATTGGTCTTTGAATGTTTAACCAGAAGATTTAGAATTCTGTTTATTCAGGGATCGTAAGACACTTCGTATTAATTCAAAAGAGAGTCAAGTTTATAAAAAGTAAGACATTTATTTTCTGAACAATTAAAAACATGACAACTAGGAACACTTTATGTGATGAATGACTAAGTGGATGGAATGTGAGATGTGATGATGTGTGAATGTGATGTTATCAGAACTCTCGTATCTGGAGAAACTGGGTTCTGAGTGGGAGTGAATTTGTTCTGCTATAAACTATCAGTGATGGTTTATAACACCACATCAGACTCAATCTGTCGAGTCTACGTACCCTTCGTCGGAGACCCCCGTTGTAGTTCCGGACTGTCAAGAAGTCGGATGGACCCCAAAAGGTACCGAAGTCCGTCGGAGAAACCGCAGTACGAACAGACCGGTCTCGAGATGTCTCCAGGTCACCACAGTGGTTTGCGTCTTAGGAACAACTCTTAAGGAGTTGAAGTTGGTTCAGCTTGGTACTGAAGGAACCGTTTGCCAAGATCCATTCATCACCCAGTGTTTAAAGTTAGTCTAGTTTTAATTTGTTTAGTAATTAATCTTTAAACTTTTAAAACTTGACTCTCTTTCTTTTGTCTCCGAGTTAATACGAAGTTGTTACATAATCCCTGCAATAAAAAGTTCCAATCTTCTGGTTTAAATTATCCAAAGATCCATAAGTTTGATTTCATATTTCCTATGGAATCTCACATTTTATGGTTCATTAAATAACATGTAAACTTAATCGTTACACCATCAAAATCTTAGTTTAAAACTGCTAAATATATTCAGTATCATAATTGGTATTGTTATCATGAATATGAAGATTATGTCTAAAAAACAACAGATTTTACCTACAAATATTCATCATTTCATTTCCTTGTTCAGGGCGTATGTTCAAGATTTGATTTTCATGCCAAGATTTCACCAACTTTAAACATTTACACCACACGTATCCTTATTTAGCACAACTAGTCAACCTGGTGATGTGAGTTTCCTAAACCTAGCCTTGTTGGTTTTAGAGATCTGACCGTAAACACGAGAGGAGACAGAGCAGTTTTCTGGCTCTGCAGATACCAGTATTTGGTGAGTTACAGCCCTGCACTGATTGGTCGAATGGTGCCATGTGTGACCAGCTTGATCTCTGATGATTGGTTGGGTGAAATCCCGTAATTCCAAGAGTTTGTGAAAGGGCACACCGACATCATTTATGATGTGAATGGAAGTGTGGAGATATAGACATTGGCCCTAGAGGGTAATAAGCAGTCTGACGTCATGGAGCTGAAGATAAAGTCCAACCATTTCTGCAGATTAAACCCTTCTTCAGGAAGACCGGACGGGAATCCTCTCACTGACTTGGGTTTTTTGGGTTCTAGGCATTATTTAAAGTGGGGACTAGATCATAGATTAAACTCCCTGCTAGCTACACAAAGAGCATCTGTGCGTTAATGTTTACAGTCCAGAGGAAAAGGCATTCAGATTCAACAACACCTGGATGGGGAGAGCCAGTCTTTTGCAATAGTTCACCAGAGCTGAAGGGCAGAAGCAGCTAAACGTTCCTGCATGAAGCCAAAATTCACTTTGGAGTGTTTTTCATGAGGAAATTACAGTAAAAACTTGGTCAACAGCTCCAGGAAGGGGATTTAGCATGATATAAAACCTGTAATAAGCGTTTTTACTTCTCTTGTGTTTTAAAGCGGAGCCAAACATAAGACCGGTTGGTCTGAACGCATTCACGATGCAATACGTGACTCCGAAACTACACCCAGATATTTAAACCTTTCCACTTTTTGGATTTCTCTGACCAATGACAGAAGCCAAACAGTCATCCACCTCAGAGGTGTGACAGGTGTCTCAGCCTGCTTTTAGCCCAGCTCACCTGAGAGCCACATGGTGTGATCTCCAGGTCGCCAAAGCAGCCAAGTTTGTAACGGATGAGGCTCCCCCACAGCACTGAGCGGTGGCAGGATGGACAGTCTCCCTCCACAGGAAGCAGGTGGGATGGATCATGCCTGAGGAAATATCTAGCAAGGCAGCTTAAATGACTGCTCATCCTACAAGACGGGTGAACGCAGTTCAGCTTCTCGGAGCCCTGAGGAGACGAGACACAACAACCAACCATTAATGAACTGGAGCCACATTTCTAAAGCTTAATGCTCTCTCACACACACACACTTTGAGCAAATGTGTCAGAAAAATGTTTAGCAAACCCTCACCCTGGTGTATGGAACTTGGCAGTGGAGCTAGTGAGATGGTAAAAGTCAATTTAAAGGCACAACGTGTAAGAATTTTACAGAGAAATAATCAGAAAACAGCCTGATGTCTCAATCATGTTGGAAGGAAATAGATTTCATGCTCAGCTGGATGGGCTGGGGGTCCGCCTGATTTCCTTTCAAAATGGTGAAACAGGGAAGTAGCCATTGGCCCAATCCCAATACTCCCACTTACTCACTGCCACGGCCAGAGGTGCGCAGGTTGTCCCGATTCTCGAGTGCAGAAGCTGATCACACCCTTTTTGCACCCTTGATCCGCACTTCACCCAAGTCTGCATCAATACACACTTGGGTGAAGTGTATTACCCACAATCCATCGCTGCAGGATGTGTATTTTCTAATGAAAGAAGTGAATTTTACAATAATTGATGCTCTGAAACTTTTAGACAAAGCAGCAGTGAATGTAAATTTAGTTCAAATTATTGTTTGGTTATTTATTTGAAAATTGTTAATAAAGGTTTTTCAAAAAAGTTTCACAGTGGCCAGCATCCCAGCATGCTTTGCGGTCAATGAAGCAATTCAGAAATTATTTGCATACTTGTGTGCCACGCACGTCTCCAAGTGCCCTTTGCTGAAGATCGCAGGGTGCAGTGCGAGTATTTGGCCTTTGTTCACACCCCGAGTCCTCAGCATTCTGTGCGAGCTAACGCTGCACTGCCAGCATTTAAGTAAGTAAAATTATATTCCTGTACTTTATTTTGCTGGTTGACTGGTGGAAATGCTGCCATTTAACTGCCTGGTCAAACACGTTAGTGGAGCTGCATAAGAAACTCGAGCGGATGCTCCCGTCTCCCGCCTGAGAACAGCAGGCGGCTGGTTGTTCCCGTCTCCCGGAGCAGCCGGGAAGCACGGACCGGCTCCGACATGAGGCTGTAGTCATGCTGGTCCTTGTGTATCTCTGACAGAGACCACGGAAACGCCGCAGCTCTTTTAGTTGACACTGCATCACTTTTGAGTCGCTCAGCCGCATTTTTCTCGTTGATAGTTTGGTGGTTGGACGGAGGAAAAGTCTACGCGTTTACCATAACACCGCTTGGCCTAAGACGGGTTGAAATATAACGTGTTAGTGTGGCTGCCGGGTAACAAAACTAGAGCTACATATCTGACCGTGGATAGCGGAGGCCATTGGGCTTCGCTGTTCCACTGTGGTGAAAGATTCGCTAGTCCGCCGTTGTCGACGCTCCCGGCTCTGGGAGTGTCGACGTGGCTCCCGGGCGGCTCGGTGTTGACACAACGTTGGTAGCCCAGACAACGCTCCCAGAGCCGTGTGCGTCGACAGCGGCGGATGGGCTGATCTTTGGCTGCGGTGGAGCAGCGAAGCCCGATACCCTTGGTCAGCTTACCTAGTTGTGACTTGTTACTAAGCAGGCCGGTCGTGCCTTCATTTTGGAGTCTCTCTACCGCTGTTTTTCTAGCTTCAGGTTAGGATGTAGCCAATGTCCCGCTGATCTCTAACTGTGGAGCATGAGCTGACGTAAAAGGCCATGGCACCTGGCTATGATCGCAGCGGTCTGAGGGTCTGCTTGTAATTTCAACAGCCCGGGTTCATATTAGATCTCCACAGGAGACCAGCGTGACTACAGCCTCACACGGGAGCCAGTCAGCCATGTGGGTGGGCTACCCCGGTCCCCGGAGCACTTCCTAGCTTCTTGGGTTATCTAGTAGCCACATTGGATCATTTGTTCCAACCCGGTTCCAAACATAACAGCCGCACCCTCAGCTCCGCCCGTTTTCCCATTTTTGGATTGTCTTGGTGTGACGAGACGTGTGACATGGTAAGAACATCAGTGGTGGGAACCTCCCATTTTTGGCTTCTACCTGCCCCCTGCGAAGCAATGGGCGGTCTAGGTCCATATTGTTTACGTGTCGATGGTTAAAATCCATCAAAGATATCAGAACACCAGTTCAGTCATGTTAAGGCCAGCTGCCCATGACCCGTTTAAACTCTGAACAATGTTTCTGCTGTGAACTCTCCTGCAGGGGGCGGAGCTTACAGTCACAATAAGAGTAAAGGGCACAAACACTCGTTGAGGACAAAGCAAACATGTGATCACTAAAAGGGGAAACAGAACTTTTAAGTGTCTCTTACTTTTATCAGCTGCTTGCAGAGAAAACACATGGCTGTGTCTTCTTCTGGGTCAGAGGACATCGGCAACCTCTTTTTGGCCCTCACACAACCAAAAGCTAGAGGGATGTGCAGGGGCGGCTGCAGACTGGGCTGAAAGTCCATGCTGTACTCTTGTTTGAGCCAACGGACGGTCAGCGGTAGCCTGCACCACGGAGCGACCCTTAGCATGTGGGAAACCACACGCCAGTGGAACTGCAGGCTCGACTCTTTTTTGGTACGTCGGGATACGTGGGAGAGCCTTCGAGAAGAATGGGGATGCTGCCACGCCCACTCAAACTGGAACAAACACACCAGAAAACTACTTCAGGCTTTATTAATCAAAACTTACACATCTCAGCAGGATATTTAGGAAATGTTTGGCTCTGAAGTAAAAATCTAAATAATTTGCTATTTAATACACAGAGAAATACCCGCTGCATCGTGTTAAAAAGTGCAATACTTCCTTCTTTTTTTCCTTCTTTTTTATTTAATATTTTTCTACAGTTTACTTTTGCTAACCTGCAGTTTTTTATTTTCATCGTGGGCTTCTGTGTTGAGGCCTGTGCTCAGAAGGCATCTGCACTCACTGAATGACGATCTGATTTCAGAAAGATGGCGCTCAAACTAACTAGAATAAAAAAAAATGTCTGTTTGATGTAAAGGCACCGAGTAAAGATAAGATCATTGTTGCTGCCCCTTGGCATCCAAAAGAAATAAGGAGGAGAGCTTCAACGGGTGCAACTTTTCATGCATACATCTCATTCCCAGAATCCTACCGAGCACCTGGTGCCAATCACTGAGCAAACACCGTGAAAACTGAAAATACATAATTTACAAATTAAATACAATCGATGACAAATATCAGGAGCAACAAACAGAAACAAATACCTTGCTCCTCTTGCCATGGGGTGCAATCAAAGTAATGTCACGCAGAGGCTTGGCACGGCAAGACCATAGACTAAACGTACAAGCGTTTGTTTGGGGCGACACGTTCTTATTTAATCAATTTTAGTCAAAATACCCTCACTTACGTGGAAGTTTGGTCTGCAGCAACACGCCAAGCCAGGTGGGATGCCAACGCCACGCCCACATCCGGGTTAACGCCCACCTACATGCAATTGAATGAGTGACGCTGACAATCCACCTGCTGGCAGCCATTTACACTCCCACCAAATCATGATTCTTGCAAAAAAAAACTTCACATGACTTTAACGTAGACAAACGGCAGTTAACAGTATTGTATTTTACTTCCTAATTAAAGACAGAGCAAAAACTCTCAAATAACACAGCCCGTTTTTGTACAGGACGTTCAAGAACGGACACACGGTTCTGTCTATCATTCAGACCTCTGCTTCCCATCTGAACCGCAACTCTTCGGACCATTCCGTCTCTTCCCTCTGCAGTGGCAATCACATTGAAAACTTGCTCCTCTTGCCATGGGGTGCAATCAAAGTAATGTCACGCAGAGGCTTGGCACAGCAAGACCACAGAGTGGAAGTTTGGTCAGCAGCAACACGCCAAGCCAGGTGGGATGCCAACGCCACGTCCACATCCGGGTTAACGCCCACTTATATGCAAATGAACGAGTGACGTTGACAATCCACCTGCTGGCAGCCATTTACACTCATCATGAAAAGAAAACAACTTAAATGAAGAGTGACTATAACTTATTTATAGACTATGCTGAGTGGGAAATAGATTGGAAACGCATGTTTCTGTCCAGTTGAAGGTATTTACAAACTAGGTGACTAATCAAGCTTTTCTGTAATATATATGTTGTTAAGAGGCGGTGTAACAACAAAGAAATACTCAAACTGTTTCACTTGTGCCAAGTTTGTACATTGGCAATGATAGAAAAGGCTTTTTACTATACTTTTTGGACTAGTCCGGGCATCGTTAGGCACCGTCATGAGGGTTCCTAATGAACCTTTCTGACTGCTGAAGCTGTAAAACAATAAATCATTTTAGGAGACTCACTCTTAGAGCAGCGATGTCTGAGGGGAAGCCATGGATGATGAGGACCATCTCCCTGTCCAAGACAGAATGATGTTACAGCTAAAAGCATTTAGACTGGCCGCAGGGTCAGACGTGAGGAGCTTTACTCACCAGGGTCCTCTCCCACTGGTCCTCTTGGCACCTCCTCTGTGTCTCCCAGCATTGTGCTGTCCAATCCGCCGCTCGGGGTTTACGGTGAAGCCGACGTAGATACGACCTTTGAACTTTGGATTCGTACAGTAGAGCATGTACACACCGAAGAAGCGTTCTACCTCTACCACCATCGTAAACAAACGGAAGAAAACACGGCACGTCGCGCGCTAACTGAGGCTAGCCTGTGAGGCTAAACAGTACGATAAAAGTCCGACTAAAATCCTTAAACTCTGTCATTTATGTCACAATTTAACTTCGACATTATTTCAAAAACCACACCAAGACGCGCATGCGCAAGAGCTTCCCAATTCAACACGTTAGATCGGGGCTTCAGAGACGAGTAAAGCTTGATGAACAAGACACGAATAATAATTGTGCTGTCATGTTTTGTTTTATTTACCAATCCTGCAGCCGAGCAGATCCTGTACCGACACCGACACAGGCGTTTTCCATCAATAAGAACTTGTATCACGTGGTTTAGTAGGCCACAAAACTGCCTAATCAATTAAGTTCAAACGAAAACACTTTTGTAAAAATTAAAGCTCGGATTTTACAGAAAATAAACATTACAACGTACCTTTTCTGTTTGACAAAATATCACCTCCAAATGTTGTGATAAATCAACTGCTGAATAACTTTGTTTGGCTCTCTTTTCTTGGCTCTCTGCGCAGCCTCCTATTCGCCTGGCGTTTCCGGGTTGTGCTGTTCTGTGATTGGCCAGTGATTAAATTTCCTTTGTAGTAATTCAATTCAACACAGTTGGACTCTAGGACGTTTGTTCTCTAATGCCTACAATACAATAACTAAAAGCAACTGAACGCTTGAAAGGTAGGGTTTTAAAGTGTTAAACTTAGAAACCACCAGCCATTAAAATCTATAAGCTGGTGATGATGGTCTGCTGCTTGTTTCGTAGCTAAGAGAGATAACAAACGTGGATGGATTTACATGTTTATGTGTTTCCGGCAGAAATGGCTATATCAGCTGATCACCTTAGGGATAAACTCACCAAGGAGCTGGCGGCAGTGCACGTGGTACGTTTCTACTGGCTGTTGTTTGGTTTTCACCATCGACATATACATGGTTTTCACTCAGCTGAGCTCACACCCCGTGCAGCTTCGTGCGGTAGAGCCGCAGAAAAATCACTCAAATGGTGAATTAAGCTCAAACGTTTAAACCATCTGGTTGATTTCTGGTATCGAACCAGGATTATTTAGTTTATCCGTCTTCCTGTTGTAGATTTGCTGCTTTGCTAGGGAAACAACTCACACTGATGGTGAAGAAATATGATTTCTATAGCGCCTCTCAAGATAAAAATCACGAGGCGCTTCACAAAAACAAAAAAGTATAAATATAAAAAAGAATTTAGAAAATGTTTAAAAATATATTTTAAATGAGCAAAAATAGACAACTGTGATTAAAAATGTTAAGAAAGAGAGAGAGTGAACAGGAAAGAGGGAAACCAGTGGATCCTGAGGAAGGTGGAATAGGTGGGGAGAGCAGAATAAAGAGAGAGAGGTGAAGAAGGTCATACAAAAGCCAGCTTGAACAAGTGAGTCTTCAGCTGCTTTTTAAAGGAGACCACTGAGTCCACTGATCTCAGGCTCAGGGGGAGAGAGGTCCAGAGTGTGGGGGCCACAGCAGCAAATGATCTGTCACCTTTGACCTTTAGCCTGGTGCTGCACAACCAATAGGCTTTGATCACTGGACCTCAGGGACCTGCTGGGGGTGTAGGGACTAAGAAGATCACCAATGTAAGATGGTGCTTGTCCATGTAAGGCCCTATAGACCAGAACCAGGATCTTGAAATGAACCCTGAAGTTGACCGGCAGCCAGTGAAGCTGGAGGAGAAGCGGGGTGATGTGGGTGTGTTTGGAGGACTTGGTCAGAAGCCGAGCAGAGGCGTTCTGAACCACCTGTAGACGGTTCAGGGAGGTTCTGCTCAGACACGTGAAAAGAGAGTTACAGTAGTCTAAGCGTGAGGAGATGAAGGTGTGGAGAACTGTCTCAAGTTCAGAGCGGGACAGAATGGGACTCAGCTTAGCAACGTTCCTGAGATGGAAGAAGGAAGAGCGAACAAGAGAACTGACATGAGAATCCAGGGTGAGAGCTGGGTCAAAGGTCACGCCAAGATTCCTGACAGAAGGTTTGGTGAGAGAAGCAAGCTGACCAAGAGAGTCTCTGACTTTGGGAACCAGCTTGTCTGGGGCACAGATGAGGTGTTTCCCCTACAGGATTGGGCTGATTTTTTTGTTTACATAAATGTGGACTGAGCTCAGGTGAGTCCTCAGAAAACAGTTCTACTTCTTTTCTACTCCTGCATTAACAATGTTTTCATTTTTACTTCTGTTACCTTTCCCCCAGTTGTAATAAAGTAGCTCTCATCTGTAGAAAGACCCGCTAAGCTCATTAATATCCCTGATTTGTTATTTTGTAGCAGAAAGCAATCAGAACATATTTTGTGATCACGCAGCAGCTTTCTTCTCACAGGTCTGTGCTAGCATTAGTAACCTCATACCTGCTTCTCAGGATGTGGAGGATACCTCCTCCAACAGATGTGCTACCAGCTTCAAAGTCCTGATCGTGTCATCCCAGTTCGAGGGGAAACCACTGCTGCAGAGACACAGGTACCACAAACACAGGACGTCTGCTCACCCGTCTCTTCACGATCACCGTGTCCACTCACAGAACGTGTCTGCAAATGAGAGTCAGCTGAAGTGCAACGCCTACTGTAACATAAATCACCACCAGTCCTGTCAAGAGTTTCAGACAAAGGTCATCTAAGGTTGAGAAGTGACAGAGTTATGGTTCAAAGGGTTCGGGTTAGGCGAGTCAGTCACACACACACACACACACACACACACACACACACACACACACACACACACGTGGTGTAGCCACAGCTGCCCTGGGACACGCTGACAGAGTCTAAGCTGGGCGCTACCGCTCCGTCAGATCTTGGTGTGTGTGATGATTTAGCTGCTAACACATCCAGCTTATTGCCTGTACACAGACACGTGTGTTAAAGTTGATTAGCTGTAGCAACCATTTAGAACTGGGTTAACAACGGTGAATTTCTCCTGTGGTTCAGGAGATAATCAGTTAAACATGCGAATACATGAAACACGTGTCTCCCTTCAACATCTTCGGCCTCTCAATTCAATTCAAGTTTATTTATAAAGCGCCAAATCACGACAAGAGTCGTCTCAAGGCACTTCACATAATAAACATTCCAATTCACAGTTCATTAAGCCAATCAGAAATAATGTTTCCTATATAAGGAACCCAGCAAATTGCATCGAGTCACTGACTAGTGTCAGTGACTTTACAGCAATCCTCATACTAAGCAAGCATGCAGCGACAGTGGAGAGGAAAACTCCCTTTTAACAGGAAGAAACCTCCAGAGAATCCTGGCTCAGTATAAGCAGCCATCCTCCACGACTCACTGGGGATGGAGAAGACAGAGCAGACACACACCTTCTCAGAGGAAGGAGTGGCAGTGTAAATTGGGAGTGATGTGACTTGTGTTTAAAATCAGAGTTTTATTCAATAAGTTTAAGCTAAAACCGGGGTTCAAACCAGCGAACCACTGATCACAGGGTCACTAAGCTCATCAGCAACATAATCATGCAGGCTAACTCCGAAGAACACCCACGATATAATACGTTGTTTGTCTTCACGTGCCTGCCGGTTGTGTTCAAAGGTTGTGTCGTCTGTTGGCAGGATGGTGAATGAGTGTCTCAGTGAGGAGCTGAAGGAGATCCATGCTTTTGAACAGAAGACCCTCACACCGGAACAGTGGGAGAACCAGAAGTCCTCGTGACGCATGCATACACACACACTCTGAGTCTGTGTTACTCCTACTGCTGGCCTTACAGTGTCTGTGTTCACTAATCAGTAACTCACCAAAATGGGTCAAATATGTATAAACATTCATTGTTTTTATTGTCAAAAATAAAACCTGTTGCTCTGGAGTGAGTCACTTGAGTTGGAATGAATTCTTGCTTGTGCCCAAATGACTATTCCCTTTAATAATGCGCTGTACCTCTAAATCCTTGTCTGACGTCTTTTTGTGCTGCCATGTTGGTCTCTCCCGTCTCCAAATGTGAAATAAACAGGCCGTCCTTTCTTACCAGCTGCTACCCTGAGACCGACTCTGCAGGGTAAGCAGAGCTAATGGATCAGCTTCCTGTACAGTAGCGATGCCGCTGACCTCGTCTGTTTTGTTGAACTGAAACTTCAGCTCTGGATCTACTGGTCTGTCCAAAATCCAAACTTAATCTATAGTCATGAGATCTGGCTCATGGCCAAAAGAGTCTGGATCCAGGGATCTGACTGAAATGATCTCCTGTAGAGGGCTGAGTTCGCGTCTGGGAGTAGGTTTCCCTCCTGGATCTCCACGTTTAAGTTTAAGAAAATGGAGGAACGGAGGTCCACTTTTAGGTTTCATGTGAATATTTTACTATATTTTGGTGAACAGATCCAATACTTCTCATGGACCTCTTGGTAAGAGATAATTCATCCTTTGATGCAGTAGAAGAAGAAAATATCATTTCTATAGAGCCTCTCAAGATAAAAATCACGAGGCGCTTCACAAAAACAAAAAATGTAAAAATATTAAAAAAAAGAATTTAGAAAATGTTTAAAAATATATTAAAAAGAGCAAAAATTGGCAATTGTGATTAAAAAATGTTAAGAGAGAGAGAGTGAATAAGAAAGAGGGAAATCAGTGGATCCTGAGGAAGGTGGAATAGGTGGGGAGAGCAGAATAAAGAGAGAGAGGTGAAGAAGGTCATACAAAAGCCAGCTTGAACAAGTGAGTCTTCAGCTGCTTTTTAAAGGAGACCACTGAGTCCACTGATCTCAGACTCAGGGGGAGAGAGTTCCAGAGTCTGGGGGCCACAGCAGCAGATGATCTGTCACCTTTGACCTTTAGCCTGGTGCTGCACAACCAGTAGGCTTTGATCACTGGACCTCAGGGACCTGCTGGGGGTGTAGGGACTAAGAAGATCACCAATGTAAGATGGTGCTTGTCCATGTAAGGCCCTATAGACCAGAACCAGGATCTTGAAATGAACCCTGAAGTTGACTGGCAGCCAGTGAAGCTGGAGGAGAAGCGGGGTGATGTGGGTGTGTTTGGAGGACTTGGTCAGAAGCCGAGCACAGGCGTTCTGAACCGCCTGTAGACGGTTCAGGGAGGTTCTGCTCAGACACGTGAAAAGAGAGTTACAGTAGTCTAAGCGTGAGGAAATGTATGGAGCTAGGATTGTATGGAGCTAGGATTGGGACAATATTCAGCGTAACTTGTACCAAGTTTTGTAACTTCGAACATGTTTCATCACATGTAACTTTGGATTCGACTGACTTACGGCGCTGTGAGATGTTTGGAACTGAGAGCTCCATGAACCACGTGGCCGCGAGTTCAAAGAGTGTCGTAACTCTCTTTCTACAGCTCTGACAGAACCCTGCCCTCCTCTCCCAATGATTGGACAGGAATTCGAGAAACGTGATTGGTAGCTAAGACTCGTGCCCTCATTGGTTCCACCCAAGTTCCTCCCACTGACGCTAGAATTGAGACGAAATGAGCCGTAACTGTAGATTTGAGGTTTGTACCTGTACAATGAAATATGTGTTTTGAGAGTTTTGATTTCAAACTTGTACATTGATTTTTTTATTTTGGAAGTCTGCTAGGTAAAAACCGAAAGTTTCATGTTTCTGAATGAATGTTTGATGTTACAAAATGAGTAGTAAATGTAGAAAATAAAAGTTTGATTTTACAAAATAAAAAATACATGTACAAAATGAAAATTTCCTGTTACAAAACAAGAAATACAAGTACAAATTGAGAATTACAAGTTAGAAAACTAAAGTTACAAGTTACGAATCCAAAGTGACGTGTCATGAAATGTTCCAAGTTACAAAACTTGGTACAAGTTACACTGAATATTGTCCCAATCCTAGCTCCATATGCAAGGTGTATCCGTGTGTGTGTGTGTGAAACTAAGCTAAAGGCCTGTTACCTTCTCTTATCATGTTTGTGTGTGTATGTGTGTCCAGGCAGCCGTCTAGCCCCCTGAACTGTGATGTCGTAAATTAGTGATGTGCTTTCACTCTGCTGATATGGTCAAACGATTCATGTTGTGGATATAACCTGTTCTGACCTGAACAGATGTTGGGCGTAAGCATGTATGTTATCTTTTATCCTCTGTGGAGTTGGTCAAGATGCTATAAACATATAAATAAGACATCTTGTCCAGCTAATGCTGGAGATGACCATTTGATCCTGGGCAGAAGAAAAGGAAAGGGTAACTGCACGTCTCCCTCTGCTGACCAATGGCTACGAGAGGAGGTGATGTAATCCCAAAGGAGAAGAGGGGAAAGCCTGCAGGAGGCGCTGAGAAGAAGAAACAAGTGAACGGATGAAGACTGGGAGAAGAAAAGGTGACATCATGACATCCAAGATTTATGGTCTCTTCGGGGCCGCTGGAGAAGTAACAAGAAGAGGAAGAACACGTGACCAGGAAGTCTGAAGCAGCAAACAAAGAAATGACTGTGAGGGAGGGGGGGACAGAGTGAATAAAAGGTAAATATTGGGTCTGTTCAAAGATGAGCTTGATGGGATGAGTGAGTCAGTCAGTCAAGGACTGAGCTTTTTGGAGAAAGGCTTTTGAGAGTTTTTAGGAGAGAGGGCCTTTTGGATGGGAAGAGTGTGTGAGGTACAGAGCTGGAAAGAAGAAAGCTTTTGCTTTGAGCTTTTTGTCTGTGATAATCTGACCTAGTGTCATTTTTGGAGAGCCTATTCAGCTCAACTTTGCCATAACTCGGTTTATTGGCAAAGAGTTGTTTCACTTTTTAAACCGCGTTGTCGGGGTTTCGTTTGGATTATTATTCTTTTTTCATCTGTGTGAAATAAAACCTAGTTCCTCGGATTCGTGGAATGAAAAAAGGATTTACGAGTGGGGTCTCCTCCTGTTGGTAACCGAGCAAAGGTGAGATGCTGGTTGTAAATGCCATCCCAAGATGTTATTGATATAAGTCGTTTCCTCCATCCTAGGCTACAGGTAAAGTCAGTTGTCTCCTCAGCTGGAAAGGGTCTTAACCTGAAGTGTACATATTCTTCATGGACTGGGGGTGTGTGTAGGTGTGTTTGCGCCTCCTCTTTGTCTGCTTGAACTAATTTTGGTCAGAATTAGAAGCTCTGGGCAATGTGGTGATTGCTAATCAACTCTCTACAGAGTAAGAGTGTTTGTTAGTAAACTAGCATGCCACGCCCACCACACCGATTACAAGCAAAAACCCTGAGAAATTAGTAAAATCTAGAAGAGTGGAGGTAGCCCGGTAAATTGGCTTGTAACAAAACTGAAGACAAATAATTACTGGATGTTTGTTGAGTTTGACCGAGCTGCAGAAACGACGCAGCAAACACACTCATCAGGTTTATTTACTGAACTAAATAAAAGACTGACAGTTAAATGAGCTCCACATAAGTCAGACAGGCATGTGCAGGCAGCAGGAGAGCAGGATGATACAGTTACAGTACATCAATGAAGTTACAGTACACGTTAATCTATGTTTCACACAGAATACACACGTGTTCCCCTTCACCAGCCGTGTTTCAGGCCCTCTCGTTTTCTAACACGCATCACTTTCAGGAAAAGACAAAAACACGAAGCTCACAAACATGCTGAGATTACAACAACAACTCCATCTGTGATGGCGTGCTCCTCTATCATTATATTAAAGCTAATATTAGAACAAAATACATTCAGCTAACACCATAAAACACATCTCAGTCAAAATAAATATTAATATAAATATCGATGCTCTAGAAACATGGAAAAGTGTCTTCCTTCAGAGCGACGCGGCCACATCCTCGGTCCCTTCTCATGGAACCACAGCGCTCAGGTTAATCTGCGTTCTGATGGATTCTTGTTATGGTTCAAGTTTGGTTAGAGACTAATCAAGAAGTCCATCTTTATCAGTTAAATGTAATATTTTTAATCCACTATGCTTAAAACATCTAGGACTCAATAAATGCTTTCATTCAGTAAAACATTGTCTCAAAAGACAAAAACTCTGCATGGATTCAAAATAGGCAAGAGTGCGAAAACTGAAGTACGTATTTCCAATCCCAGTAAGTGCAAAATGAAGAAGAAGAGAAGGCTAAAGCCACAGTGCAAAGTGAGGAGCTACAGGGCTGGTCTGCAGGCTGGAGCGTGTTGTGAAGGAAGCAGTGGTCGTTCTTTAGCGAGGATCGTCTGGGGCGGCAATCTTCTCCAAACTGGGTTCAATCCCCCAGATCTCCCTGGCATACTGGGAAATGGTGCGATCACTGGAGAACTTACCACAGCCAGCGATGTTACGGATCACCTTCTTGGTCCACTCTTTGGGGTTCTGTTAACAAAGTGGAGAGGGCCCACATCAGAAGATGTCATAAGTTTGGTTTGAAAATAAGATTGATGACCTTAAACAGATTTAAACTCACGTTGTTTTTGTAAGGGTTAAGTTAAAATCCCATTAGTCGTCACACACTTCCCCATCCCCTGGGGAGCAGAGAGCTGCAGCAGCTGCTGCCCTCAGGAACCATTTGGTGGTTTAAACCCCAATCCAACCCCTCAATACTGACCGTCAAGCAGGAAGCCGTTGGTACCCGTTTGGTATGACCCGGCCGTGGATTTGAACCCCGATCTCCCAGTCTCAGAGTGGACTCTCATACCATTAGGCCACTGAGCTGGTTACTAAAGCCCAGTGGTTCCCAACCCTGGTCCTCAGGGACCACTGTCCTGCATGTTTTCCACGTCTCTGCATCAGCACACCTGATTTACATTGGCTCCTCAGGAGGACATCAAGTGCTGCAGATGCCTCATTCAAGTAGGTCAGGTGTGTGGCAGCAGGGAAACCCTGGAGACCAGGTTTTGCTATTGAATCCTGTTGTGGGTTCTTCTCTGTCTCCAAAGTTCGAGGGTCCTTTTGAGATTCTCTCCAGGCAAAACGAATGCAACTATGTGATCAGGACTCCTCTAATGAGGAAGAAAACCATGACTTGCCGTGTAAATCGTTTAAAGCTATTTCATGAACGTGATAACACTGTGACTCAGCCTTGTTTAGTCTCTGCAGAGGTTCCTACCCCGCTGCCTGATACAGATACATAAAAGAGTGGGGGCTCGTCCGGGATTTATTGTTATTTATAACATCTACAACCCGTTTTTACATTTACCACTTGTACTGTGTTTGACACAAACTTTTTTTATTATTCTCTTAGAGGCGAAACAGAGGCTATGTCGTCCTTTGACGTACAGGCATTTGTGGAGGCTCCATCGCGCCGGCTGCTGGAGAGTTGTAGGAAATCCGACCTGCAGCAGGTTGCCGCCCACTTCAGTCTGCTCGTCCCCAAGCAGCTGACCAAAGACGCCTTACGTCAATTCGTCCTGGATTACCTGGTTTCCCAGGAGATACTTCCGCCGCCTTCAGAACCTGTGTCACGCCCACCGTCACCGCCGGTGACCCACAAAGAAGAAGAGAGAATGGAGAAGCCAAAAGAAGCCTGCTCCTCGGGGTCCTCTTCGCCTCATCAGAGCCCTTCGTCTTCTCCACTAACCGGCGCTCGCCTGAAGCTTAGACTGGCTCGTTTACGCATCGAGGCCGAGGAACGTGCTCTAGAGAGAAAACTTCGACATGAGCTGGAAATTAAAAGATTGGACGCTGACATCAGACTTCGAGAACTTGAACTCACTCTACAGAGCAGGAAAATCGATCCTGCCGCTGTTCGGACGTTTCAACCAGCCGAGGGCTCAGACGCCGCCATTTTGCCGCCCCTTGGGGATGACCGACCGGAACCAGAGACTCAGCTTGGTTCTACGTTTACTACACCCCACTTTGACATCAGCAAATGCCTCACGCTCCTGCCCCCATTCCGAGAGACATCAGTTGGGCGTTGGCACGGAGGTGTTAACTCTCCTCTCTCTCCTTGTTCAAGACGTTAAAGTCTCGTGTGTTACCCGAGTGGTACTTCCAGTTTCATTACCTGAGTGGTATTTGTCTGCTTTGACACCTGAGTGGTAATTTTGTTTACATTGATAATAGTAGACAGTGTGTCCTCATTTAATGAGAGACTTTGCTCACCCTTTTGGTGTTGATTTTGTGTTATTTCGTGTAGCTTTATTCCAGCCCTTTAGCGCTGCGCTTTTGTTTATCTTGTGATGTATCAGGCAGCGGGGGAGGAACCTCTGCAGGGACTAAACAAGGCTGAGTCACAGTGTTGTCACGTTCATGAAATAGCTTTAATGGTCTTTAACAGGGCAACATGGAGAACATGCAGGACGTGTGAGGACCAGGGTTGGGAAACTCTGCTAACTGACCCTTTGTACCAACGTCACCTAATCACGTGGGTCCACCATGGTGGACGGCAAAAGCATGTAAACAGTGAGCGACACGAGTACTAAACAAAGGGAAAAGTAGAGCCTGAAATTGTTTTTGCGATCAAAACAGAAACAAAACTTCTCCAGCATTCCTTCAACTAGTTCATGCCCAGTTCAGTTATCAGAAGAAGTAGCGCATCTAGCGGGGGGCTCATAGAGAGCGGTATGCTAACTAGCTTACCAACGTTAGCTTACGTTCTCTCTGCAGCTGTTCACCGATGTAAACATGTTGCTGACTTTGCCTAAATTCACCCCTCTGGATTTATAACTTTATGTTGTAAACAGCGTTTCACTTTACACCAAAGCTGATTGTTAAAAAGTCCGGATCCCTACCAGCTTCTGTTTCTGGTGGTGTTACCGGGTTCAGCTGCTGCTCTCACACCGGAATGAGAAGATCTCTGAACGCCGACGCTCATATAAATAAATAACGTAATTTTAACACACGTAATCGTACATCGGAGCTTTAATATTGTTAATAATTGTCTCGCTTTACACTACAGTGTACGGCTCACAGCCTCCGTGGTGAAATACCCGTCCATCAGGATTATCAATAACTAGCATAAACACATCACATTTATCCCTGTCCCTGTCTTCCTCGTGAAATAAATGAGCGTTAATCTTACCCGGTAAAAACATGCTCGCTGCAAATCTGAGGGCTGCTAGTCCGCTTCATTGATCGCTGCAGTTCATCTCCGTCCTCAGTCTCCATCAAAGTTATTAAAAACAAAACGAGCTGAGTTTATGTCCTCGTCTGTTAGTGCAGCCGACCACGCAGCAAGCTAAACCCATTTTACTGTCAAATCAGCTAATAAAAGGGATGAAAGGCTACAAACTGGCTTGTTTTTACTACCTTCACTGGAGTTTCTACGGGTGTAAACTGTCTTTTTGCCGTCCATCATGGGGAAGGGGGTGGCCACGAGTGGCGTGACGTCACGTGCAAATGGTCATTAACCTACTGGACGGCTTTTCCTCCACATCACAAGCTAAGCCTCCTTCAGATAATGAAGTTACCTTTATCTTTAGAAAACAAGCCGATTGTGTCGCAGCATCTGGCTCCATCTCTGAGAGGAGTGATGGACGACCTGCAGCATGGCTGGTCTGGTTTCTGATGAGGAACCTTTTATTTAACGGAATTTAAACAACTTTAAGTAAAACAAAAACCCCGTAAGACCAAATCCACCCACCCACCCGCTGGGTCACGTTTACTTTAATGTCACTGTGATCCGTGTGTGTGTGTGTGTGTGTGTGTTTAGTTACAGATGAGGACGAAACATAATCGGCCTGCCCGAGGGCCACTGAAGCTGGCTTCCTGTTGACCTACTGACCTTGTAGAGAGCGCTGACTTTCTCTTGACATTTGATGTAGTCTTCATAGTCTGCAAACACTTTGAACCTGCAGAGCAGATGCACAGTAGCTGTTTAACAGGACGGATGCGTGTCAACACAGGCTCTGGACTCTGAGCAGGCTCTGACCTGTCATGGTGCATCAGCATGTTGACCAGGTCTTTGAAAAGGCCCGGCTGAGCTGGGCTGAAGAAACCTCCGGATATCTGATCTATGGCCTGCTTCAGCTCTGGGAGTCGGTTGTAGTACGACACTGCATCATAGCTGAGGACAGCAGAGCGGTTGTGTAGCCATTCAGTCAATCAACTAAACCAGCACACATATTCTCCTGTAAGCAGTCACCTGTGGGTGATGTACCTCTGAGGACCTAGGTCAGACCGACTTTGGTGATTTCATCTCTATGATACAATTCAATTCAATTCAATTCAAAAATACTTTATTAATCCCAGAGGGAAACTGATTGCTGTAGTAGCTCAGAATAATAATAATAATCAAGTCATCAAAGAGTTGTTGTATATTACAATGGCTGTTGGCAGGAAGGATCTCCAGTAGCGGTCAGTGTTGCAGCCAAACTGAAGAAGCCTCTGACTGAAGACACTCTTCCGTTGTCGGACAGTCTTGTGAAGAGAACGCTCAGGGTTGTCCATCATCTTCTTGATTCTCTGGAGAATCCTTCTTTGCATTATCTCTTCCAGCGGTTCCGAAACTGCCGAAACTCTGGCTGAGTCCTTGAAAGGGCTTGGAGTTCCTCCATCTTGTTGGCCAGTGATCTCACATTGCCCATTATGATCGATGGAAGAGATGGTTTGAATTTCCTCTTTCTCTGTCTCCGTTTTGCTCCCGCTCTGCACCCTCGCTTCTTGTGTTTTAGCTCATTTGGGATTTGTGGCTTCAGTTGAGGTTTTATTTCAGCCTTTCCAATGTTAATCAGCTGCTCCCGATTGTAAACCAGCTTGTTGCCATGGTTACGCATCATAACAAATGCTCAAAAAGTGAGAAAAGCTAAAAAATAGCAGTAAAAATCCTCCGAGCTTCACAGCACCAGAAACAGAAAAGTAAAGTGTCCAAAAAAAAATACAGTTTTTCTTGAGAAACTAGAAGCAAATATGCCCAAGAAAAGGCTAAACTTACATGAAGTCAGCAGATCTACTCCAACATGCAGCCGCCCAGAGCAGCGCAGTTTCGGAAAATACTCACCCTTTCTTATCCAGAGCATCCACATCTTCCACCCTCATGCCAAATATGAACATGTTTTCCTCTCCAGCCTCTTCTGCCATCTCCACATTGGCTCCATCCATGGTGCCGATGGTGAGGGCCCCGTTCAGCATGAATTTCATGTTTCCAGTGCCAGAAGCCTCGGTGCCAGCGGTGGAGATCTGCTCAGACAGGTCTGATGCAGGAATAACTGCACAGAAAAAGAAACCTTAGCTTTGGATACGATATGAGGCTTGAACTGTCCAACACTAGCAGCTCCACCAGCATAAACGATTACCTTTCTCAGCCAGAGTGACTCTGTAGTTCTCCAGGAAGATGACCTTAAGGCGATCTCCCACCACAGGGTCATTGTTTACAATATCACCGATGGATGTGATCAGCTTGATGATCATTTTGGCTGTGTGGTAACCCGGAGCAGCCTGGAAACCGACAGGGCCCACATGTTGGAAAAGACCAGCAGCTATAGGACTGTGCTAACGTAGCATCAGGTGTGCATGTTAGTTAAACATCCAATCACAGAAAGGATTGAACAAAACTAGACGCCACCACTGGAGAAGTAAGATGGCTGCCATGGCTAATCACTAATGTGTGCACCGAGTCAAGGTTTGGCGTGTTTGAGATCCGGGCTTCACTTGGTTCAGCTCCATGTCAGGGTTGCTTCTGGACCCTCAGAAATATCAGTGACGTAAATCTGCTTCCTCGCGGTAACATCTAGTCTCGCGTGTGTGGAGCTCACCTTTCCTCCAATCATGATGGTTCGAGGGGTCCACAGCTTGTTGGGTTCCTTCTTGATGCCTAATTTAGGAAGAAAGACATCCCATGTTGTCATGGAAACAAATCTGATTGCTCATTCTTCGGCAGCACTCACGGTTGTACAGTGTGATGATGTGCAGGCAGTTCAGCAGCTGCCTTTTATACTCGTGGATCCTCTTCACCTGGAGATCAAACATGGAGTTGGGGTTGATCTTCACCTTGTAGTGTTCCTCCAGGTGGGCAGCAAACTTCAGCTTATTCTCCTTTAAAGTTGAGCAGAAGGACAAAGGATATCAAAAAGGACAATAAGTTTCACTTTGTAACAGAATGAAATGAGTGTTTTCCATCAAAAGTCATCTCCCCCTCTCCTCTGAGACAGAACTAGTCTGCATGAGATATGGCCTCAAGGTCTCATGCATTTGTTCTAAACTGCTTCTTTCCAGCCCAACAGAAGAATGAAGAAAGGACTCACTCCTTTTAATTAATCAAAGAACTCTATTTTAATAAAGCTAATCAAACAAAGTGTTAGTCAATAATAAGATGTGACCAATCTGTGAAATGAAAATATTAATTACTTTATTATAATCCTATAGAATATAATAATATGACTTTAAATGTTTCCACTAGGACTGATCTCATGTAGCATTAAAACATGACACATTGCTTTACTGATGCAATCAGAATCTGCCAGATCTGATGGAGGCATGGTTTTGGTGGTGTTTGGTAAATCTGTCATCTTTTCATTCGACCATAAACCAAAACATCCGAAGTATAAAACTATGCCCACGTCATCTCTAACGCCAGTTCAAAGCGTTCTAGAGAAGTTGTCGGAGTGGCCAATCCGTAACTTTCCTCTTCAGCCAAAACAACCAACGACAAGCTGGATAAAATCTGTTGCTGTTCCACCTGCTGCAACGGTTCCTTTCAGAATAAAAGCTGAACCAACACGACCCAGGTTTGGATCTCGCTAGATGCCAACAAAACTGTCGTGACCCGTAAGTATCTCAAGACTGGTGGTCGGCAACCGTTGCTTTTCCTACCGGCTCCAGTTCCAGAGAAAGTCAAGCTGGACCTCGACATTCCTGATCTAACGGGGACTTCTGCTAAGGGTATGTAGGCCAACAGAATGGCGTTGAATGTGTTTATGAATCTCCTAACCAAAGCTTAGCGCGAAGACATCACCTTCAATGCCCATCAGAACTAATCGCTTCTTCAGATTTGCTGGTTCTGAGCAACATTCCACATCACACCATCCTTCGTCTCATCCACCTTAGTTACACCATACATTTAGTGTTAAAGTTAGTCTAGTTTAATTGGTTTAGTAATAAATCTTTAAACTTTTAAACTCGACTCTCTCTTCTGTTGTCTCTGAGTGAATACGAGGCTGTTATCTAATCCCTGCAATAAAAAGTTCCAATCTTCTGGTTTAAAATAACCTCACAGATCCATAAGGGTGATTTCATATTTACTATGGAATCTTATGTCTTATGGCTCATTAAATAACATGTAAATTAACTCATTACAACTTCCACTGAAACAAAAACACTCACTTGCTTGATCTTTGCCACATCTCTGATGAAGGCATCATCATCTACAAAGTCCAAAAGCTTCTTCAGCTGGTCCAGGTCACGGATGTAGTTCTCTCCAATCCTCTGAAAGGGAAAGAGGCCGACAGGTTTCAGTTTGCTTATTTTATTTGCAAATATTCAAGTTTTCATCTCTATTCTGCTGAGCTTTCCTCAGAAAATCATCTCAGTGGAAAAAACACCAAAGAGCCCATTTGTGAAACTTCTGCTTTGAACCAAAACAGCAGTTTCACTTGATTCTAAGTATTCTAGTTGCTATGTATTATGCAGAGGTGTGTGTGTGTCTTTTTATTTATTTTTGTTTTGATTGCATCGAGACACAGACCGCTGTTTAAAGGGACTTTACGGAGTTTTGAATTTTTATGCTCGTGATCGCCCCCTCAGGCCAAAAGCGTAACGGCAGCTTCAATAGTAGGCTCGTGCACGAGGCGCGCATGCTGTACGTGCACACTCCTTAATGAAAATAACAGCTGAGACAGTCCCGTGTGTGTGTGTGTGTGTGTGTGTGTGTGCGTGCGTGCGTGCGTGCGTGCGTGCGTGCGTGTGTGTGTGTGTGTGTGTGGCCCGGAGGACAGAGGACAGGAGAACTCGCAGCTAATTAATTAAATAATTTGGTTCTGTAGCTTTCTCTTCAGCACAGCCGACAAAGGTTTATGATGGGTCAGTCCTCCTGCATGCTCAGATCATTCCCTTCCCTTGCTTGAAAAATTGTTCCAAAATGAAAGTTGAACCCACATCTTTTTTATCTGTGAATTCAATGCCGTTTGGCGAGTCTCAAATAAAAATTTGGGCATCTTACTGTAAAAAAATATACCATTAATGTAAAAAAGAAACTTTAAATAAACTATGTTCACATCCAGAATCAAACCCAGGTCTCCTGCATGAGAGTCAGACATCTTACTAGGTGAGCTAAAGCGCCAGTGACATCTAATTGTATCTGTAACATTTATATCCTTGATGACAGCTGAAACAACGTTCAAAGAACGGTTCGGAGTGAAAATGGCTATTTTGTTGCTAATTTGCAGGAAATATCTAGAAGAAAGTTCTACAGAAAGTAGCTAAGGGTCCTCAGAAATGTAGCTAGCTTTGTCACTAGGCGTTAGGAACAGCGACAAAGTGGCACTGCCTCTCTCTCTGCTGCTAAAGCTACGGATAGCAAATGCTACGGGCGATGCCTGAGCGTGAACGCGCATGAAGCAGCCTGCTCGACCCGAGCATCTCTCTTTTTCTGTGATTTTACAGAAAAACAGGCAATCACAGTAAAAATGCCAGGGCTCATTCTACAGGACCAGGGCATTGCAGGAGAATGTATGAAGAAGACATTTATTATTTCTATACATGTTTTGGCTGTCACACTTCCATAATGTCCCTTTAAAGCCCCTCTGTTTTCATGTTTCAGCCTCTTTGGTGGTGTCATCCGTAAGCCTACAGAGCTGCTGAATCTACAGGCGCAGCCAGCGAAGAGCAGAGTACACATGCCTGTGCTCGGTGTGATGGAGCATTATCGGTTAAAGGCAGACAAGGATCGGGAAACAGAATGCTGACGTAGATCGTCCAGATGGGAAATGAAGCAAACTGAGTCCTACGGCTTCACTCTGAAGGGTGAAACTCAGACATGATGAAAAAGTTCATTCATTTCAGTAATTCAACTTAAAAGAATAAAACTAAAATATGAGATGGACTCATTATATGCATATCCAGATATTTCAAGCCTTTACTTGTTATAATTGTGATGATTGTGGCTTAGAGCTTACGAAAACCCCACATTCAACATCTCAAACAGTTAGAACGGGGGTGCCCAGGCCTGGTCCTGGAGGGCTAGTATCCATTAGTTTTAGTGGTTTCTCTGCTCCAACACACTTGAGCAGCAGCTCACCAGGCTCTGCAGAAGCCGGTTAATCACCTGCTGATTGAAGCAGGGTTAAAACTAAAACCTGTTGGATACCGGCCCTCCAGGACCAGGACTGAGCGCCCCTGAATTAGAATATTGTGAAAAGGTTCGATATTCTAGGCTGAAAGTGTCACACTCTAATCAGCTAACGGATTTACAACACCTGCAAAGGGTTCCTGAGCCTTTAGATGGTCTCTCAGTCTAAGTAGAACTAAATTAAACAGACTTTTGCACCTTAAACTTATTTTTCCAGTTTCACTTGTAAATATATCCACATTTCAGCCTCATCGTTTCTGAACTGTTGCAAACTTAGTCTGGGAAATAATGACCTAAAGCTTGGATCTCTAGCAGCCTATGCAGAGAGGCACAGACTTCCCTCTCCCCAGCTACTTGGGCCAGCTCCTCCGGGGGAATCCAAAGGTGTTCCCTGGCCAGCTGAGAGACGTAGTCCCTCCAGTGTGTCCTGGGTCCTCCCTTAGATCTTCTCCCAGTTGAACGTGCCCAGAAGACCACACCAGGGAGGCGTCCAGGAGCCGTAGGGATGGGTACCGAATTCGGTACTTTTTAAGGTACCGACCGAGCACCATTTCACGTCATTTGAAACGGTGCCTCGTTTCGGTACCCGTCCTTCATAACGAGAACTTGCCTAGACAGCTGCGCATGCGCAAGAGCGTTATGTCGTCGGTCGCTGCGAGCCAGTTGTAAACAGAGCAGCATGGTAGAAAGAACGCACGCTAAAGCTTGGGTCCACTTCACTAAATGTGATGGGTAACTGGGTGATGATGAAACCAGCGACAACGATCTAAGTGAGACATCCTCATCTTAATCTGCTCCGGTAGGTAAATAAAATGTTTAAGATAACGTTAGCTTGATATGTTAGCTTCTGTTTCACTAATGGTGCGTTTGCTTTCTCCTCGGAACTCCGAATTTCCGACAAGAAGAACATGAACGCGCTCTAGTTTGGCTTCACTTCACTAAATGCGACGGGTGATTGGGTGAAGATGAAACCAGTGACAACGATCTAAGTGTGAGGCATCATCGTTTTAATCTGCTCCAGCAGCTAAATAAACTGTTTACGATAACGTTAGCTTGATATGTTAGCTTCCATTGCCGCCATTGTTATCAGCTAATGGTGCGTTCACTTTCACCTCGGAAATTCTAACTTCCCAGTAGAAAAAATCAAAGTAAAAAGGACGGCAAAAGGAATGAAGATACACAGTAAATTTAGTTCACAGTAAAGATGTTTGCTTCAGTTTAATTATCAGCTTATAAAACTACAAGGACGATGTTAAAATACAAACAGTTGTATGTTATTTATCCTGATATTTATCAAACATGGTTATAAATTGAGAAAAATATATATTTAATTATAAAAGAGAATTAAAATATTAAACACTCAAAAGTATCTAAAATTGGTACCGTTATGTACCGGTATCGATTCCTAGGTACCGGGAATTAGTACCGAATCGATTCAAATGTCAAAGGTACCCATCCCTACCAGGAGGCATCCTCACCTCACAACGATATCATTAAGTTATTGTGTTTAAAGCAGAACACACCTCAGCAATGACCTCAGCAAGGCCGGGGTTGCACATGACCAGCCACCTCCTGGGTGTGATACCGTTGGTCTTGTTCTGAAACTTCTGAGGGTCGATATCGTAGAAATCTTTGAACCTGCAGAAGAAGGGTTGTTCTGGTCAGAACATAAACACTAAAAACACAAACATCTTCATTTGGGTTTTAATCTTTTACACGGTGTTCTTGATGATTTCTGAGTGGATGCGGGCCACTCCATTAACGGCATGGGACCCCACAATACACAGGTGAGCCATGTTGATTTTCTTGATGTCCCCTTCTTCGATCAGGGACATCCTGCGGAGACGGTCAAAGTCTCCGGGATAAAGTTTGCCGATGCGCTGGAGGGTCAAAGAGCAACACACACAGACCATTAAACAACCCTTAGAGAAAATTCAGTTCATCAAACAGTAGAAAGAACAAAAGTAGTTCAGTAACTGAACATTTCTGCTGTCTAAAGGTTTTCCTGCTCCCATGGAAACCACTTGATCATACAGTGTTGCGCCTCTTTCCAGGCCAGGAGATCGGGAAGAGGGCAACACAAAGTTAACACACCACACCTTAATGAAAAGCAGGCGTAGCCTCTGGTTAGAAAACGGGTTATTAACATAAAGAGCCCCTCTACAAAAGGTAGAGGGCAAAACCTAAACTAAAGATCAGGAATCCAACTAAAAGAGGTTGCTATAAAACACAACGGAGTAGAAACGAGGGTAGAATTAAAAGCTAGACTGAGGAAGCCAACAGGAAATAACCAGTTAAGGCCAAAAGCAGTTAGTGCTCATAAAAACTTCTAAGAGCAAACAAAAGTCTCATAAAGAGCTTCTAAAGCTCAGTGTAGTTCGGTAGAGCTTGACACAAAAGAAATTGCACCCACAAACAAAGTCTCTAGGGACAAAAAGAGCTCTAACGCTCTGAGTAGCTCTTTGAGCTTACTACAAAAGGGAATGTAACCCACTAAGTCTCTTAAGGACCAGACGAGCTCTAACGCTCTGTGTCTACGTGGAGAGCACCAGTCTGTATCTGACACCCTCCTCGAACGGGTGACAAGCACCAGTATTTAAAAGCTGTTCATTAAGCGCAGATCCGCTCCGGCGAGGATCCACCGCGTGCCGCTCTCCACGGTCCTGAACCAGCCGAGCGTGGCTGAAATGCTGCTCTCCAGGGTGCTGATTCTCCGTGCCGTAAAAACAGAAGACTTAAAAGACCGTGGGGCCGCTGGACCTCCGCAGGACGGGACTGCTAGACCCAGGGATCACATACAGAAGATCTAACAAGGTGCTCAAAGGCAGCATCTTATGGAGCCAGGATATACGGCAGTCACTGAATGCAACACAGAAGATCCTCCATGTTATGTCAGTTTTGTTTTACAAATGATTGATACTTAGTTTTTTTTTTTAACAAAATGACTTTTACTCCAGGCAACATATTTTTCATTCAAGTTTATAAATTAATTCAGTAAAACCTGAGTTTTGTTCTGGCTAGTTCATTCTAGCAGAGAACTGTGTAGTTCCTCTGCATCTGACCGTCCACGAGGAGAACCGAGCTCCACGAGGACCACCATCAGGGTTCAGAGTCGGCCCGCCGGGATCAATTCAATTCAATTCAAGTTTATTTATAAAGCACCAAATCACGACAAGAGTCGTCTCAAGGCACTTCACATAATAAACATTCCAATCCAGGTCAGTTCATTAAGCCAATCAGAAATAATGTTTCCTATATAAGGAACCCAGCAGGTTGCATCGAGTTGCTGACTAGTGTCAGAGTCTTTACAGCAATCCTCATACTAAGCAAGCATATAGCGACAGTGGAGAGGAAAACTCCCTTTTAACAGGAAGAAACCTCCAGAGAATCCTGGCTCAGTATAAGCAGCCATCCTCCACGACTCACTGGGGATCCAGAAGACAGAACACACACACGCACACGCACGCACGCACGTGCGCGCACGCACACACACACACACACACACACACACACACACACACACACACACACACACACACACACACACACACACACACACACACACACACACACACGTATACCAAGTAGTGTTTCTATGGTTACATTGTGATTTCTTAGTAAATATTCTGTTTGGCGAGAGATAAACTTTATTGTATTTATCCTAGTGAATCTATAATTAAACGGGTAAACTAGTAGTAGCACATCCAACGTCAAGGAAAGTAAAGTTATTATCAGGAGAGAGAGAATGTATTAGTGGTTAGCTGCAGTGTGCTAGTCGATGGCCCCCTCCATGAGGGGCTTTAGCTAGAACCTCCTCTTTCCCCCGCCTCCATCAACAGTTATCTAACTACGATGACTGTGTCTGCAGAGGTGTGACCAAGTCACTGCTTTGCAAGTCGCAAGTCTTTCCAGTCAAGTCTCGAGTCAAGTCCAAGTCAAAGACAGACAAATCAAGTCCAAAGTCAATGATGTGGAAGTCCAAGTCCTTAACTTTGAATTTTCAAGTCATAATCAAGTCATCTGTCCAACTTCTATTTAATGATGATGATAATAAATAAATTCCAGAAATAAAGTTTCATTTGAATAAAAGTGAATCCTCAAACAGCAGAAACTAAACAAAGCGCTGCTGCAGAACAACATCACACCCAGAACGAAGAATGATTTATGACTTTTGTCCATGTCGGGCCACTTTTGTGCTAAAATATCAAATATGCTCAAGTCACCGAGTGAACAGATGCAAGTCGATTCAAGTCGCAAGTCATTGGCGTTCAAGTCCGAGTCAAGTCCTAAGTCTTTATAGATTTTATCAAGTCAAGTCAGAAGTCAATAAAGTAATGACTCGAGTCTGACTCGATTCCAAGCCATGCGACTCGAGACCACACCTCTGTGTGTATCTGCTCACCAGTTTAACCAGTGTAGAGTCAAATAATTCATGTGACAGGTTCTCGTTAATACCTCCAGATGCCGCCTGTTGATCTCGTAGATGATCTCCAGGTGTCGCGGCAGCAGGTTTCGGAACAGGTCAACCGGCCAGCGCTCCAGAGCCTCGGGCAGGACGGTGTGGTTGGTGTAGGCACAGGTACGAACCACGATGTCCCAGGCCTGGACACAGAGCAAGCAGCGGCTAAACGCTAGCATAGCTTTTACTTTAACTGACAATAAACCGATGTACCCCGGCTCTTTCATTCCACATTTTTATTACGACCTTGTGCTACATAAGAAATCCTTTCTTCTTCTTCTTCGTCTTTACTGTAGTCACGAATACACTCCAAAAACAACGTTGATTCAGTAGCTTTGGTTAACTTGATTTATATATATATATATATATATATATATATATATATATATATATATATCTATATATATATATATATAGATATATATATATATATATATATTAAAAAAACTGAGAAAATGATACAGATAAACACACCTGGACCTCTTGAAGCCACCCATGTGGTGGACATTCAAAACAAGCCTGGAGCCTGAGCTCAGCCTCCCACCAAGAGGACTTTACACGCCTCTCAGTGGATCAGATTCTGTGCGTTGAGACAGGCAGGAGCTAGCGTCTCATTCTAAGGTGAAAAGATGTAAATCTCGTTGGGTGCTTGTGCCTAATCTGATTGCGAGTAAACAAACAATTCCGTCGTCATTCGATGGACAGATGGTCCTCGTGGTCCGACAGAAAGCTGAGGGCCAAGTGAAGTGGCCCAGATCAGCAATCAGAGACTAATCCATGGAAAAAGTAAGTGTGACTACCTCCATAAACCTTCAAAACCTGGAAGGTCATCTACCTTTTCCCATGAGAGCTTTTCAGTGTCCACAAGGAGCCTCATCAGTTCTGGGATGGCGAGAGCAGGATGAGTGTCGTTCAGCTGGATGGCAACCTGCAGGAAATCAGCACACAACAAAATATCACCTAAACACGTTTAGTGCAACATTTACACAGAACTCCAACAGGTGCCGAGGGTTTTAGAGGCCAACTTAACGCGTTTGGTCAACGCATTTGCAGTGGCCTTTAGTATAAATGAATGCCTCGTTAGTCGATCTCTGTGGGGAAAAAAAGCTCTGGCGCTCCTGTTTCAGGAACTAGAAGTGAGCCGGATCAGAGTTGAGCTAAACACGGCAGGCTTTAGAGTCCTCGCCTCTGATTGGCTAACAGCAACATGACTCTACCACTGACTCTGTAAGCTTCTCAACGTTGATGTTTTGTCTCCACCAAACAAACAAGTCTGAAGGTGTTCTGCCATGTTGTGGAGTTGCTAATGCTAACGGTTAGCTTTTACTAGCCAAGATGTGCTCTGCTCTCTCCTGGACATTAAATGAACAACAGCCTTCCCCGTCAAGAGCCAGGACGGGTGAGTACATGAATGCAAATTGTTCAATGTGACGCGTAACGGCTTTTCTAATCTGAACATTGCCCCATTTATTGTCTATGGGTGGCTAATTCAGGAAATAAGGGTAGAAGACACTTTTCATGTTAGGCCAGTAATGTTAAACTAAGAGTGAGGATCATGTGGAAAAGATGTTAGTCTGTGTGTGAAGGGTCAGATCATCTGCACCAAGCAGAGAAAATATCGAAGGAGATGCAGAAACGACTAAAACCGGGTTTAGACGTTTATTAAAACTGGTCTGATGAGTCCAGATGGACCCTGTTCCAGAGTGATGGTGCATCAGGGTAAGAAGAGAGGCAGATGAAGTGAAGCACCCATCATGCCTAGTGCCTACTGTACAAGCCTGTGGGGGCAGTGCTATGATCTGGGCTTGCTGCAGGTGGTCAGGTCTAGGTTCAGCAACAGGATGTGCTCCAAGGACGAGGTCAGCTGACTACCTGTATGACCAGGTTATTCCATCTTCCCTGACGGCACTGCCATATTCCGAGATGACAATGCCAGGATCCATTGGGATAGTGAGAGAGTGGTTCAGGGAACACGAGACATCATTTTTTATACGTGGATTGGCCACCAGAGTCCAGACCTTAACCCCATTGAGAATCTTTGGGATGTGCTGGAGAAGGTTTTGTGCAGCGGTCAGACTCTACCATCATCAGTGCTAGATCTTGGTGGAACGTTAATGATGGAATTAAATCTGGTGACATTGCAGAAACGTATGGAAACAACGCTACAATAAAATAAACGCTAAAGGTGGTCCAACGAAAGAATAGAGTGTGATGGTTTTTTAGTGGCAACTTAATTTTGGCCAGGTAGTGTACCGGTAAATGCAACGTCTGATTTGTTGTCATTTTAGTTACAAAGTTTTATAAGCTAATAAATTTCTAAGTGGATGACAGACAAACACGCATCATCAGCATTTAAACTGAAGTACCACATATGTGCGATTCAGGGCGAAAGGTAACGCAGATTATTATGGTCCAATTGTTCCAGAGACCCACGAGGCGACCGGAAGGAGAGGAGACTCTGGTCAAAACCTAAAATCCCACCATGTGTGATCTGAAGTCTCGGTGGTTTAATGACTCTCAGCTCCCAACATCTATTTTAAACAGACTGACTAGCCATGGTTACTAGTCGAGTTGAGTGGTGTCATTAAAAGCCGTCCAGCGGTTCAGGAGCTAGTTAACTAACAGACAGACAATGTTAGGACACCTCTGAAGGCAACTGTAACAGAATGAAATGAGTGTTTTCCACCAAAAGTCATTTTCCCCTCTCCTCTGACACAGAACTAGTCTGCATGAGATACGGCCTCAAGGTCTCATGCATTTGTTATAAACTGCTTCTTTCCAGCTCAAGAGAAGAATGAAGAATGGACTCTTTTCTTTTAATTAATCAAAGAACTCTATTTTAATAAGCTAATCAAACAAAGTGTTAGTCAATAATAAGATGTGACCAACCTGTGAAATCAAAATATTAATGACTTTATTATAATCCTATAGAATATAATAAGTAATATGACTTTAAATGTTTCCACTAGAACTGATCTCACGTAGCGTTAAGACATGACACGTTGATTTACTGATCCAATCAGAATCTGCCAGATCTGACGGAGGCCTGGTTTTGGTGGTGTTTGGTAAATCTGTCATCTTTTCATTCGACCATAAACCAAAACATCCGAAGTATAAAGCTATGCCCACGCCATCTTTAACGCCAGTTCAAAGCGTTCTAGAGAAGTTGTCGGAGTGGCCAATCCGTAACTTTCCTCTTCAGCCAAAAGAACCAACGACAAGCTGGATAAAATCTGTTGCTGTTCCACCTGCTGCTACGGTTCCTTTCAGAATAAAAGCTGACTCATCACGACCCAGGTTTGGGTCTCACTAGATGCCAACAAATGGTCGTGACCCGGAAGTATCTCAAGACTGGTCTGGTCGGCTGCCGCGGCTGTTTCTACAGGCTCCGGCTCCATAAGGTCAAGCTGGACCTTTACACCTCCTGATCTAACGGGGACTTCCACTAAGGGTATGCAGACCGACAAATGGCATCGAATGTGTTTATGAATCTCCAAATCAAAGCTTAGCGCGAAGACCTCACCTTCATTTCCCATCAGAACTAATCGCTTCTTCGGATTTGCTGGTTCTGAACAACATTCCACACTACACCATTCTCCGTCTCATTCACCTTAGTTACACCATACATTTAGTGTTAAAGTTAGTCTAGTTTAATTTGTTTAGTAATAAATCTTTAAACGTTTAAACTCGACTCTCTCTTCTGTTGTCTCGGAGTTCATACGAAGCTGTTATCTAATCCCTGCAATAAAAAGTTCCAATCTTCTGGTTAAACAGTACCCACAGATCCATAAGGGTGATTTCATATTTACTATGGAATCTTATGTCTCATGGCTCATTAAATAACATGTAATTTAAATCATTACACAACTATGGAAGCAGGTAAGTGATGAAACAATCACCTTGTCTGGCATCGTAGAAAGGTCCAACCGGACAAATTCTGTGGAGCCAAACTTGGAGGCTTTGAATCGTCGGATGATGTCCTGAAGAGTTGCTGCTACAACGAAGTACTCCTGCTTCAGGCGCAGCTCCTTTCCCTCAAAAAACTGAAGAACATAGAACATAGGAGCTTCAGCCAACTGGGGGCAGCAGAGCTCCACAGCCAGATGAGGATGATGAAGGTGAATCCAGACTACACAGAGGACCTAACAGACAGCTGGTGGGGGCAGTGGCGTGTCCAGATCTTTTAGAATGGGGTGGCCCAGGTGAGACTCTACTCTGTGCATATGTGGCACCAGTGGTTATGCTTTTTTGTTTTACCTCAAGCCTTTTGTGGACAATGAAAAGCCTATTTAAAGGAAATTCAGTGTGGTGACACCTGGGGTGGCCAATCAGATTCCAAGGGTGGCATGTGCTACCCCAGGCCACTCCCTGGACACGCCCCTGGGTGGGGGTCACTTCCTGGTTTCAAACTCAGATAAACTAAAGGTGAGGAGATTAGAGAAGTCTGTCTAAAACACTCACGTTGTCGTTTGGGTAGAGAACTCTGGAGATGTTCTCAGCCAGGTTCCGATCCAACACCGCCTGGATGTAGCCGCCAACATTAACTGAAGGACAACAGCGGGTGAGCTGCTTATGTTCAGAGCCAAAGGCAAACATCTGCAGCAACACTCACAGTCCTTGAGGTTGAAGTCACAGGGAGCCTTTGCAGACCACAGCCTCATGGTGTTCACAATGTTGTTTCTGTAACCAGGAACCGGGGTGTCGTAGGGGAGGGCCAGAACCATCTGGTGTAGAACAATCAAACACACACCGGCTCATTCCTGGCTGGTAATCTCCGGAATATCGGCTTTCCAGCTGAACAAGATTCTAGTCTCAACTAAATAAAGTCAGTTAAAGACAAACTGGGGTGAAGAACTCTTATTGTGATGACTAGATTCTAAATGTTGACTCTGTCCTTGCTCAAGGGCACTTCAGCACTCTCACAGGACCAGGCATCAAACTGCTGACCTTACAGATGATCCAGCTGTGGGAGTCTTGCTCCGACTGACCTGTGTGTCGACCCATTCCACTCCTTCAGCCGTGTGTTCCACTCGGCCGTAGAAGTGGACCGGGCGCATGTACTCGGGCCGGGCTTTCTCCCAGGGGTTTCCGTATCGGAGCCAGTCATCCGCCTCTTCCACCTGTTGGGAAACCAGCAGCTCCAGATGTTTTAGTTTAACCAGTTAGTTCCACGCTGCCGTTGTGTGACTTGTTCTGACTTTAGAGTGGTTTGGTTGATTTTGTAATGGAACTCCGACTCTGACTTGTGATTTCTGGTTTTCTGGCCGGGATTTAGGAAGTGTTGGTTGGATTCGGAAGTTTGGAAAATCCTGACTCATCTTAAGCCAACTAAATCCAGATTACTGCTGCCGTGTGACCCGGTCTCTGTCCTTACCAAGTTCTAGTCACACTAAACAAGTAGTTTATTCCCATGTTACACAAATTACAGATGTCCACTGGAGAAATGTTTCTCTGAAATTAAATCATCTGTAGACCCGTGTCTTTGGGTAAGGAACCCAGATGAACTTTGACCTCTGAGGAGATTCACCAAATTAGGACAGAAGTGGTGTTTTTATGGAGTGGTTCATTTGAGCCGTCAAAAGCCTGCCAGTCTGGTGGATACGTGCAGAAATTAACTGGAATTTGAATAAAGATCCCAGTTTGGACCATCACAGAGCGCTGGTCCTGGTAAGGGGATGAAGGACGGGCTGCCTGGTAAAATTACTTTGCTAATATTGTCGTCTTCCTCCGCTTATCCGGGTCCGGGTCGCGGGGGCAGCATCCCAACTAGGGAGCTCCAGACCGTCCTCTCCCCGGCCACCTCCACCAGCTCCTCCGGCAGGACCCCAAGGTGTTTCCGGAACCTGATTGGAGATGTAACCTCTCCAACGTGTCCTGGGTCGACCCGGGGGCCTCCTGCCGGCAGGACATGCCCGAAACACCTCCCCAGGGAGGCGTCCAGGAGGCATCCTGACCAGATGCCCAAACCACCTCAACTGGCTCCTTTCGATCCGGAGGAGCAGCGGTTCTACTCCGAGTCCCTCCAGAATGTCCGAGCTCCTCACCCTATCTCTAAGGCTGAGCCCGGCCACCCAACGGAGGAAACTCATTTCGGCCGCTTGTATCTGCGATCTCGTTCTTTCGGTCATTACCCAAAGCTCATGACCATAGGTGAGGATTGGGACGTAGATCGACCGGTAAATTGAGAGCCTGGCTTTCTGGCTCAGCTCCCTCTTCACCACGACAGATCGGCTCAGCGTCCGCATCACTGCAGACGCCGAACCAATCCGCCTGTCGATCTCCCGATCCCTCCTACCCTCACTCGTGAACAAGACCCCGAGATACTTAAACTCCTCCACTTGAGGTAGGACCTCTCCCCCGACCCGGAGTTGGCAAGCCACCCTTTTCCGGTCGAGAAAATTTGCTAATATCATTACATTTAACTATGCTAACCACTGCTTGCTCTTGATGCTGTTCTCCTACTGTCTCTGCTTCTGATTTCATCCCTGGACATTCAGAACGAGTCGCTATAATTGTTGTCTGAATAAGTTGATCATATCAGATATTGTTTCATTTCCTGTTCTCGTCATCCCCCTCTCAGTAGTTTCCTGTCTTGTGGCGTTCAACCACTTTGAGCAAGTGTCCCTAAAACATCTGTGGGTAGCATGGAACCCTCGGGCTCCCCTGCTGACCGGATGCCCCTGCATATCCTCGCTGATGTCTTCTCAGCACTTGGTCCTTCTGTCCTTATTAGATGTAGCTTAGCTTCGGCTGTCGTGCCCCATACAAGCTCCTGAAAAACCCGGCCATGACAGCCGTTTTATCTTATCGTTGCCCCATCTCTAAGCTGCCATTTTTATCTAAAGCCTTGGAGAAAACAACAAGCTGCAGCACCTTGAAGGAAGTACTGTTAAGGATGTTTTTCATTCTGGGCTCAGGCATCAGCAGCACTGAATCTGACCATCCTGAGGAGACGTTCCCTATGGCGCGGTATGGGGGCCAAAATTAAGACTACTGCCCAGCAGCAGGGGGCTATGTAAATTCTGAAGCAAACTACTGATCTGATTAATGATAAGCTGGCGCCGGTAACTGAGAGGCTGGCGCTGCTTACTGAGAAATAGCACCTTTACCGGCGTTACTACTAGGTACGCTAGGGACTAGCAGCCCTCAGCTGGTCACTGACTGGTTCACACACTCCCTCTGCTGTCTATTAGCATGGATAGGCTAGCATTAGCCTGGATGGGCTGGTGTTAGCATTGGAGAGGCTAGCCATTAACGTGCCTAGGCATGCCACTAGCTGGATTTCCTACCCCCTTGACGGACCATTAGCATGGATAGGCTAGTGTTAGCATCGGAGAGGCTAGCCATTAGCGTGACTAGGCATGCCACTAGCTGGATTTCCTACCCCCTTGACGGACCATTAGCATGGATAGGCTGGCGTTAGCATCGCAGAGGCTAGCCATTAGCATGTCTAGGCTGGCCACTAGCCGACTAGTGGCTCTCCAGCGCCAGTCTCTCAGTTACCGGCAACAGCTTATCATTAATCAGATCAGTAGTTTGCTTCGGAATTTATATAGCCCCCTGCTGCTGGGCAGTAGTCTTAATTTTGGCCCCCATACCACGCCATAGTTTTCCTTCCACTGGACTCTGGTCACTATGAGCCTCTTTCTCACTGACCCGTCTGCTGCCTTTGATACGGTCAGCCATAGCGCAGCATAGCATTAACCTATTGTATGCTTGTATACACCCTTGTATTCATTGTTAATGATGTGTTTCTCTGAATGCATTCTTGCTTTGATGTCTCTCTGTATGTTACTTTGCTGGGTTCAAATGTCACCAGTAAAGTGCTTTGTGAATAATATGATGTGGTGGACTGCTACAGAAATAAAACATGAAGCACAAAGAGAAGCCAAGAACAGATTAAATAGTAGGGATGTAAGAAAATGTCGATTATGGCAATATATCGTGATATTTTCCCCAGCGATATTATATCGATATTAAAAGCTGTGTATCAAAAAATATCGATATCGCAATATATCATGATATTTATTTCTTGCACAAATCCATCAATATTGAAAAGTCGTGTATCTAATTTTTGGAAGAATTTACATGGAAACATTTGTGTATTTTCTTTTCTTGTGGTGCAATTCAAACGCTGACCACTAGTTGGCAGCAGTGTGTAATGGGTTTTGTTTCTACCATTGAAATGTAAATCCCTCTGTTACGGTTAAACATGTTAAGTATCAGTTTGGACTGTTTATTGAATTTTCCTATAATAAATTTAGTCTAAAAAATCGCCAATATCGTCTGACTGAATGTATCGCAATATATCGTGATATACTGTATCGTCTCCCCTGTATCGTAATACGTATTTTACCGCCAGAATTTCACCAATACACATCCCTATTAAATACATATAAGAATAAACGTTTTTGGGGAGACAACTGAAAGCTGTGGAATTACGTGTTTTTCCAGCCCCAGTGTTAGCAGAGGAAAACCATCATTAGGTGTCACGTGCCTGCCAGCCATTGAGAATCTTCTGATTGAAGATGCCGAATTCGTAGCGAATGCCGTAGCCGTAGGCAGCCATCCCCAGGGAGGCCATGGAGTCCAGAAAGCAGGCTGCGGGAACAACAGGAGCAGGGCCGTGAAGTGAGGCGGTGGATGGGGGGGGGGGGGGGGGGGGGCTAGAACTCACCAGCAAGACGACCCAGTCCACCGTTACCCAAACCCGCATCTTCCTCAATGTCCTGCAGCTCCTCCATGTCCAGACCCAACTGCACAACAACAGAACATGATCCCACACTCAGAGCTGTGAGCAGTCACGTAGCGCTCCTCGTTGCCTACATGCTGGACACAAGTCTCAGATCACGTTTACAAACGGTAAATGAGTGAATGTGTCTGGAATCATTCAAGCTTTTTCGTGTAAAACGTTCAGACAAAGCTCAGGAGCCAGCAGCAAACCTCCGTCTTTACCTGATAGGTGGCTTCATCACAGGCATTTTCCAGGCCCAGGTTCACCATGGTGTTCTGCAGAGTCCTGCCCATGTAGAACTCCAGGGAGAGGTAGTAGACACGCTGCAGGAGATCAGAGAAGACCAGTCAGAGCTTCCGTCAGCTGTTCGAGACTGATGGAACTTCCTGTAATACGTGGTTAAATATACAGTGGGGCAAAAAAGTATTTAGTCAGCCACCGATTGTGCAAGTTCTCCCACTTAAAATGATGACAGAGGTCAGTAATTTACATCATAGGTACACTTCAACTGTGAGAGACAGAATGTGAAAAAAATCCATGAATTCACATGGCAGGATTTTTAAAGAATTCATTTGTAAATCAGGGTGGAAAATAAGTATTTGGTCAATAACAAAAATTCAACTCACTACTTTGTAACATAACCTTTGTTGGCAATAACAGAGGTCAAACGATTACTATAGGTCTTTACCAGGTTTGCACACACAGTAGCTGGTATTTTGGCCCATTCCTCCATGCAGATCTTCTCGAGAGCAGTGATGTTTTGGGGCTGTCGCCGAGCAACACAGACTTTCAACTCCCTCCACAGATTTTCTATGGGGTTGAGGTCTGGAGACTGGCTAGGCCACTCCAGGACTTTCAAATGCTTCTTACGGAGCCACTCCTTTGTTGCCCGGGCGGTGTGTTTGAGATCATTGTCGTGTTGGAAGACCCAGCCACGTTTCATCTTCAAAGCTCTCACTGATGGAAGGAGGTTTTGGCTCAGAATCTCACGATACATGGCCCCATTCATTCTTTCCTTACCACGGATCAGTCGTCCTGTCTCCTTAGCAGAAAAACAGCCCCAAAGCATGATGTTCCCACCCCCATGCTTCACAGTAGGTATGGTGTTCTTGGGATGCAACTCAGTATTCTTCTTCCTCCAAACACGACGAGTTGAGTTCATACCAAAAAGTTCTACTTTGGTTTCATCTGACCACATGACATTCTCCCAATCCTCTGCTGTATCATCCATGTGCTCTCTGGCAAACTTCAGACGGGCCTGGACATGCACTGGCTTCAGCAGCGGAACACGTCTGGCACTGCAGGATTTGGTTCCCTGCCGTTGTAGTGTGTTACCCCCAAATTCCACTACCTCCGCTCCGGTCCGCCCCCGCCTTCCGCAGCCGCTCGCTTCCGAACTCAATTTTTACTGGTACCCGCTCTACAACGGCTCTGCTCCGGTACGGAGACCTGAGGTGCGCAAACAGGCATGCGCGGGATTTTCGAGATCTTGCAATACAGTCCGAGCAATAAACGCGGAAGTTAGATCCAAACACCCGTTGTGTGGGAGAAGCATCGGAATGAACTGTTTAATCTGCCCTTCATTTGTGTTGAGAGATCAGCAGTGTTTGGATCAACAAAGTGTGACTACTTTGATAGTGGAAACCGTATTTATGGCTTACTTTTGTGCATTTAAACTTCAGCCGCCATTGATAGTTGTTAAAAGTTGTTAAACCTGTGCAAATGAAACAAAAAACGCCTTTTGTTTATCGATTTATTGTGAAAAACGGAAATTGTGCTTGCTCCTTTTCCTGTTGGGCGGTTGTGATTTCTGTCCATTTACTGCGGAGGTGCTCTGGCGTCCGGCAAAAATAGGATAGATTCTATTTTTGCCGGACGTCGGAACAGAGGGCGGCGCACTGCGCCGCACTGCCGGAGCATGACCGCAATAGTGGAATTGCTCTGATTGACTACAACGGGACCGATTTTGCTCCGGCGTTCGTGTCGGAGCGGAGCGAAGTGGAGGTAGTGGAATTTGGGGGTTACTGATGGTGACCTTTGTTACTGTGGTCCCAGCTCTCTGCAGGTCATTCACCAGGTCCCCCCGTGTGGTTCTGGGATTCTTGCTCACTGTTCTCATGATCATTTTGACCCCAAGGGATGAGATTTTGCGTGGAGCCCCAGATCGAGGGAGATTATCAGTGGTCTTGTATGTCTTCCATTTTCTGATAATTGCTCCCACAGTTGATTTTTTCACACCAAGCTGCTTGCCTATTGTAGATTCACTCTTCCCAGTCTGGTGCAGGTCTACAATTCTTTTCCTGGTGTCCTTCGAAAGCTCTTTGGTCTTGGCCATAGTGGAGTTTGGAGTCTGACTGTTTGAGGCTGTGGACAGGTGTCTTTTATACAGATAATGAGTTCAAACAGGTGCCATTAATACAGGTAACGAGTGGAGGACAGAAAAGCTTCTTAAAGAAGACGTTACAGGTCTGTGAGAGCCAGAGATTTTCCTTGTTTGAAGTGACCAAATACTTATTTTCCACCCTGATTTACAAATAAATTCTTTAAAAATCCTGCCATGTGAATTCATGGATTTTTTTTTCACATTCTGTCTCTCACAGTTGAAGTGTACCTATGATGAAAATTACTGACCTCTGTCATCATTTTAAGTGGGAGAACTTGCACAATCGGTGGCTGACTAAATACTTTTTTGCCCCACTGTATCAGTTTTATCTAAAGTTAACACAGAACTGATGTACTGAAATCCAACAGCAGTTAGGGGGACGAGGAAAACTCAGGTATTCCCAACTATGCGCTGGCCTTCCTGGTCTCCTGTTCTAGCAGCTGAACGACGGTGGGGGTCATAGAAAGAAAAAAGAAAGCAAGGAATAAGAAAACACCTCCATTTACTGACGGAGCAAATATTTGTCCCATCTGGTTTGTACCCGGCCAGCACCGAACCTCCAGCGGAACCTTTCCAAACGATTTAATCAAACTCACTTCAGAGGCAGATTCGTCTACACTGAAGGCTGCTGGACTGTTGGCAGGTTGTAATTCTGTTCAAGTTCACTATAAAGCACCAAATCAGGACCAGAGCCATCTCAAGGACCTTCACAAGGTCCTTGAGATGGCTCTGGTCCTGATTAGGTGCTATATAACATTCCAATACAGGTCAGGTCATTAAGCCAATCAGTAAAAAGTTTCCTATATAAGGAAATCAGCAGGTTGCATCGAGTCACTGACTAGTGTCAGAGTCTTTACAGCAATCCTCATACTAAGCAAGCATGTAGCGACAGTGGAGAGGAAAACTCCCTTTTAACAGGAAGAAACCTCCAGAGGATCCTGGCTCAGTATAAGCAGCCATCCTCCACGACTCACTGGGGATGGAGAAGACAGAACACACACACACACACACACACACACACACACACACACACACACACACACACACACACACACACACACACACACACACACACACACACACACACGTAAATGGTATGGGGCCTGTATTTGTAAAGCACCTCCTTAAGGTTCTACAACCCCCCAAGGTGCTTCACAACACAATCATTCACACACCCTTTCACATGCTGGTGGTGATGAGCTACAATGTAGTCACAGCTGGCCTGGGGCGCACTGACTGAAGCAAGACTGCTGAACACTGGCACCACTGGTTCCTCTGACCACCAGCAGCGGGCAAGGCCGGTTGGACACAACGGCAGCATTCTCTGGCGGCGGCCAGGATCCAACCCGAAGCCTTACGGTTACTAGACCTGCTCCACCGCCTGAGCCACCGCCGTCCTAGCAGAGACTCTGTTTAGGAGATCAACTCTATTGTCTGAGTGAGTCTATAAACAATTCAACAGATGAACTGAGGTCAAGTACGCATCTGGTCACAAAGCTTACATGGATGGACTACAATGGACACAAACGTGTATTTGCAGAAAAACGCTGCAGGCAGGAATCAAACCGGCAACCTTTCGGTAGCAGTGCTGACCATGCAGCTAAATCCTGATTACATCAAATATGTTAAGTCAAAGTGAGCCTTTAGCTCTTAGCCAGCACAACATTAGTTTTTCTGAAGCTGCTATAACTAAAGATACTGCCAGTGGCTCATTAGGGTCACCATGGTAACCACACAGCTCCCTGACTCCAATATTAATCCCTTTAAATGTATATCTTTAATACTGCGCCTTTCTGTGACCCTTGAACCCTGTATTCCTACTATGAAGTCTACCTGAGCTCAGAGGGGGCGGGGCTTTCTCACCTGGTTTACCTGTTGCACTGTGGGAAGTTTTTGGCTCTTTTTGTCCCAGCTGTGTGACATGTCTAGAGGTTATAGCCCACTACTCCACTGCTTGGTGTTATTTTTAATTGCTGCTTTACTACAAACATAAATCCTGGTTAGTTTGTCAGTAGAGGCTCTTCTGTATGGATCCCGATCAGCTGATCGGCACAGGCCCTTTACCACGTGACCTATTTACGGGGGACGGGGTCCTATCGACGAGTGAACGCATGGAAACAATTTGATCTCCAACAGTCCTTCAAACGGCTCGTGGCCATTTTGCGATGCGGCCCTAACGGAGAGGATGGCGGGAGGCCATTACGCACGTCACGCTCCAACTACCGGTTGCGTCTCCACTCACCTCCGGTCCTCACGGCACCGGAACTCGCGGCTGTTTTGCAGCACGGGGTCAGGTGAAGGTCACACCTGACTCTCACTAACAACACGCGTCCGGGGGAAGCTGCAGCCTGACTATATATGGGTATGAAGAGAAGCAGAGGCGCGCGCCAGGACAATCAGCTGTCGATGGTGCCACTGCAGCACTCCGGCGGCGCGCACGCGCCTCTCCTGATCAGGTGTTCGTGCTGCTTACCTTCGGATCCTTCTCGTAATAATGCTGCTGAGTCCGGATCCAGCGGCCCACCAGGTGGTCCCGAACCGTGTTGGCCAGGGCGAAGTAGTAGTCCCGTTTGGTTGCAACATTCCGGTCCTTGACGAGGGTGAAGTGAAGGTGTCTGTTGAAGTTGGTCTTCAGGTCGGACACGTTTTCCACCCCGGCCAGTCCTCGGACGGAGATCTGCTTCCGCTTGTCCTGGTCCGTGAGCGGCTTGGCCATGATCAGGGTGAAGGTTGCGGCTCCTCTCCTTCCTCAGTCTTCTGTCACTACAACACGCCTACTGCCGCGGCGGAAAGGAAAACCAACGTTTCCGGCAACCTTTCAAAATAAAACACACTTGCGGACGCGTGATGTGTGCGTAGTGCGTGGAAAGAAAACGGGCTGTGAACAAGAGAAACTGCATACGTGTCATTATTCTGCTGTTTGATTCGGTAAGAGCATCTTTGTGCTCTGGTGGCGTTTTCACCAACATCACCACACTTTAAATTCATCAACATGCTCGAACACCTGCAGCCTTCATTAGTGTTGGTAAAGGCTCAAGTGTGTATGGAGAAGGACAAGAGACAGAAGACAGCTGGACAACAGTTTGTTCTGGGGACCAGTGGCGTGTCCAGATCTTTTAAAATGGGGTGGCCCAGGTGAGGCACAACTTTGTGCATGGGTGGCACCAATGGTTATGCTTTTATTGTTTTACCTCCAAGCCTTTTGTGGACAATGAAAAGCCTATTTAAAGGTAAATTAGTGTGGTGGCACCTGGGGTGGCCAATCAGATTCCAAGGGTGGCATGTGCTACCCCAGGGAACTCCCTGGACACGCCCCTGCTGGGGACTGAGCTGGAGCCTCTCATTAAAACCAGCAGGATGCTGCCAGAAATGAACAGGACAGTGTTTGGTTTAAGGAATCATGTGCCTAAAACAAGTAGTTGCAAAAAGTCCCTTTTTGTGACGTCACAATCTGGGTAATTCCTGATGAAGGTCTCTGACCGAAAGCTTGACCAATAAACTCCTGCATCGCAGATTGAAGTGTACGGATTCTTCTTTTATTTACAACCTGGGTAATTAAAATAGAACCACCTCTCACTTGCAAGAGAGCTGCTGCTAGAGGCATACCTGTTGAAGCAGGTGCGTCCAATATGCGGCCCAGGGACCTGCTGCAGTCCTCAGAGTGATTTTGCGTGGCTCTCACTAGAGTTTTTAGGATTGTGGAATGAAGTATCTCTTGGAGGCTGTTGGTATAAATTCACATTTCTTAATATTTTATGTTCATTTACTACTATATATTCAGGGTGGGTTAGGGTTAGTTTTACATTTTATTACGGTGTACGGTATAAATGGCCCACCCTGTAGTTTAGATGTTTTTGAGCAGAACAAATGAAAACTATAAAGTTTGCATTCTTAAAAAAAAAATTCTTTTTGTGGCCCATGAGAAGTTTCAACTTAATGATTTTGGCCCCCGTCTAGAAAAGTTTGGACATCCCTGCATTAAAGGAACACTCTGCAGATTTGGGTTACTTTTAGCCCTCCCTAGAGTCCATTCATAAAACTGAAACTTCTCACTATGCCGTCGTATTTTAACACCTTAATCTAACAGCTGAAATGTCTCCTCAAACTTCATTAGTTTCTACAGGAGCGGTTCATCACTAAATCAAACAACTCCGCTGTGTTCACAATCTAAAACATGCAGGAATTATGCTGGAAGCATACTCCAAAACTAGCATGTTGGCTAGCCACTTTACTATTGACTAACAGAGTTCCTAGTAAATAATGTGACTGTAGCGTGTCTGGTAACGCACATTCTAGTGGCTAGCCAACAGGAGTTGCTCAGCAGCAGCCCGGGTCCACGCGGCACACTCAGAATAGGATGGTGTGTGTGTGTGTGGGGGGGGGGGGATACAAAGATCTGAGATAGAAATAATAAAGCATCAACGACTGAGCATTTGTGACACAATGGTACGGGATGTGATCACTACCGCCTGTACGTATCTAGAAATATTAACAAACCCGAAGAAAGCTAAAACACGCACAAACAAAACATAATCAAGTTGCACTTAAAGTGCAAAAGGATGATCATTCATTGTGCATCCTTATCTGCCTCCGACCTCGTGATTCAGAAAACCCCCGACGTGGACTCTCGTTTGACTCCTATTGTGGTTGGGTGTTATTTTCTTTCTAGCCGTATGAGATGTTTCTTTGTCTTTTGAGGCTCCATCATGATAAACAAATGCTAACCAGGTATAGGGTGTCTGTCCTGAAGTCTGAACAGATTGTCGTCAAGCGTGAGACTCCAGTGGTCCGGATACTCGGGTATTCTGGCCACAGGGGGCTGAATGACTTCATTAACCCAGGAAAGGCTCATTTTAGCAAATACTGGCTCAAGAAAATGATTAAAAAATATGGTAAATTTACATTTTCCCTTTAAGTCTGTTTTGTTTAGGAAGCTCCTGGTAAAGTTTTACCCTTCCTCCATCCTATTCCCATTGGTCTTTTCCTGGAATTTTTCCAGAACGTTTGATGGCAAAGGCAAAAAACATTCCATTTTTGAAAGTTGCAGGACCGCATAACCCTAATCTCTTCCCTGCTGAGGCGGGATGCAGAAACAGTCATTTGGAATATCTAACAATCCTGAGGGTTACACAACAAAAAAATAAATCCCCAGCACTCAGCCGAAGGAAGACACCGGCCGGTCCTCAACCCAACTTAAAGCCGTTACTGCTGCCCCGTAAATATCAGATGGCATCTGAGACGATCAGTCCTAAAGACAGACGAAAGACAAAAACTAACAAACCAATAGTATGAAAGAAAAAAAAAAGGTTTATTTTTGCAGAAGCAACAAACACACTGCAGGCAGTGTCTAACATACAAAAGACGACGAGATTATTCTCAGCAGGGTTGTGGGTGAGCAGAAGTTAGCAGGTTGCTACATCAAACCACCTTAAAACTGAGATGCAGGCTAGGAAAAAACCTCAAAGTATGTTTTAACCAATTTTAGAACTAACACACACGACTTCATACAAAAATATTTCTTAGTCAGCTCAAAACCAAGACACCAAACAGTATAAATTTGTCACATCAACCACCCAAAAGAAATCTGAGGCATACATGTGTATCATGCAAGGTGAGCATACACTGAATAAACCCAATTAACGTTAATCATTTGGGTCTGATTGGTGAGATTTTTTTAAACAGAAACCAAAATCAGGGATCAATGTTTCAGTGACTTCTTTATTTTCCATGACAAATAATCGCAATTCTGACACAAACACCCAAGTTGTGTTTAACCCACAAAGATGTGTTTATAAAACTTATAACTAGGGAAAACTAAAATACACAACTTCACAATCTGAACTAACAGAGCCTTGTTTCTTATTTTCAGCGAGGTTGTAGCTAGAAGAGAAACCAACGTAATGAAAGGACTGCTCATGTCCGCCTCCAGCGAGTACACGAACACGCTTGTGTGTAGCATCAGGTAGCTGGTGTACAATGTTCTGTAGGGCGCGAAAACCATTCCCGTCGGACAGGATTAATTCTGTGGGGGAGGTGGAGGGGGGGCGGGAGGTATGCCGAACGGTGGCATGGCAGGTACTCCCATCCCCATCATGGTAACAAAATTAGAATGGTCCATGGGTGGTGGGGGAGGGGGAGGGGCATACATCATGCCAGCTGATCCAGGAGGTGGAGGTGGTGGAGGAGGAGGGGCACCCGGAGGCAGAGGGGGTTGTACACCAGGGGGAGGTGGCACCATGGATGGGGATCCCATGGGTAGTGGTGGCTGGGCTGCTGCGGTTGCCGGCTGCTGTGGCTGCTGCCACGGAGGCAGGGTCCCGGTTCCAGGGCTGGATGTGGTGGTGGTGTCTGCAGAGAGGTTGGAAGGTTATCAGGGTTCAAACAACCGCTGCATGCTAGCAAGGCTCCAATCCAACCACATGATCAGAAATCAGGCCCCATCACATGATTTTAAAAGGATCGGGAGGAAACAATCGGATTTAACCTTTTAAAACGCGACTTTTTCAAATTCATCATGAGACGACCAACGAGTTCCCCTACATCTATATTGTTAGTTTCATGTGCGAAAACAACACAAACGTCACACGATTAACCCTAACCCTGCAACAACATTTATTCGGATCGTCAATGAATCGGAATAAACGGGAACATTTTTAATCAAATCAAACTTTTTTATAAAATGCTTTTCATACGAAAAATGTAACTCAAAGTGCTTTACTGATTAAAATACCCCACAAATGTCATTAACTAAATTACTTAATTAAAACTGCCAGGGAAACTTACTTTACTTTATTTAACAACAAAACAAGATTAGAAAAAAAACGTGCGTAAAACAACAACATGCTATCACCCAAATGTGTCCGTAAATAAACAACGATCAGTAAAATTTTATGTATTTCATTAACATGTTCAGTAGAAGCTACTGGAAATGCTAATAACATTTAATCACTATTGCTAAAAATGTAATGGTGACATATTTATTAAATGATTTGGCAATAATCCAGTTTAAAGGGACTTTACGGAGTTTTGAATTTTCATACTCGCGATTGCCCCCTCAGGCCAAAAATGTAATGGCAGCTTCAATAGTAGGCTCGTGCACGAGGCGCGCATGCTGTATGTGCACACTCCTTAACGAAAATACAGCTGAGACAGTCAGCTCTGTGTGTGTCCGTGTCCCGGAAGACAGAGGACAGGAGAACGCGCAGCTAATTAATTAAATAATGTGGTTCTGTACCTTTCTCTTCAGCACAGCCGACAAAGGTTTATGATGGGTCAGTCCTCCTGCATGCTCAGATCATTCCCTTCCCTTGCTTGAAAAATTGTTCCAAAATGAAAGTTGAACCCACATCTTTTTTATCTGTGAATTCAATGCCGTTCAGCGAGTCTCAAATAAAAATTTGGGCATCTTACTGTAAAAAATATAACATTACATCAAGAACCCGGATCTTCTGCACGAGAGTCCAACGACTAACTAGGTGAGCTACAGCGCCAGTGACGTCTTTCGTATCTGTAACATTTATATCCTTGATGACAGCTGAAACAACGTTCAAAGAACGGTTCGGAGTGAAAATGGCTATTTTGTTGCTAATTTGCAGGAAATATCTAGAAGAAAGTTCTACAGAAAGTAGCTAAGGGTCCTCAGAAATGTAGCTAGCTTTGTCACTAGGCGTTAGGAACAGCGACAAAGTGGCACTGCCTCTCTCTCTGCTGCTAAAGCTACGGATAGCAAATGCTACGGGCGATGCCTGAGCGTGAACGCGCATGAAGCAGCCTGCTCGACCCGAGCATCTCTCTTTTTCTGTGATTTTACAGAAAAACAGGCAATCACAGTAAAAATGCCAGGGCTCATTCTACAGGACCAGGGCATTGCAGGAGAACGTATGAAGAAGACATTTATTATTTCTATACATGTTTTGGCTGTCAAACTTCCATAATGTCCCTTTAAATTATGTTTATAGATAAACGTGTTTGTGAATTACATGCTACAGTCAGGGTATCTGCAGGTTTAAAGGAGCCAAATTTAAGACTTTTAAGACCTTTTTTAAGGCCACTTTGACCAAATTTAAGCTATTTTTAAAATTAAATTTAAGCTATAATTTCCAGCTATAGCCTGGAACCGGTGCTAACCACGTCGCGAACGTGGGATTAGCCATCCAGTTACCATTTAACTACCCCATGGCGCAAGCTCCCACTAGCTTAATCAGCTAATGTGCTCATCTAAAAATAGCCCCCTTTCACAACCAACTGAATGTGTACGGTTCCGCTTACGCCAACATCGTACACAAAAAATGCTGAGGACTAACTAGAAATTCATGAAAATTTTATAGAAATAAAATAATCTTGTTTTTTGGGTCTTAGAAAATTTAAGACCTTTGGAAACTGTATTTAAGGATTATTTGTAATTTTTAAGGATTTGTAAGGCCTTAAACTTGGAAAAGCTAATTTAAGACTTTTTAAGGACCCGCAGATACCCTGAACAGTGGCTTTCCATAATCCTGCTGCGGTGTTTAGCAGAGCAGACTGGAACCTGACAGCTGCAGTTCTGCTCCACAGCGCTGCAGACAGCCAAGAATAAACAGGATGGTTAGGGCTTTTCTCCTGCTTGTAGAGTTTAGATCAGCGGTCCCTGAACCCATCTAGTTCTGGTCCATTTTGTGATCCCGCGTTTGTGAATTACATGCTACAATGGCTTGACACTGCACTTAATCATGAGCGTGCTACGCGCTAGCTTAGCATAAGCTAATCTTCCCGTAGTTTAACTCTTGATCCCAAACTTTGGACCGTTTCTGCCTTTTACAATGGTTTCTGTCTGTTGGTCTCTCCATTTTCCTCCACAGCACCCAGATCACCACGTAGTGCACCAGTAACGTGTGTTCAGACTGGTGCGCACATTTAACGAAGCTCCAAATCAATAAAATAAATAAGCATCGAGGAATTTAATGCATAAAACTATTCAAATTCTTCGATGATTTGTTTCAGCTCTACTTAGAACTAGTTTTGGGCGGTACACCGGTTCATACTAAAAACCGGTGTTTATTTCGGTTACGATATGAATTTTTCACATACTGCTATACCGGTGAATGGCCTAGACAGGGTATCTGCAGGTTTAAGGGAGCCAAATTTAAGACTTTTCAAGACCTTTTATAAGGCCACTTTGACCAAATTTAAGCTATTTTTTCTAATTACATTTAAGCTATAATTTCCAGCTATTGCCTGATTAGCCATCCAGTTACCATTAAACTTGCACTTCCCCATGGCGCAAGCTCCCACTAGCTTAACCAGCTAATGTGCTCATCTAAAAATAGCCCCCTTTCACAACCAACTGAATGTGTACGGTTCCACTTACGCCAACATCGTACACAAAAAATGCTGAACACTAACTAGAAATTCACTAACATTTTATAGAAATAAAAGTATCTTGTTTATTGGGTCTTTGGTCATTTAAGACGTTTGGAAACTGGATTTAAGGATTATTTGTCATTTTTAAGGCCTTAAATTTGGAAAAGCAAATTTAAGACTTTTTAAGGACCCGCAGATACCCTGCTAGGCAACGTAAAGAACGTTCGTAGTAGGAAAGTGTTTCAGCGGGGACTCGTTTCACTGCTACACACAAACACCACAGCATGGTGAAACCAAGAATGGCGGCTGGCGGGAGCTGTCACGGCGACATCGAAACTTCGAACGCAGAAGAACTTAATCCAAAAAGAGGAGCCTCATTGGCTGTTTGGAGGTATTTCGGGTTTAAAAGTTCGGACGTGGAGCAAACAACTTTTATATGCAAATGCTGTCGAGCAACGGTGGCAGCCGGCGGGGGTAACACCAGCAACTTGCTTCATCACCTCAGCCGAAAACACGTCTTGGAATACCAAGAATGTCTGAAGCTTCGATCTGCACCCTCCACCTCCGAGGCTAAAACGGCTAGCAGTCAGAGTCAGACATCTATTAAAGACGCGTTCGCTAAAGGGACTGTTTATTAAAAAGAGCAAGCGGTGGGTCGAGATAACCAACGCAATAACGTTGGATGTGAAATCATAAAGATGGTTAACTGCACAGATTATATGCAAAATGTGTTCAATAAAAATAGTTGATTTTGACTGCAATATTTTATCTTTCTAGTGTTTTTTCTTAACTGTTTTCTTTTGACAAGGGTACTTTGAGGGGGTTTCTGCGTTTACCTACCTGTGACTGGACATGGAAAAACTGGTATTCTGCACATGAAGGTAAAACGGGCTATTTAAGGCCAATCTAGTACAGCAATTATTTTCTTATAAAAATAATCGGGGTAATCACGGCCTTGAGATAAAAAAACGTCAAATACCGTAAAACCGATATAATTAAAAAAAATACCGTGATATGACATTTTTACCGCCCAGGCCTACTTAGAACCATAAAGAACTTGATTTTGTGTTACAGAGGAACATTTTGTTTGGATGATGTGTTCCATGGTTCTAACACAGAATGCTGATGTTGGGCTCTTACTTTGTTGCCACGGTAGTGGGGTACTTGTTGCCATGCTGCTGGTAGGAGGTGGGGGTGGAGCCTGTTGTTGCCATGGTGGCAGTGGAGCAGAAGGTGGAGGAGGGGGCTGGCTGCTGGGGGGAGGAGGTGGAGGTGGCATCATGCTCATTGGAGGTGGCATCAGACCTTAACAGAGAAGAAAAAGTCCCTTTTAACCAAGTCCACCACTCGGATTCAATAACCGTCCTCTGTAGGAAGCTTGTCCACGGCCGGTTTCACCAGCGGTGCCGTATCATTAATCCTAATCGACTTCACAACAAAGCCTACTGCTGCAGCTGTGGGTGGGATTAATGAACTGGGTTAGTCTGCTTGAAGAAGACAACAGTTTCTTACTCATTGGATGTCCATGAGGTCCAGGTCCCTGGCCCATTGGAGGTGGAGGGGGCTGCATCCAAGGTGGAGGTAAGCCATTAGGGTTTGGGGGCATGGGTGGTCCACCCATGTTGGGCATAGGGGGAGGGAAGTTGTGGGGACCTCCAGGCCCAGTTGGCCCTCCATGCATCCCTTGAAAGTTCCTGTTATCTGTAGGACCAGATGTCATCCAGGGAGGTCGGCTCTGTAAACAGACCACAGGTAAACTCAGACACGTCTTTGTTAACGAGTGCGAAGATGTTCATTCCAAACTGACCGGAGGTTGTTGGTTATTATTGGGGCCAGATGCTCGAGGAGCCCCGCCCTGAGTGCTAGTGTGTCCTCCAGAGGTGGGCACTGGGGCTTCCCCCAGCTCAGCCATGAGAGACAGGTACTCCTTGTCCATTCGAGCTTTGTCCTGGGCTGACTGAGGGGGCTCCCCACCTGCTGCCCTCTGGCCAGCAAATGTGCTGCTCAACACAAAAGGTAGACTTTGTTCTAAGACCTGTAACAACTCACACAACACACACACACACAACTCATTATTCAGGTCTCACCTGGTGTATTTGCAGTCTGAGGAGATGTGGCCTGCTCCACCACACTTGGTACAGAGGGTGGTGTTGGTGATGCTGCGTGGCTCAGAGTTCTGCCAAGGACGGAGGATCCTGCGAACACAAACGTTTGGTCTTCAGCTGAGTTCTGCTCTTGTAAAGCCGGGCGGACACCGTGCGACTTTCACTTTTTTGAGCTGATTTTCCAGTCGTGCGAGAATCCACCAGATCGGGGCGAGTTTTGCGCCGAGCGTCGTGTAGTGTACAGGGGGTTACGAGAGGCGATTAACACCACGTGACCAGCTACCGATCAGCAGTCGTGAGCTCGCACGGACTTCTGGCGTGTTTAAAATTTCGCTCGTCCCTCGTGAGGGTATCGCACTGTTGAAGCGGCGCTGCGAGCAGCTGCGACCCAAAAAGTACCAGAACCGCTCACGGCGAATGCGCAATCCTGCATCAACGCCGCTCGCCCGCCATTTCCCTAATAACACACGTTGTTCGTTTTTATTTCTACACGTTTTTTTACTCACAAAGATTGTCAAGAAAGCGTGTTTGTCGTGTTCATGTCAAATTAAACTGATCACTAAACACAGATTTACTTTCTTTATTTCATTTTCCTCATCCAACCCCCATAAATCCCTGTGTGTCCTCCTGCAGCACTCCCGAAGGACAACAGGTAAGACAAAAAGTCTGACGTGTTGAGTAAAAACTGCTATTTTTAGCACATTTTTAGGGCCGACGTGTTGCTACCAGACGTACAGTGTGAGCAGTCAGGTCGCATGCGAGAACTGGGTCGTGCAGTGTGAGCACCTGGCTCGTGAGATCTGCCCTGCGAGGAAGTCGTACAGTTTGAGCTGAAGCTGAGTGCTACGAGTGAAAAAGTCGCACAGTGTCCGCCCGGCTTTAACCATGTGTATTGCATCTTTCAACAAACGTCCTTTCTTTAGATATCCTACATGAAACATAAAGCACAGCAGCAAAAAGGGTTCAACCAGCACAAACACCTGTTATCATCTTCTCTCAGGGTTCCGTTGAGCCTGGCCAGCTCTCTCAGCTGCATCTTCCGAAGGTCGTTCTGATCCTCGGGCGTCTCAATGCCCTGCTTCAGAATGTTGCGAATCTGACGAAAGATGTATTTGTTTAAATAGATGAAACATTTAGGAAGGTCAGATACCAGCATGGGTCTGTTCATCAGCACATCAACAAGACCGTGAGAGCTGACCTGTTCCACGGCCTTCTTAACGTTCTCCATCGTGTTTGCGGTGACCAGAGCGTGCAGAGGCTCGTCCTCTCCCGGCAGCATCTGTCCATCCTTTCGGCCAACCTTCCCTTCTTTCACGGAACCTTTTCCTCTGATCATGATCTTAGCACAGCATTCCTTCTCAATGTTCTTTAACGTATTACCACTGAAACAAACACAAGGATCTAAACTCCATGTCTGTTACTCACAAAAACGCGAGTGTGTCAATGTGTGTAAAACACATCATCATCGTTCAGTCTGGCTTACCGAGGTCCAATCAGCAGACCTACAAAGTTGATTTCTGGGTATTCGTCTTGAGGAATCATCACTTTGTCACTGACTCTGGTAGCTGGTGGCCTGCGAGACAAACAAACACGTCTCAAAACAACAAAAACACTAGCGGATAAACTAACTTGTTAAGCATTGACTTGACTTTCTAAATATGAAGTTTCAAACATGTTACTCAACTGGAACTGAACTAGCAACAATCCCCTCATTGGACCACCAGTCTACATCTGGGTGTTTTCCACTGGAGTGGTTCCACCAGTACTGGACCAAAGACACGACTCCTAAAGCTTGGTTTATGCTTGACGCGTCCGCGAGGTCCGCACGGCTCCGCGCGGAAAGAGTTGCGTCATTTTAACAACCACGCCCCTCCACCGCGCCTCCGCACGGCCCAAAATTTCCACACCTAGGAAATTTTCTAACCACGCGGACGGACGGACGCAGAAAAACATGGCGGACTGGCAAGAACTAGTATGGCAGATGTTCGTAAATACAGACATTTGTATGATTCAGCTCTCAGAGATCACCGTGATCAACATGTTGTTAATAATTCTTGGAGAGAAATAGCTCGCACTGTCGGAAAAGACGAGGACGCTGTTAAAACTGCTGGAATGCCATGTTGTAAACAGTAATTTCTACTTCTACTATGGTGTAGTGTTGGATGCATGCCGTAGAGCTCCATGCTGCCCCCTACAGTTTAGGAGAATATTGGCTCACCGCAGAGACAAGCCGCATGAACCATAAACGCTGCGAGTTGTGAAGCGCGTTCCAGCCGCGAGCCGCATCACCAAGCGGAACGTAAATGCGTCAAGCATAAACCAAGCTTTACGGTTTGTCTCCCAGTTGGAGAAGAGATACTTGTGCCCCAGCTCCAACAGTGTGCCCTGCACCCACCACCACACATGGGTGTTTATTAGACAATAACACCCAGAAGGCTGGTCATGGAGTCCTTCCTCACCAACTTTATCACCACACGGCCCTCTAGGGCTGCTCGATTATGGCAAAAATAATAATCACGATTATGGTGACTGAAATTGAGATCACGATTATTTAGGACGATTTTTCAATTTATGTTGATTTTATTTGTTTTTATTCAGTCATAAAATTGCTCAGGGCACAATCAGGACAAAAATAAGAAACAAGATGATCACTAAAAGAACTCCTGATTCCCAGTATAAAAAGACCAATATACTTATAGCTCATAGTTTATGACCCAAGGGCTGTAGACTAGGGATGAGCGAGTACACCACTATCTGTATCTGTTCAACCAACTAAATTATCTGTATCTGTACTCAGAATGGGCGTGGCATAACCCGGAAGTGGGCGTGGTTTAACCAGAAGTGGGTGTGGTTTACATCAATATATTATTTTAAGTCTGAAATTGATATGGATTGATCAGATGTTGCTATGTGTATTGTTTATTTGAAAACTATTTACAGAGCAGCCTCAGAATTGAGATTAAATATTTTTGATCACAATAGTAAAGAAACTATTACATAACAAGTTTTTCAATAAAATCAGAACATTAATATTTAAGTGCATGGATTAATACATCTGAACCCATGCAGTAGGAACTAGGGAATATGAAATACTAGAACCAGACACAACTTTATGTATATATTTTTTTATTTTAATTTGATTAAACAGATTTTTTTCTTAACGTTCTTGGAATTTTCCCACACAAAGTTAAACAAAGAAATGATGATTAATGTGTGTGTGTGTGTGTGTGTGTGTGTGTGTGTGTGTGTGTGAGAGTGAGAGTGAGAGAGTGAGAGAGTGAGAGAGAGAGTGAGAGTGAGAGTGAGAGTGAGAGTGAGAGTGAGAGAGAGAGAGAGAGAGAGAGAGAGAGAGAGAGAGAGAGAGAGAGAGAGAGAGCTCTGTCTTGTCAAATGCACCATGTCAGTTACGAAAAAAGTAACCTTAAATATTCAACCGAAAAAGAGGCGAGCTGAAGAAAACCTAGGGAAAACTGAAGAAACGTGAGCAACAGTGAAGCAATCACAGCGCGATCCGTTACTGTCTGTGTGTGTGCGTGGATGACTGCGCTCCCGGTCGGCTAGAGAGTTTTGTAAGTAGGGAGGGGCGGGCGCTCTATGTGACTGGCCAATCACAGAGCGTGAAGACAGTCAGTTACCCAATGAAGATTTTCCTTCAGCACGATTACAGATAATGACTCGTTTTATGCTCGTATTCGTCAAAAATGCGTTATCCGTACCGGATACTCGTCTGAAACGAGTATCCGGCTCATCCCTACTATAGACCTTGGTTTAACTCATTTAAGTCTAACCAGTACAGACCCAAATACCAATATCTTGCAAATACTGACAGCAAGAATTATACAGTGGCATTTATAACAAATACATGCAAATAAATTGATGTTCACAAAATGTTGCATAACATTTATTGAGTCATGTCAAGGTGCTGTAGGAGAGTGCACTAGCACCGTGTCCTCAGAGAGATTAGTTATTATTTATCAGCGTGAGGAACTTATTTCTACCTTATTTATAAACTATTTATTTACAAGTCCATCAGTTAATGCAATAATTGTCCCAACCACAGCTGCACCCCCCATCCCCCAACCCGGTCTCACAGCAATCGGGGCAAGCTGCACGTGTGTTTAGCGTGCCGCACGCGCACATTTAGCCGTTTTTAGCGGCTCAGGAGCCTGCAGGTTCGGTGTGTGTGTCACTCACTCTGGTTACTCCAACAGGGAGCCGGCTCCGAGAGCTGTTTCTTTAGCGACTGACACATCACTACATCATTCCCTTTCCTAATGTTGTGAAGAACGGTCCGGAGCGCAGGCGGAGTGTTTAGCTAACCTGCAGGAAACGTCGACGACAGTTATCCAGAAAGTAGCTAAGGGTTACCAGAGATGTTTCTCAGGTGTTCGTTTGGTACTTTTAAGTTAAAAAGTCAAGAAGGGGGTCTGAAAAGCTGCTAGAAATAGCGTCACAGTCATTAAGTTGGCAACACTGTGGGAGGAGCGCTTCATTTGCAACTCAGGGCAGCGCAGGTGGGAGGAGCAAATAATCGGCTTGTTTTGTTTTTTATAATCGCTCAAAACTCAGATCGTAATCGTGATTAAAATTCGATTAATTGAGCAGCCCTACGGACCTCTGCCACCTCTTAAGGACAGCAGCAGATTACAGCGCGTCAACTGTTCGATGGAGGAGACCAGCTGAAATCTGAAAACACTCCATGACCTTCAGACACCCAAGTCCCAGAAGAAGTGAGCAGGTAATAGTGGATCCCTCCCAACACAAACCGTTCAGAGTCCACCAGACCCAATGTTAACCCCGTTGACCAAATATTTGTCTTTTTTGTGACAAATATACTCTTGTGGACAAAAGGGAAACAAAAATGAAAAACGTTGCCGAAGAAAGCAGGAAAGACGTGAGGAACAGACAAAAGAACCAATCAGCAAATAGAACAGGTAGAACTAGTTGATTAAAGAACCAATCAGAGTCCAGAGCGAGTTGCTTTTGAACAAGCTGAATAATTTACCACGACTGGGAGGAAAAGCATTACATAAGTATTTGCTTAGGAAGTACACATCTGGGGTTCCCCAGGTTCTGAAAGTATTACACGCACCTTAAACCACTTAACCTACTTGGAGTAAAACCTAAAACTCTCATTAGCGATTTAACCTAGCTTGTGTGTGGACTAGCTTACTTGTAGTCTGCAGGAGGCTTGAAGTCGGGGTTGAGACCGATCATTTCGGTGATAAGGGAGTGACGCTCCTCTTCAACCTTCTTCCGGGTGCGATACTCACGAGTGTTTAGCCTTTTACCCTCGCTGTTATAGATGGGCTCTGGAGAGGGAGACCTGAGCAGCAGACAAAATACAAGACACACAACATGGATACCTTTCCATACGAAGCCTTCATAAACAAACATCAGTCTCCCTACAGCTGACTAACACTTGGAGAGGATAAATTAATGTATTTGTCTACAGTGGGATCATTAAATAGGACTGACTGAACCTGTAGCCAGTACAAGAGCCAAAAACTAAAGAAACAAGCTATGCCCAAACGTTTCCGTACTGTTGGAGTTACGGGGCAACAGAAACTTTTGAAGGCAGTTAGAGGGGTATCAACCACAAGGAACAAACAAACAGCCAAAATAGATTAAACACACACGCAGTTCCTGTCAAACGTTCGGACACAAACCCATCAAAATGAATGGAAAGTGTGTTCAAACGTTTGACTGGAACTGCATATAATATATATGAGTCAGGCCATAGCTACACCTGCATACAGGACTGTTGGCCCACACAGAATACAGTTGGAGGTCACAAATCAATGCAAAATTTGCAGTCCTAAGCAGAGGCGTTGGCTTTGAGAGATGCTTGGTGAAGACGTGGCGGTAGAGGTCCATACCTCCCCTTGGATGCTGAAAACCTGCGTTGATGTGTTAAAAAGGCTCTGTGCTTGAAAAATGGTTAGGTTGACGTGGGGTAATTTGGGTTAGAGAAGAGGAATTAAGATTAGATATCAACCTTTTCCTAAGCTCCTTTAGAGAGCCACTTTTGTGAGCGGGAAACAAACAAAACGTTTCCACTTTAAGCTTCAAACTTCCAGCGGTGACAACCTGAAACACCTCCAAAGTTGGTTTGGTCATTTTATGTGGGGGAATGGTTTAGGAAAGTGCCCCGGCTCTGCTTAAGTTTCAGATGATAAAGAAATGTCTGAAAAACACTGTACAAGTCAAGGGGGTTTATCTAGCAGAGGTCAAGTGGACACACTCTGGAGGGCAAGTCCCTTCCTGTAGCAGCAGATCCTTATGACGCCAAGTTACAGGCTGACCGCTTTTCCCCCAAATCAAGAGTCCAGAGGGAAAACTGGAATGCAGCCCACTTCACCCTGGCGGGCATGTTTAAAGCTGCATAGTGAAAAAACCTGAGATGACCAATAAATCAAGAGAAGAGAGAGCCTATGAATAACTGGTGTGTGATAAACCGGGCTATTGTCATGAGCACATCAACCACAGGCAACTATTAACCAAATAAAAACATTTAAAAGGTTTAAAAATAGTTCATCTGGGCAACAAAAGATGTTCAAATGGTGCAAAAAAAAAAAGTCAAGCCGTGTTCAGAGGAGCGTAATGACACCTCCTGTATGGTACGGTGTCACGCCCGTTTCCACGGAGCTACGCAGCAGCCACACCGTCATGGTGCACGCCTAATAATCTGAATTAGACAGAAACATAATCTGAGGTGGGTAAAACTATCCAAGACTATGCTACGATTATAATGACCTGGCTGATTACCAACACCCACAATAAAACAGATTATTTTACCCAAGACTCAAACAGTTTAATCACTTTTACGCTTCCAACCAGTTCTCACCGTCTCTTTGCTCCTAGAGCCTGATTTATACTTCTCCATCAGCTCGAGTGTGGAGTCACACACTCGTATTGATGATGTTTTGTCTTCAGACTTGTCTGTCAGCTGGAGAGTAGCAAAGCAATTCCCAGCCAGGACAACAGGGGGCGTAGCGCAGTGCTGGGGTGTCCTGGCACCACCAGAGTCAAGTATCCGATGCATTCACTACGGAGTTTATATTGTTTCATGTACTTCATAGACGTTTTAACACGAACCGATTTGTCGCCGTTCTCCTCCACCTCTTCACGCCATCGGCACCTTTAAACGCACGTTTCTCTTCGTTTCCATCCACAAATAAGAAAAACGATTGCTTCGTATTTTTGTACTTCAGTCACGGGTGACAAAAATCTTGTATTTTCATCTTCTGCACGGCCTTCAATCTGTTCTGTGTCAGCAGCTAAATAGCTTATTTTTTGAGGGGGCAATGGCGGTGCTGTTGACAACCTAAAAGGAAACAGCATCCCGACCAATCACAAGCTTGCAGCTTCAGTCACTTTTGATGGATAGTTAAAAAGTCGGGCATGTCTCCGTCAGCCTCGGCGAGCCTGCTGAAGAGACCTTGCGACGCACAATGGCGTTGCGTGTCGCCGCACCGATGCAGAGAGAAGAATAAATCAGGCTGTAGGGAGAACCAGGCTCTAACTGAGCAGGAGTAGAAATCCACGTTTGTGTTGTTTTAGTCATTGTCGTTTGACTTGAACCAGTCTTCTGTTTTCAGTGAGAAATCATTGTTGGTGATTTCAGCTGAACAATGTCTGGTTAGACTACAGCTTATTCTAAACTTTACAGCTTACATAAAAGATAAAAGATGTTTATTTCAATGTAACTGAACTGTTGTCTTGGATAAAAATGTGGTGTGTGTGTAAATAAAGGCTGATCGCCCTTGAACCAGATGGAAGGATTTTAGTTGCATTACTGGTTTGATGTTTACTTCTCCCTTGCCTTCTAAAGTTTTCTTAAAGTATGTTAATATGTGGCAAAAAGATCCCCACGCTAACGTCACCCACGCTTCCTGTTTGAAAAATGCCCCACAAGGAGGCCGAGAGGGTGGCACTGCGGCGGCGACTTAACCATTGGTGTTCCAAGTGTTTCTCCTTCATGTCGACTATTTTCTCACCTTTCTATGATGTCACATTTTTATTTGATCACATTGCTGTTAACTGGAGGCTTAACTAAATGTGATCTGAAGCTGCAAAAGGAAACAAAGCAAATAAAGCTAAACCTGATGAGTTCTGCATCAACGGCCTGCAGCCTCAGGCTGCATCGATCCAATCTCTACGGTTTATTTGTTGTATTTATGGAAACACAACAGTTAATTATTTAAGCATAAGTTAATTTAACCATTAGAAAGCTTTACTTTATACATCAAACATATTTTGACACCCATTCATTTCCATACTGACTAAAATCCTTACAAAAAGAACCACAGATAAACAAATTATATCTTTCTGAAGCTAGCAACTCTAGGAACTGTGGTGCTGTAGTGAGTAATAGTTCTAGCAAAGTGAGGACATCGAGGTGCCCTCAAACTTTTCACTAAACATGACATTTAAACTAACCACACTCAAATACAAGTCAATGTTTGCTTTCCAAATAGTCAAGAAGGTAGAGAAAGTGTTACTGTTTGAGGGTTTAATCTTTTTCCGACCTGTCCTCAGGGTTAACAGGGATTCCCAGGTCTCCTGTACGCAGTTTACGAGTCAGGTCTTCAATCTGCAGTTGGACTGGAAGAATTCAGGTTAGGAAAGAAAAACAAGGATGGAGAGAAATGTGGTTACCACAACAATATCAGAGAGACAACGCTCTGCACTTCAGAGCAATGTCTCAGTCATTACTGCTTTAAACATATTTGGTGAATCTGCCAAATAAAAAGGAAGTTCAAACAAACATCTGATAAAACTCAAGCATGAAACCAATTACTGGTTTTGGTGAGACCACACTATCAAAATGTTTATAAAGTCATTCAAATTGGCGTTAGAAGAGAAAAACTTGCTCTTCGATCATGATTAAGCATGACGACATGTCAAATGATGAAACCATGACTCCTAAACAGCCAGCCATATCATTACGTCTACAAACAAGGCCGAGGTACTTCTATGAATATGGGACGGCTCTCTGGGATTCTGAGGACGCATGTTTGTCCATTTGTTTTGCAGATTTGAACAACAAAACTGGCGATAAGCCACTTTTTGCACTCCACAGGTCTAACACTGAGGGGTTGCTGTGACACAGAAACAAGTCTTGCATTTAGAAGACAATGAAGAAATAAAATAGATCAGTCATTTCATGCACATTATGGAAGTTGTGAAGAAGAATCCCCTTGAACACAGATTCAGTGATCACTGAAACAATTACTCTGGGTTATTCAGATGAATACAGGCCTGATGCTCACATCTTAAAACTCTTGTTTTAGGGGATCTACTGAACGAGCAAAAGAAGCTAGAAGTGTGACAGAAGGTGAGCACAAATGAATGTTTACATACCAAGGAAAAGCAACCATTACCAATGAGAGACTAGTTAAAGGCAATTATTTCCTTTAAAAGAGGATGTTTGAGCAATACTGCTTCTAGAAGACTAGATCCCTCTTCTTTCTGGGAAGAGGCAACGATAAACTCTGTGCAACCTCGGATTAGTGGCTTATTGGTGAGTTGAGATTTTGTTTGTTCTTCGGCCCCCAAAAACAGACTAATCTAAACAGTTTCTGTTACCTACAGGTTTCAATGTGAAACTGAATTATTTTCCATTGGTTCAATTTCATATCTAGGTCCACCTCAAACGGCCCTAACCCAAAAATCTGTGGGTTTTTTTTGGGTCAGCAGCTGTAATGCTGTCGGTCCTGCCTAAAAGATACAAATCTTAGTCTTTTATGAATAAAGTTTGATATTGGTCTATATTCTACTAGTCTAATTATTTTAGCATTGGTTCTCTTCTGCAACAGGAAGAATCTGTGTAAACCCAACTGAAGCAGCATTGCCCACATTCAGGCCAATTATCCTCTACCACGCAGAGTAATGAGGATGTGTTGAACGAGCGGCAGCGTGGCGGTTTTCAGCAAACAGACGTTTGATCAACTATCACCAACTCTTGTTAATGGCTGCCCAATGGTATGCAAACTGGGGGACTACAAAACAGCAGAAACACTCAAAGGGAAATGAACAGAAACCTCACAACAGCATTATTATTATTATATTGCTTAGTAAGAATGATTATTTTGTCTCAACAGTTGGAGCAAAATAAGACATTTCCACCTTTTAGCAAGAAGAACAGTGAAAAGAACTTTATCTGACTTTGAATTAGCATTGCCTTAGAAAGCTCAAACTGTTGGGAATTCAGGAAAAAGGAAATAGCCTAGATGCTGGTACCATAAGAGAAAACTAGAACCTTCAACAAAACAGTAACATCCAGTAACTGACATGGTAAACTTTGGTAAAGACGAACATCATTTACCTATATACGCCCTCTCCTGATCTCGCGTGAGTCCAGGGGGAATAACAGTGGGCATCCCCGGTATAACAGTCTTCTGATCAGGGGTCTCACTGCTCCATCGACTCCTCTTCCTAGTTTTCTTCTGGCCGAAATCTAAACAAGAAAAATTAACCCATGAATTTTACTTTACCCCTTTATGAGAAGCGTTATTCAAATTCTACATCAAATGTCAGAGAAAAGAAGATGCTATCTGATGTAGCCTCTGGCTAGGGCAGTAGCGAAGCCTCGACGACGTCGACGGCTCGATTCTAAAAATTTGTCGACGTCAGATCCGGAAGTCGATGCACCGCGCCCACTTGTTGCATCCCCAGGAGTTTGTGGAATCTGCCTGTTTTTCCTCCTCTAGTTCGCCCTCTTCTCCGCCTTCACTAACATCTCCGCCAAATACCGAAGACCTGGAACAATGTCCGTCCACAACTAGATTATTTTCCTGTTTTGCCCGCCTTCGTCTCCCGGCAACGGACAACAACTTCCGGGGTCAGATGCGCTGCTTCGTCTCTACCGCAGATGTAGAAAATCACCGGGAGCGTTTCTCCCTTCATAAAGGAGCTTCTTTCAGACATTAGGAGAGCTGTGCTGGTGGTAGCAGTCTCTCCTCCGTGCTGGTCTGTTTGCTGCTGGGTGTTTTTGGTTTATTTAAACTTGGTGACTTGAACTTAACGTTGGTAAAGCTACTGTTAGCATCTTCGCTAACAGCTTCTTGCGTTTGGATAAGCTGTTACGTTTTGGTTTAGAGTTCATCTTTTTTGTGGTGCAGATCTCCCTTTTATTACATTTAGAGTGTTGTGGGTTTTCGGTTTAGTTTAAAATATCACCTTGAGTTTGGTTTCACCGCCCAGTTTAGAGTTGGACCTTTGGAGATCCTTATTTTGGTCCAGAACCCTGTAATCTTTGCCCAGTGGGACATCCCCACTTATTTGTACTTTTGTTTTAATTCCACACAGGCAGAATTAGTTTTATTATTCCCAACCTGCGGATGGAAAGATTTATGTTTTTTTGTAGTTGTAAACAAACCTGATCATCATTTTAACTTTTAAATCCCGTTATTGTCCCTTCCTTTTTGCACACGAGCCAAACTCCCCAGGAAGGGTCGTAACACCACTCGCCTCACGCACATAAGTGACCAAAACAAAGCAGCATGGAGACACTCCGTCTCCAACCACCTCTCAGGCAGCAGCCTGCACTCCCAAGATCTACACGTCACCAGAACATAACCAACCAACACAATAAAAGCAGTGTTGTACAAAATGGAAGGCCTGTAGTGTTTATTCTCTTACAGTAACAATTGATCAATGTTTTTGAGGAATTTATTTGAGATTTTCTGGTTTTTGTTAATTGTGCAATAGAAAAATAATCATTAGACTAATTTTCTAAATACTCATTAGAATAGTCGACTATTTGATAAAATAATCGTCAGAATAGGGCTGGGCGATATATCGATATTCTTTAAATATCGGTATAATTTTTAAACAAGATATAAGATGACTATATCTTTATATCGATATAACTGGCCAAACTGCTATGCTAGCGATTAGCCGCTATGCTAGCGACATGTTGCTCCGTCTCTAAGCAGCCATTACGTATATTCTCACAAGTTTGCTCAGTCTGAGAGCCTCTGGGTAAATGTGCTGCTCTAAACTTTGCATTTGGCCTCCTGGTTTTTAATTATTTGGGGACGTTCAATGCCAACGGTTTTCCATCCTGCTTGTGCAGAGAGACGAGCCAAACCCCTCCCTCCCCTGTGTAATGAGGAAACGGCTACGGAAAGCCGGAGTGGCCAAATGACCTGAAACATATTTAAGGGTTTGAATAGTAAACTATAGGGTTACCGTTTTATTTTGAAGGCGAACTCAACGGGTGAGAAATGTTGTTCCGGTTCCGTTTTTTTCCGTTCTGGTTTGCTATGCTAGTAAATACTCCGTTACGAGTGACTCTGATGAAAAAGTTGAGTTTGTAAGGTGTGGGTTATGGCGACAGTAGCCCGAAAATAACACTCATAAAAGCAACCAGAGACTCTGAATCATTACAGTATAATCGCTGATATGAGCCAACACTGCTAACTAATAACTAACGACTAGTTAATAACTAGTTTTTCTAATAACTAATAACTCCATGGTGCATGACCCATGTGATCTTCAGTAGATGCAATTACATCATCGTACATTTAGCTTAACATGATGGATTTTTTTTCTCTGGACAAGATCTATACAATATGGGCCACCTCTAGATGAAATTTAAATAATTTCACATTAATTATAAATATATAATTAAAAAGTGCCTGTGGGACATTTGATACACCTCTGGCTCTCAACTGTGTGTGTGTGTGTGTGTGTGTGTGTGTGTGTGTGTGTTAGCAGACATCTGTACCTGTGTTACTAAAGCTCAGACTGGTAGAGAATAGGCACTACGGTTAAAGTTTGACCAGAATCAATACATTTTTATGCATTTAACCTACTGATTTATGTATATAATTTCTCAAGAGCTTGAAGTGAGTTAACTTGTCAACAGTTTACAGGAGGAAAAATATCGAGATATATATCGTATATCGGAATTCAGCTTAAAGATATCGAGATATAAGTTTTGGTCCATATCGCCCAGCCCTACGTTAGAATAATCGTTTTAAAAATAATCGTTTTCCCCCAGCCCTACCGCTGACTGGTGTCAAATGCCTAAGTACAAAGTTGAAAGGAAAACAATGTCCAAACTATTTCTATTAATTGGGAAAATGGCTTTTGTCACAACTGGTAAAGAACGCAGGAAAGCACACGCCAACCAAAACAATGGGAGCGGAAGCAGTCCTGTCATGTTAGAAAATTGTAAACACCTCAAGCAGAGGCCCAACTTGAGCTGATTAAATTTATATCTGTAATAATGCATTCGTGATTAAAACATTGGCAGCAGATGTCATTGCTTTTAAACTAGTGTATTCAAGACAAAAGCTTTAGTTAACCCAGAATTCAACATAGCAGTAGGGTTGTCACGGTGTGAAAATTTAACCTCACGGTTATTGTGACCAAAATTACCACGGTTTTCGGTATTATCACGGAAGTTTTTTTAAACGTGTTACATTTTCACACAATTAAATAAACCCTGTATGTCAGGAAATATTGTCCTCAGTTTGTGTCTAAATTTTGCCTAAAATGTGTTATTTTGTAATTATGTTGTTTATTTGTTTATATTTTTCCCTTTAGTCTTTAAAATACCAATATTTGCCCATAACTTCTTATTTTGTCTGTTTGATGTCATCATTTAAAAATATTAGACCAGATGATACTCAGTACTCAAGTAGCCTTCTAATCAGATACTTTTTTACCCTTACTTGAGTAATAAACCCTATATCAGGAAAATATCGTCCTCGGTTTGTGTCCTTCCAGTGAGCTTTGCAGATGTGGGAAAATGTCATCAGGCAGTAATCATTGTTAAATTCATAATTATTCTCAGAGAGAGACCAACTCTTATCCGCCCCTGGGAGCCCCGTAATGCATAGCGTCATTTCAACATGGGGGGTGTCCGCGACACGGTTTATATGCAGGTAGCGGCGCTGCAGCTGCTTTATATAGCGACTCGTTGCGTTCTCCCTCAACCCAAATCCTCGGATCACGCATTTTAGCTAAAACGCTAACGTTAGCTTGCCTTGCGTTGACTGTAGAGTTGTGGGTGATGGTCACGCAGATGTGTCATGAGATTTGAAGCGTTGCTGCCTTTCACAGACACTTTTTCTGCACGTGCTGCAAACAGGATAGCAGTCTTCTATCAACTGTCCCTCGGCATTCTTCAGATATCGAAAACATGCCCGTACTTCCCACTTTGTCTTCTTTGAGGGATAATAAATGTCCTCCTGAGCGCTGCCGTCTCCTCCTTTGGCCATTATTTCAGCTTTAGCTTCAAGGCTATTAAAAGGCTGTTTTACTATCTAACGCTGTAAAACGCCTCACAACGCATTTTTATCAAAATAAATGATCACTGTATATTGTTAATTCAAATAATATAATATTGATTTAGTGTTGTAGTGTGTGTGCTGCTTTATTTTATATGTGTACTTATTTCAGTCTATTTGTGTTTCTTATGCAGAAAAAAACAAGCAACGATGGACAACTACATGGGGAACAAGACACTCACCCCCCCCCAGCAATGCATACCACTTACAAACTCTATTCTAGATTCTACATAATTTTTCATGGAATTTACCGCTTATATTTTGATGCCAAAAAATTATTCAGGACTGATATTTTTCACTGTTTAGCTTATTTTACACCGCTGACTGTGTTCATGTGCAATAAAATCGATTGCAGTCAACTGCATAATTCTCCTATGTTTTTCTTTTTCTTAACTGAAATGTATTCATCACTTGTATAGGTTAAATAGCTAAACAATAACAAACCGATTAATCGATAAAAATTATCGACAGATTAATCAATTATGAAAAATAATCGTTAGTTGCAGCCCTAATAGTATCGTTTACCAGATTAGATTTTGCTGAATCACATAGTTGAGTGAGTAAACAGATACATTTACACAAAATTAATTGCACAACCGCCCGTTTCAACGCGACAGAAGATCTCTTCAGTAATAACATTGCCTGAAGAAACCGCAGATTAGGGAAGGGGGACCATACGTCCTCTTTTGCCCCTGAGAAAGATCTGCTCCACAGCATAGAAGATGAAGACAATAAACAGGATGAAAAAAACTATGGACTTTTGATGTTAATTGTTTTTTTCAAATGACTACTGCTTTTTATTATTAAGTGGAGAAGAAACAATAGAAAATGCATTTAGTAAAATATTTCTGGAGTTTGCTCATACATCCTGTAGAACTATTGTTTGGTTACAAGTACATTTTCTTATGGATTACGCTTTATCGTTATTTATTGCAAGAGGTTTATGAGAAATTTAGTATACTTGTTCACTTGTGAAAGCCTGTCTGACGTCTGACATTTATTTCACCACACAGAGAAGGCGTGCCTTATCTTAAAAGTTTTCTTATCGTTATATTAAAGTTTGTCATGATCTAGCCATGTGTCCTCTTTTTGGGAAATCAAAATATGGTCATCCTAGATTAGGGGGGAAAGATGAGAAACACCGACAAGTAAAACAAAACCCTGCATTACGTTAACGCGCTACTTTTGACTTGGTTGTTAAAACATGCAAGATATTGTCAACTTAAACGATAGAAGCAAATGTATTGTTGTGTTCACGTTTTTATGGCTGTTTTGTCGCTACCCGCAGGAATGGGGACTCCATTTCGCGTCGAGAGTTCCATGCAGGCCCACAACCTGACGCTAACGCGTGTTGAGCTAGCGCCGTTAGCGGATGTTTGACTAACTTACCCGCAGACATTCCGGATCCTACAACTGACTGCTGTTGAACCAGGGTCGAATAACCTGCCCCTGGGTTGAACTGATGTGGTTGAGGAAATGGTGTGGTTGGCATGGAAGGTTGGTAACCCTGCAGAGACGGAAACGATCCGGGCGGTCCAGGAGTCGGCATCAGCCCGTTGCCCGCACCAGGCCCGGCGTCAAAGCCTCGCTTAGCACCGATGCTAGGGTGAAGCTTACCAAGGGGGGTTGCGTTTGCTCCAGTCGCCATTTTCAATAAACTGAAATGGCTTTTGCCACGCGAACGTTATATCAACGAGTTTTTATTTAAATGTAATTAATCTGTCAGAGAAAAGTCACCGCAGCTTGTTTTCTGAAACTTCTCCCAAAATGGCGCCCAACAGAAACGACAAAGGTTGAGCATTGAGGCTTCTGATGTCACGTTCAAGTAACATGTCTTCCTATTGGCTCAAGTGCTAAATCACCTTCCGAAATGGATCAAATGGATTGGTCCAACTGGCTTCCAGTTCGTTGTATTTTAACCAATCTATAATCAGGAAACGGCTTTACCCTCCCCCTGTGTGAAATCAGCAATGCTGAAATCGAGAACAATCTACGAACACTTTCCTCTACTTCAAGACAAGGACAAAGAACTATGCTACAACTTAGTCCTCTGTCTTGTGTTCATACATAAACAAAGAATACATAATGTATCCCCTAACTTTAACGTGTTCATATCCGACTTAGGTATCTATAATCCCTTCAATTTATTAAAGATAATTACTGAGTTTATATATGAAGTACTGTGTAATCTTCCTAGCAATGTACAATAACCCCTAGGTTAACAAATCTCAATGTTATATTTTTCTTTGTTTCGTGTTATTTTGTTTACCTGCTCTGATGTCAATTGAACTGAATTACGTTTGCCTTTGTTGTTCTGTACATGAAATGACAAAAAAAAAAAGTTCCTCTTGACAATCTACAGGTGCTGGCCAGTAAATTAGAATATCATCAAAAGGTTGAAAATATTTCAGTAATTCCATTCAAAACGTGAAACTTGTACATTATATTCATGCAATGCACACAGACCAATGTATTTCCAATGTTCATTACATTTAAATTTGATATTCATAAGTGACAACTAATGAAAACTCCAAATTTGGTATCTCAAAAAATTAGAATATTCTGAAAAGGCTGAATATAGAAGACACCTGCTGCCACTCTAATCAGCTGATTTACTCAAAACACCTGCAAAGGCCTTTAAAAGGTCCCTCAGTCTTGTTTTGAAGGCACCACAATCATGGGGAAGACTTCTGACTTAACAGCTGTCCAAAAGACAATCATTGACACCTTGCACAAGGAGGGCAAGACACAAAAGGTGATTGCTAAAGAAGCTGGCTGTTCGCAGAGCTCTGTGTCCAAGCACATTAACAGACAGGCGAAGGGACGGAAAAAATGTGGTAGAAAAAAGTGTACAAGCTCTAGGGATAACCGCACCCTGCAGAGAATTGTGACGACAAACCCATTCAAAAATGTGGGGGAGATCCACAAAGAGTGGACTGCAGCTGGAGTCAGCGCTTCAAGAACCACCACGAGGAGACTCATGAAAGACATGGGATTCAGGTGTCGCATTCCGTGTGTCAAGCCACTCTTGAACATGAAACAGCGCAAGAAGCGTCTCGCCTGGGCCAAGGACAAAAAGGACTGGACTGATGCTGAGTGGTCCAAAGTTATGTTTTCTGATGAAAGCAAGTTCTGCATTTCCTTTGGAAATCAAGGACCCAGAGTCTGGAGGAAGAGCGGAGAAGCACAGAATCCACGTTGCATGAGGTCCAGTGTAAAGTTTCCACCGTCAGTGATGGTGTGGGGTGCCATGTCATCTGCCGGTGTTGGCCCACTCTGTTTCCTGAGGTCCAGGGTCAATGCAGCCGTCTACCAGGAAGTTTTAGAGCACTTCATGCTTCCTGCTGCTGACCAACTTTATGGGAATGCAGACTTCACCTTTCAACAGGACTTGGCACCTGCACACAGTGCCAAAACCACCAGCACCTGGTTCAAGGACCATGGTATCCCTGTCCTTGATTGGCCAGCAAACTCGCCTGACCTTAACCCCATAGAAAATCTATGGGGTATTGTGAAGCGGAGGATGCAATACGCTAGACCCAACAATGCAGAGGAGCTGAAGACGACTATCAGAGCAACCTGGGCTCTCATAACACCTGAGCAGTGCCACAGACTGATCGAGTCCATGCCACGCCGCATTACTGCAGTTATTGAGGCAAAAGGAGCCCCGACTAAGTATTGAGTGCTATACATGCACATTCTTTTCATGTTCATTCTTTTCAGTTGGCCAACATTAGAGAAACAAACATTTTTTCATTGGCCTTTAGAATATTCTAATTTTCTGAGATACCAGATTTGATGTTTTCATTGGTTGTCACCTATAAATATCAAAATTAAACGTAATAAACATCGGAAATACATTGGTCTGTGTGCATTGCATGAATATAATGTACAAGTTTCACGTTTTGAATGGAATTACTGAAATATTTTCAACCTTTTGATGATATTCTAATTTACTGGCCAGCACCTGTAGATGGTAGTAATCAGATATTATTGTATGTAAAAAATTTACTGTTATTAAAAACTTCACTTTTATTATTTAAACCTATCTGAGCTAAAGCCTGGGAGCTTTTCAGTTTTATTCTTTAAATAATTTTGAACCCATTTATTTATCAGACTGGTGAAATATGGCTTTCACTCCTACTTTCAGAATGCTGTAAAAATGTAAACTGCTCCATCAAATTACGTGCAGGCACCTCTTCTAGATTTAACTTGGTTTAACACCAAACCCTCTGTCAGGAATCTTGGTGTGACCTTTGACCCAGCTCTCACCCTGGATTCTCAAGTCAGTTCTCTTGGTCGCTCTTCCTTCTTCCATCTCAGGAACGTTGCTAATCACCCCGCTTCTCCTCCAGCTTCATTGGCTGCCAGTCAACTTCAGGGTTAATTTCAAGATCCTGGTTCTGGTCTTTAAGGCCTTACATGGACAAGCACCATCATATATTGGTGATCTTCTCAGTCCCTACACCCCCAGCAGGTCCCTGAGGTCCAGTGACCAAAGCCTACTGGTTGTGCAGCACCAGGCTAAAGACCAAAGGTGACAGATCATCTGCTGCTGTGTCCCCCAGACTCTGAGATCAGTGGACTCAGTGGTCTCCTTTATGATGCAGCTGAAGGCTCACCTGTTCAAGCTGTGGTCTGACCTTCATCACCCTCTACTTATTCTGCTCTTGTTCCGCCTTTTCTGGGATCCACCGAGTTGTTCCTTTCCTTACATTTTTTAAATCAGTTTTTAATTTTTTTCTCACTTTAAACATATTTATAACCCTCCCACTGTCCTATTGGGTGACCCCGCCAGGAAAGTTGACTGTTGAGCAGGATTGAGTTTATCCCTTGAGGTCCATGTGGCAGGGGTGAGGTGTATCATCAGCAAACAAAATAAACTGTAATATTTAGGACACTAATATACAAATTAAAGAGCCGAGGTCCCAACACAGAACCCTGTGGGACTCCATATGTAATAAGTTGAATCTGAAATTTCATCTTCTAACTGTACAAACTGATTTCTTTTAGTCAGTTAACTACTTAACCAATCATGAGCTTTCTCTCGTATCCCGTAATTCTTTAACTTAGAAAGTAACAAACCATGGTCCATGGTATCAAATGCTTTTCTTAAATCATTAAACAGACCTGCTGTGTATTGCTTCCTTTCTATTGCTGCTGTAATTTCTTCATTTAACTAGTAATGCCAAGGATGTAGATTTATTTGATCAAAATCCATACTGATTGTCACTCAGCAGTTTGTTGTTTTCAGTAAAGTTGTCTAGTTTCTGAGTGAACCATTTTTCAAGCACTTTAGAAAACCGGGGAAGCACTGAGATTGGTCTGTAATTATCAAAGCTATGTCCATCACCGTTTTTAAATATCAGAATTACTTTAGCGATTTAATTTTTTTCTGGAAATATACCATTCTGAACAGACAAATTACAAACATAAGTAAGTGGTTTAACAACATACTCAATTGCTTTCTTTACTATAGTCATGTCAATCCCATGACAATCAATAGATGTTTTAGTTTTACTTTTCTTTACTATTGTCAATATTTCATTTTCACTTACATCTCCCAAAAATATAGACTGTAGAATTCCACTCCCTCCTTGTATTTTTACACCTTCCTTAATTTTTGTTTCCATAGATTAGGCCAGACTTGGCTCTATGTTTACAAAAAATGAACTAAATTCATTCACCACCTCACTTTTATCCCTCAGAATGTCATCTCCTTTAATAAAGTAATCAGGACAATTGGCGTGAAAAGACCTAGGTCTTACAACGCTATTCAAGATTCTCCATGTTCTTTTCATATCACCTGTACTTTCCTTCAACCTTAAATTATAATAATCTTTTTTTGCTTGCCTTATCATAGTTGTCAATTTATTTTTATAAGTCTTATACTTCATTTCTGTGCTTTTAAATAGAAGTCTGACAAAATCTCTATATAATTTATTTTTTTTCCTACAGGATTTTATTAGTCCCTCTGTTAACCAAGGCTTTACATCAACATTTTTCTTTTTTTACATGTCAGTATTGGGCAATTCTTATCATAAAGGGTTGTATACGTTTTTAAAAATGTATCCTAGGCTATGTTCACATCCTTAACATAAACCCCTCCAGGTCATTACAAAATGTTGTTATTGCTTCCTCCGACCTTATTCTAATATGCTTTATCTGTTCAACATCTTTGGTTTTTTTTTTTTTTTTTTTGACTGATGTATCATGAATATCGGTAGGTGATCGCTTATATCACTTATTAAAAGACCACTATTAACTGCCTTATGTATTTCATTTGTATAAATATCGTCAATTAGTGTAGCACAGGTACTGGTAACTCTGGTTGGCTTAGTAGTCACAGGATATAAACTCCTACTGGACATTGCATCTACAAAATCTGTAGTGGTTTTGTGGTTTTCTTGGTTAAGTAAATAAATATTGAAATCTCCACATATTAACCAGGTTTTCTTGTCATTTAATCCACCTATAAGACTTTCACACCTTTCTCTGAAACATTCAAATTTAGAACCTGGTGTTCTATAAACACAAGCTACTATAATATTTCTTGTTTTTTCCATCTCGATTTCAACAGCTACACACAGGGTATCTGCAGGTTTAAGGGAGCCAAATTTAAGACTTTTAAGACCTTTTTAAGGCCACTTGGACCAAATTTAAGCAATTTTTAAAATTATATTTAAGCTATAATTTCCAACTATTGCCTGGAACCGGTGCTAACCACGTCGCGAATGTGGGATTAGCCAACCAGTTACCATTAAACTTGCACTTCCCCATGGCGCAAGCTCCCACTAGTTTAACCAGCTAATGTGCTCATCTAAAAATAGCCCCCTTTCACAACCAACTGCATGCGTACGGTTCCGCTTACGCCAACATCGTACACAAAAAATGCTGAACACTAACTAGAAATTCACGAAAATTTTATAGAAAAAAAAAAGAATCTTGTTTTTTGGGTCTTTGGTAATTGAAGACATTTGGAAACTGTATTTATGGATTATTTGTCATTTTTAAGGATTTTTAAGGCCTTAAATTTGGAAAAGCTCATTTAAGACTTTTTAAGGACCCGCGGATACCCTGTGACACATTCCATCGCATCTTCTAAGGCTACTGACATACACTCTACTATTTTACAACTCAAGGAAATTTTAGCATGCAATGCAACCCCTCCACCTTTTTTCTTAACTCTATTTTTATAATACAAATCATACCCTTCTATAACAAAACCAATACCCTTTTCTTCATTTAACCATGTTTCAGATAAAGCAAAATGTTTTCAAGTAATCATTCATCTTATCAAAGGTTGCATAAAGACTTCCACAATTAAAATGGATAAGTGAAAAATTATCTAGATCAATAGAATCATTAAACTGATCATTTGTATAATATGTACAATTGTCATTAATTGCATTTAGTAGATTACTATCTGGATCAATATTGGTTTCATAATCAAGTGTTTTATATTCTGCAGCTTTAAATCTTTTCAAGGATTTTTCAGATGATTTTTCCAAAAGTACCTCATCTCTTGTGTATCTCAAGAGACCTTGACTCCATCAGTTCATGGCCGGGAATTCTTCTCCTTCAACTTCCATCCTGTGCTCCTCATTACTGATTCCAGATCTTCCCTTTCTTCTGGAATATTCATCTTTACTCCAAACTCACTTGATCCAATTGCAGCAGCCTGGGGATCATTATGTTGTCACACTTTCCCGTCCTCATAGAAGATCTTTAGTCTAGCTGGAAACAGAATCTGTGACTTAATTTTCCTTTCACTGAGTATTTTACGCACTTCCTTGTATTTTGCACGCTGCTTAAACACAGCTCTTGTAAAGTCCTCATCGAAGTAAATCTTTTGGTCCTTCACTTGTATATTTCTTTTTCACCAAGCAGCTTCTAGTACTTTCCGTTTCATAGCATATGATTGGAACCGAACCAGAATCGCTCTGGGGCGCTCCTTTCGTCCTGTCTTCAGCCCAACTCTCAATATGCAGTCCATCAGCCACTTCCAGCTTTTCCCGAGCCAACTAGATTACAAAATCAATGATGTCATTTCCTTCACAATCTTCTGGTACCGAGTAGGTTCTTATATTTTTTCTGCGGGTTTGGCTTTCAAGTTCTTCACATTTTATTTCTAATTGTTTTTGCACTTGAAGCGTTTTGCACTTTAGAGGTTTTCATTGCATGATCTTCATTCTCAGCAGTTCTCTGTTCAGCTTCCTCCATTCTTTTTAAACGTTCATGAAATCTACTCGTAGCTCGTTCATTTCGGCTTTCAATGCTCCAAAACTGATGTTTCAGTTTGAAATTCCTTCAGTTCTTTAAAGAGCAAGTCACCCCCAAATAAACTTTTTTTTGCTAATAAACTAAATAAACGAGTGTCTAATCATGCTGCAGACACGTGTCGTCAATAATTTGGCATCTAAAGCCCTTTTCAGACAGACATTCTGGAACATTTGTGGACAATTCAATCCGGTTTTTAACCGGAACTGTGTTTTCAGACACACCACTTTTGTACCGGAACTTGTCCTTTCGGCTGCGTTCACACAGCAGGGAAAAGTTCCAGATGTCTGACGGCGGCGGCGGCGGGGGGGAGAATCGGACTCATGTTAAAAAGAAGAAGAAAATATCATTTCTATAGCGCCTCTCAAGATAAAAATCACGAGGCGCTTAAGCATAATTCTGCGCACACGAAGACGCATAAGAGACCTGGATGATGAAGCTCAGTGGTTAAAGGAATCACTGAAGCGGTGTGAAGTGCTCCGTCGCGCGTCTAGGCGGTACCGTAGGAGGTGAGCTGCCGTGGTTCGCCGCATGCTACAGCAGCGGGCTATATAGGTGCGCACAGAGTCCCCCGTTCTCCTCCTCCCCCTCCCCCTTGTCCGGAACTTTACCTCACCAGTCTGAAGCAGCCACCCTGTCCGTAACAAGTCCGGACCTGTTACTAGGGGCGTCGTCCAGATAAATTCCGGAACACGTTATCCAGATGTTTGTATTCAGACACAAAGGTCTTACGGACAGAGTCCTGAACATTTCCGTTTTTCATGGCCTGTCTGAAGGGGGCTTTAGTTAAAATTTAAATATTCTGCCTAAAACTGGCAGTGTTGTGCCGTTGTCAGGTAAAAACTCTGCACTGTATTTTAATTTAAATCTGCCACCGCTATTGGCTAAGAAGTATGCTATGATGTAAACTGGTACATTATGATGTCACAATGCTGTCGTGAGCCTGAGTGTGTGTGTGTATTTGTTAGCGGCTCCGCCCTCTCGGTCTGCCAGGCAACAGCATTTGTTGCATTTTTCAAACATGAAGTGGGAGTGGAGTTAGACTCTGGTAGGGGTTGACTTGCTCTTTAAGTATTTCAGCCAAACCTGATGATTTGGCCGGTGACACGTCCTCAGTCATCTTCTTCCTTTCTTTGTATAAACATAATTAACTTGCTTACACCAGTGGCTTACACAAAACAAAGCTTCTAAATTTTAGAAGAAATCCTAAATTTTTCTAATGCATGATTTTCTTTTCGATGATTTATGAATGAAACCAGACAGTTTAAGACTAAACAGCGTTCTTATAAAGTGAAAGCTGTTAAAACTATAAATCTATGCTTCTAATTGCATCCTGTGTGTTTAACTCTTGGTTTTTTTGTATTGCTTATTATATTTTATCTTCTATATTATTTATGATACTCAAAACCCTAAACGTTTTAGAAATCTTTTCCCATGACTACCTTTGTATACGGCTGCAGCATAAAGTAAACAATTTACTGCTAAATGCAATACTGATGTGAAAGACAGAAGACGGGAGTTGCCGGATTCTGATGATGTGGTGATTGGACGCCGGCTGGTCCTTGTTACGGGTAATGAGGCCGGAGAGAACAAAAGGGTGGCAGATCTACCAAGGTGGTGTGTGTGGTCGACCTGTCATTGTGGCACCGGATCCTGGGGGGTGGGGTCGCTCGCAGTCGTTTAGGGCTGCCGGCGACGAAGATAGTTGAGCAGGTGGGCAGTGTTCCAGCGATAGGAGGGAAGGCTTGACGCCTTCTTTAGGTAGCGAGGGCTGGGAGTAGTTGGGTGCCGAGACCACGCCGACATCTGCCGCCGCAGACTCTGGCAGCCAGACTTAAGTTGTGGATTTAACCGCCGTCCTCGCAAGCTGCACCCCGGGACGTTGGACGGTGTCGGAAGCTCAGACCCCGGGGAGGGGGGTCGCATCAACTGGGACAGCTGAGTACCGCTGCTTGTTTAGATATATGCCGATCAGCTGGCTTTTAGTGTTTAGGACTAGTGATTTATTGTTGCTTGTGATTGTTTTATTATTGTCGTTGTAAATAAAGCCTCTTTTGGATAAGTTGTTGCCTACTGGTGCTGTTTTTGGGTTCTGGCTGGAGGGCGAGATATTCTGCCCGTGCTCCTAACTTATATTACACAGCTTTAGGCTGTCAGGTTGTTGAGTTAGTCTAAAGTTTTGAGTCTGCATGGTGGTCCGCCTGGGCCAGAGGAGTAGAAATTATTCTGAATGAAACTGCCAGTGAATCAGTGCTATATCCTACTGACTATTTATTTTATGCTGTCATTCTGTAACACCGTGTTGAATACTACTAATCTTAAAAAGGGATGGATTCAACTAGGGCTGCACAATATATCGTAACTATATCATTATCGCGATATCAGCATACACAATATGCATATCGCAAAGAACAGATAAATATCGCAATGAATCGCTCAAGTGTTTGCTACACATGATGCATTCTGTCAAACGGAAGCATGACGGTTTTTTAACAAATCAAATAGAGCTCTTCACCCATTCGGCCAACTGGGTGGGTTCTCATAGGTTAGAGTCCCGCCCCCGAGGTGGATGGCACTTCATTTTGATGGTTAGCAAACACCTGAGTTAGCTTTGTTCTGCTCTTTTTGCTGATTCTGCTTTTCCCGGGATCCACTGATTGCCTTTTCGTGTTCCTTTCCTCCCATCATTTGCTTTTCTCATTTTTATGATTTTTTTTATTTCCTTGTTTTTGATTATTTTTGTTCCTGAGTTAAGTTTTTATTTATCGCGCAAGTAATATCGTCATCGCAATATTAATCATTATCGAATATCGCAGGTTTTCCTAATATCGTGCAGCCCTAGATTCAACCAATGTTTCACCAAACAGTTTTTTAAATTGCTTTAAATATAAACAAAAAATAAAGTACAACTGCTGCCAGTTTATTCAGCCCAATATTCAAACTGGCCCGCCAACGTCAGTACCGGTGATCATTCAGCGGGTCTCTGTAGTCTACAGGGGCAGATGAAGTGAGTAATGGGAGCGTGTCCAGCGCCTCAAAGGTTTGCACACCCTGCCAATCACAGGCAGTTTGTGAGTGTAAACACGTGGTAGAACCACGGGAGGCGGCGGCGTTGGGACAAAAATGGTCTGAAAAGGGCGACGGCCTTGGCACCGTCGACCCATTTGCCGTCCACCAATGACAAAGGAAAATGTTGGGGGTCCACTGTGAGGCGAGGTGAAACGAGCCTTAGGGAAAACATCACGGGACAGACCTATGGAACGCTGGCCTGAACGCGATGAGGAAGCTCTGGAGCGCTGCATGGAGGAGCGAGCCAAGGACCTAAAGTAAAAGAAAAAAAAAAAAAAAGGGTGTCAGCAACTTTAGTCACTGCTGAGGGAAAATAAACCAAGTTAAACTTTAGTTGTGCTTTTACCTCACTGATCCTGTGGCCGCAAGGCTAGGTGGGGGTGGATCAGTGCGGGGGCTCCCATCCTGTCTGGGGCTGATGTTGAGGTTGGCGGTCAGCTGTGGCATTTTGCGAGTCGTATCGGGGTTGGAGACATGGCCGAGTGGTTCCTTCCGGGTTTCTCTAAAATGGGACGGAGTACAGGGAGAGAAGCCGCCAAAGCTCTGTTCTGTGCTAAACCTGACGGCAAGGCTGTCTCCAAAAAACGAGTACAGCTCGGAATACATAGCAGGGAGAGGAACTGGGGACCACTCCTCCCACTGACAGCCGGCCCCACCTGCCTGGAGGTGGCTTGCAATTCCAAGGCCAGCTTCCGCTAGAGGCTCTGGAGGGGGGCTGAGACCTGGAGAGCTTACTCTATAGCCCATTGGGCCTGCTAGGCAACCCGGCTGAGAGCTTGAACACCCCTCTGCTGGCTGAGGCAGAGACAGAGCCTTCATCTTCAGAAGACGCTCCACCGCCACCTGCAGAACAAATGGGAGAACTTCAATCCAGCATGTGATTCCCTAAAGACGTTCTAGTGCAGGGATGTTAAACCTCAGTCCTTAAGAGCCCCCGTCCACCATCATATAAACATATCCCTGCTCCAACACGCCTGATTCAATGGCTCCTTTTAGCAGAGGTGTGACCAAGTCACTGCTTTGCAAGTCTCGAGTCAAAGACAACCAAGTCAACGTCGAGTCCAAAGTCAATGACGTAGAAGTCCAAGTCAAGTCCAAGTCCTTAACTTTGAATTTTCAAGTCATAATCAAGTCATCTGTCCAGCTTCTATTTAATGACAATGATAATAAATGAATTCCAGAAATAAAATGTATTCAAGCTTCATTTATTTGCTGAAACAGCAGAAAGTTCAGCTGAAGCTGATTACGAACAAAGCTGCTGCATTCAGCAGAACATCATCAGACCCAAAACGAAGAATGTCCATGACGGGCCACTTTTGTGCTAAAATATCAAATATGCCAAAGTCATCATCAAGTCAACAGATGCAAGTCGATTCAAGTCGCAAGTCATTGGCGTTCAAGTCAGAGTCAAGTCGTAAGTCTTTATAGATTTTATCAAGTCAAGTCAGAAGTCATTAAAATAATGACTCGAGTCCAAGTCACATGACTCGAGTCCACACCTCTGCCATTAGGGTTCAGCAAATTGACAGCTTGATTAGAGACGATGTACAGTCAGGCCCATCCACAGATGTCCAGATAGAAAGTCCCATTATCCAGTCTCACAAATGACGGGTTTGTTGCTGTGATGCTGGTTAAAGCCCAAACCTAAAGTTTCATTATTAGTAAAAAACAAAATGACTAAATGCACTTTAGATGTTGCTAGTGTGTTTCAGCTCTATTGTCATTTTTATATCTACAGTCCTCAGTTTTTTTAAAAACAAGACGGTTATTATTATTGTTAACTTTTTTACCGGGGTTTACCGTGACACCGGTTACCGTGACAACCCTAAAACGCAGCTTTACTGTAATAATCGATAGCGATAGTACTAACCAAGATGGCTCCATAAACCTTGTGTCCATCTGCTTTAACCTGAGCATTAGACACAGAGTAATCATCCAGCACGGCCTGGAGGTTGGCCCAGTAGGCAGGAAGGTGTGGAAAGAGCACTCTCTCAACAGCCTGCCACCAACAAACACAAGAGTTACATCAGATAAAATCCAAGTTACATTCACAAACGTGAAAGGAAGCAGAGCCTTTCATTTCATATGAATTCACGTATGATTTTTACGATAACCCAGAACTGAGTTCGCAGTTTAATACGAACAGAAAACAAGTAAATAAAGGCAGTTTTACAAGCAAGTGGTCAGAATCAAACATCTGTCAACCTAAAACTGCACTAGAATTATAAAACGGTATTCGGAACCACATTTCTGCTGAGTCACTCTTACAGACTGACAGACAACAAGAGTCAATTCATGGTTGAGATGAGTGACCATACCTTCCATCCCAGAGCATGAAGGCCAACCACAGCTCCATAGTGGGAACAGAGTGGCCTCACCGGGTCAGACAGAACCTTCTGCAGGGAAAGCAGGATCTGGCGGTAGAGACCACTCACTAGATCACCATGAGTCCTGAAGAAAAGTCCAACACAGGGAACCTATAAACCTTAATAATCAAGCAAACACCAGCATACTGGGACAACTGGATCCAACGGGACAGAAGACTAAATCAGATTCAAACTGTCAGGAACTTTCACACCAGAATATGTGACTGAGGAGCAGGGCAGCGTAGTCCCGGAGGGTCCAGTGGTCATTGAGGGGGTTGATGGAGGCAGCCAGTGGCTCCAGGATGCAGTACATAACACTGGAGACGAGGCTGCGCACATATGAGCCCAGGTACAGGTAGGGGTTCTGAACCAGGCTCTTCACCATGTGCAGCAGTCTGTTGAGTTGCTCCAGGTCATGGCTTACCGACTTCACCTGGAACACAAGACCCCACAGAGGGTAAACCAGTCTGTCACTGGTCCGAGAATAGAAAAAGACCAGAAAAAACTTTATTGATCAACAGCACTCTAGCGGAAGTTATCAGCATCAGTATGAAGTACAGCCTGGTTCTACTTACCCCACTAATGACATAAACAAAGTACGGCAGCAGGGCAGCAATCTTTGAGTTCGACTGAAGGTCCTGGAGAGCAACCTGTAACACACACACACACACACACACACACACACACACACACACACACACACACACACACACACACACACACACACACACACACACACACACACACACACACACACACACACACACACACACACGCCACGTATTTAATTCTGTCTGAGCTTGTAGAACATGTGCTCAGAGGATGCTGACCTTCATGAGATGGGGGTCCTCTCCAAGGATGGCCCGTGTGATCTGCTGATAGTACTTGAGGAGGTCATCTGAGAGAGACTGTACTGCAGCGGGAACTGAACAGGGGGCAACAACAGAAGAAAGTAAAGTACTGAGCATCATTTTGAGGCAGGTCTGAAACGATGCTGTAAACAAAGAATGCTTTAATGAGCAAGTCACCCCCAAATCAGCTTTTTTTCCCCTGATAAACTATATAAATGTGTGTCTAATCGTGCTGCAGACACGTGTAGTCAATAGTTTAGCACTTTAGTGCATTTTAGTTAAAATTTAAATTTTCTGCCTAAAACTGTCTGTTGTGCCGTTGTCAGGTAAAAACTCAGCACTGCAGTTGAATTTAAATCTACCACCGCTATTGGCTAAGAGGTATGCTATGATGTAAACTGGTACATTATGATGTCACAATGCCATTGTGAGCCTGTGTGTGTGTATTTGTTAGTGGCTCCGCCCTCTTGGTCTGCTAGGCAACATCATCTGTTGCATTTTTTTAAACATGAAGAGGGAGTGAAGTAAGTTTCTTGTAGGGGGTGACTTGCTCTTTAATGAATGGAAGTGTTTATCATTAAAGGTGTGGAACACTGAAAAACCATTTTTAAATCTTATTCTGATTATGACGTCATCCGGTTAAATAAAGGATAAATAGACAAATAGCCAGTCACTCTGAGTTTTTCATGCAGGCAGAACATGAAAATAGTCTCCTACACCTATCTCCTGCATAATCTTCTGACAGAAAACAGACGGTGAAACTCAGGGATTAGAAAATCCTGACAGATCTACGTCACACTGTCACGTTCCACTGGGCATAAGCGTCCATCTAAGTGTTGTACAAACAGAAAATGCAATAAAACTACTGCGACAGGGCATACCTACAAACAAGATCATATAAAACCACTGTGGGCGGAGGGACCAGTGGCGCCAGTGCACGGCAGCCTCGCCTCTGTCAGTGCGCCCCAGGGCAGCTGTGGCTACATCGTAGCTCATCCCCACCTGTGTGTGAATGGGTGAATGACTGTGTTGTAAAGCGCCTTGGGGGGGTTCCAGGACTCTAGAAGGCGCTATATCAAATACAGGCCATTTACCATTTACCATTTATGAACGGTGCTCTACCACAGTGCGAGAGCTCCAGATCTCCACAGAGCTAAAGCCTTAGCTAAAGCATCCTGTTAACCATACAGTTTATAAAATGTAGACCACGAAAACGCGACTATCATACACAGTAGCGATCGGCGTGGCGTCTACTTCTACTCTTCTATGTCTATGTCGTTGAGGACGGACCTGTAATGAACAAATCTACACCAATTAGAATAAAAGAAAAAGCTTTTCTTTTTATTACAATGACAAAAATGTCTGAAGATATTTCAGCATCAGCTTTATTGTCAAGTACGTGAGTGAGTCTCACTCACGCTAGCGGGAGTCTGCTCTGGTGGTTGTTATCGTGTTGTAATTACATGCACTACTGGTGATGGTCAGTGTGTTTAAGTAATTATATGAGGCTAAATTTAGACACAAACTGAGGACAATACACCAAACTGCTAAACTGTACATGCATGCACTGATCTTTCCCCACTTATCATACTGCATTACATCATGGTCACAGGCTTCATCCACCACTCTAAAACCTATAGTCTTAATATACAAGCAAGCAATAAAAATTATGGACCAGAAACCATTGAAATGGCATCATTGCCACATTTTAAGGAAACATAATCTTCTCACTTTTGAAAATTTTATTAATTTTAGCACTCTAAGATTCTTTTTCAATTGTCTAAATGATAAATTGTCTAAACTGTTCTCTACTGTGGCCGTCAGACGTCAGAGCTCTCTTAGAACGATCACTCGAGCCTCCACCTGCGGCGATTGTCTCGTCCCGCGGTGCAAGACTTCTTTAGGTCAGTCTGCTCTTTCCGTAAAGGGGGCCAAACTTTGGAACTCTCTACCTGTTGACCTAAAACTAGAAACGGACAGTAACGTTTTTAACAAAGAGCTCAAAAAATGGTTAAAGTCTAAACAACAGTGTCTACATGAATAGTTTTAAAGTCTTGCATTGCTGCTCAAATTGCCTTGTTTTCTTCTTTTTTATTGAAAATTGTTTGCAATTTTAATCTGTTTTCTCTTTGATTTATTGTTGATTTCTTTGTATTTTATTTAACTGTAGTCGACTTTTTAGAAAGGTTCTATGGACAAGTGTTGCAAATTAGCACGTGTGCTAACACACTAAACAATGCATCTGGTTCGTCCAATGTAATTGCTGTGTCCATGTCAAATAAACATCACTCACTCACAATATTTCCTGATATACAGGGTTTATTTAGTTGTCTGAAAATGTAACACGATTTACCGCGATAACACCGAAAACCATGGTAATTTTGGTCACAATAACCGTGAGGTTAGATTTTCACACCGTGACAACACTAGATGAGACTGGGTCTTACCCGTCCCTTGAGGTCCTACGTTGCCTTTACCATCAAGGTACGCCACATTGGCTGACAGGAAAAGGAAACATAGTTAGTTTATGAAGTCTAGGACTTGGAAAACCAAGTCTGTATCCATTACATTGGATTGTGAAAGAGTGAATACAACATACCTCGCACCATTGTTTCAGCACAACCTTTAGGAATATTGGTGGCCAGAGCAAGCTCAATTAGGTTGATATCTCGATCTTCAACAAAGAAAAGCTCTCCTTCTTTTACTGAGCGGAAAAGCATTGCATCCTGAGCCCCGTAGCCACAGATAGCCTGGTGAGCAAGCAGGTCAAAGTCACCGAAACATCAGACTACAGTCACAGTCACACCCCACTGACTGTAGACGTGTGGACGACCGGGAACGCATTAAGGTCACGATTAAAACTCACCTCTACATTGCTCCAACGCAGGGCTTTGTTAAAGTCGTCCACTGTCAGCTTCTTCCGTTTAGCGTGCCTCATGAACTGAGCACTGCTCTGTTTGGGGCCGAAACAAAACTGTCAATTATAATAATAATAATACATTTTATTTAAAAGCGCCTTTCAGAGCACCCGAGGTCACTTGACAGAAATTACGTTCAGAAAATACTTTAAAACAGCAACAAAACGCAAAGAAGAAAAAACAAAGAGAAAAACAGTTCAATAAGATCAGAGGTCATAGGCAGATTTAAACATGTGTGTTTTGAGTTGAAAAGGGTAAAACTGTCGATGTTCCTGATGTCTGGGGGGAGTGAGTTCCAGAGACGGGGAGCAGAGCGGCTGAAAGCTCTGCTCCCCAGGGTAGTGAGACGGGCAGAAGGAACAGCAAGATGGATGGAGGAAGAAGATCTGAGTGAACGGGACGGGGTGTGAATACTTATAAGGTCTGAGATATATGGAGGAGAGAGGTTGTGGATGGCTTTGAAGGTATGGAGGAGAATTTTGAAGATGGACCTGAATTTAACTGGGAGCCAGTGAAGCTGCTGGAGAACCGGGGTGATGTGGTGAAAGGAAGGGGTTCTGGTGATAATACAGGCTGCTGAATTCTGGACCAGTTGCAGTTTATGAAGGAGTTTGTTGGGGAGACCATAAAGAAGTGAATTGCAGTAATCGAGACGGGAGTCCTACCTCAAGTGGAGGAGTTTAAGTATCTCGGGGTCTTGTTCACGAGTGAGGGTAGGAGGTATCGGGAGATCGACAGGCGGATTGGTTCGGCGTCTGCAGTGATGCGGACGCTGAGCCGATCTGTCGTGGGGAAGAGGGAGCTGAGCCAGAAAGCCAGGCTCTCGATTTACCGGTCGATCTACGTCCCAATCCTCACCTATGGTCATGAGCTTTGGGTAATGACCGAAAGAACGAGATCTCGGATACAAGCGGCCGAAATGAGTCTCCTCCGTAGGGTGGCCGGGCTCAGCCTTAGAGATAGGGTGAGGAGCTCGGACATTCGGGAGGGACTCGGAGTAGAACCGCTGCTCCTCCGGATCGAAAGGAGTCAGTTGAGGTGGTTTGGGCATCTGGTCAGGATGCCTCCTGGACGCCTCCCTGGGGAGTTGTTTCGGGCATGTCCTGCCGGCAGAAGGCCCCCGGGTCGACCCAGGACACGTTGGAGAGGTTACATCTCCAATCTGGTCCGGGAACGCTTTGGGGTCCTGCCGGAGGAGCTGGTGGAGGTGGCCGGGGAGAGGACGGTCTGGAGCTCCCTAGTTGGGATGCTGCCCCCGCGACCTGGACCCGGATAAGCGGAGGAAGACGACGACGATGAGACGGGAGGTGACGAGGCTGTGGACGGGAATGGCGGCAGTGTGGGGGTAAGGGAGGGGCGGAGATGGTTTATGGAACGAAGATGGAAGTATGCTGACCGAATTATGTTATTAATGTGAGCTTGAAAAGAAAGTGAGCTGTTGAGGATGACACCCAGACTCTTGACCTGAGGGGAGAGGGAGACTGTGGCGCTGTCAGTAGTTAAGGAAAAGCTGTCAGATTTGGAGATGGTGGATTTAGTACAATGCACAATGGCAGAGGTCCAGATCGTCACTGGAAGTGTGTGTGTGTGTGTGTGTGTGTGTATTTATAGGTTTATGTGGACAACTTTTAACTTTTAACCTGAAGTGTGGGGACATCTGGCTGGCCCACACAATGATAAAATACCCTGAAACGTGGCTTTAGAGATGTGGTGTGGATTAACTTCAGCTTAGGTTAGGGTTAGGAACAGAACAGCACTGGTTCTGGTTAGAATGGGGTGGGTTAGGCATAGTGGTCACACACAAATGAATGGAAGTCGAAGGAGGGTCCACACAAAGTGTCTGACCTGCGCTGCTTCTCTCAACCGGTAACAGACGTCCTCGGCGAGCAGCGCGGCCACCTCGTCCCCGAGCTCCAGGCCCGCACTCTCGGCCATGAGTTTCACGGAGTCCCGGGAAACCTCTGCGAAGCGGCGCTCCTCCCGGTCTGCCGCCATGGTAACGGATCCACTTAAAAACTGTAAAAACACCAGTTAGGACTCACGAATCGTTGAAATTAGATGAAACAACCGACATTCTGTATTTTCTGCCAAATTTGATGCAAATTAATGTCTAAACGGATGCCGGTGTGCACATAAGACGCTAATGTCAAGACAAAAAGAGGCAAAACGACATGAATGAAGCAGACTGACTTTACCACGGAAGAAACTCAGCAGAGGATTCGAGCTCTTCTTCTTCTTCTAATACATTTCCGGCAGGCTTTACGCTGGAATGCGCAATGCTGCCCTCCACAGTTACATTACTGCTACTATATCCTCGAATGAATGCCAGTGTGATGAAGGAATTGAAAAATCATTGGGAATTTGCACTAACCGAAAAAAAATGACTCGAAGGAAAAAGGATTCAAGCTCCTACAAAAGTCGACATGTGTACACGCAGCATCGGCGCATGAATATGACGTCAGAAAACACGACGGAATCGGAGGTTTTTCAAACATGTTTTACTTTGGTAACATTTTTATTAGATTTTACTACCAATTATGATCTGCAAATAAATAACAAAGAATTTCAAAAAATTACTAAGGCATTCTATGTACAGCATATAATCTTTTTCAAACCCTGACTATAGATCCCCTGATCTCCCTGAACTGTTGGTAAATGGGCATAACATAACAGCTAACAGTTTAAAAAAACCCCATATTAGGGAATTATTTACTAATGTTTTTTTCCCTTATATATCCAATCCAAATTCCATCTCACATCTGTTCTCCGGTGATCAAAAGAAAGAGATAAAAAAAAAATTACCTAAAACTTCCCATTCCTCCCAAAGCTAAGGAGGTCCACTACAAAATCCTCTCTGGTGTTTACCCTTCCAAAGAATTTCTCAGACGTCGCTTCCGTATTGATGATAATTGTTGCTCTTTCTGTAACGGGGATATTGAATCAACAGAACATTTATTTTATGACTGCATATTCTGTAAAGCCCTGCGGAACGATGTGCTCTACTGGCTCTTCCCTAAGATCCCAAACTTACTTGAATTTTCTAAAAATGATATTATGTTTGGTTCTCTAAGAAAAGAAAAGAAGCTTGGAAATGTTTAAAATGTAATAATTATTATGGGCAAATTCTTCCTTCACAAATGTCGTTTTCTGAAAACAAAGCCGTCTTTTTTACTTTTCACAAAGAACTCTGCCTCTTTTTCTCGTCTGTTAAATTTGTGGACAAAAAACAAGCTCTGGATTTGAATCATATGATTGTTGAACTAGATCTGTTAGAAAGCCTGTTCTGATACTATCTCATGTTGGTAAAACTGAATCTTTGTAGAGATTGCCATAATTGTTGTACATTTTATTTTGTGCAAAAATAAATAAATAAATAAAAACTTTGTACAAACATAGAAGGTCATTTAATTTACTTGTATGCTGCTTTATGTTATTTTTGACCTATACTGCTCTTTTCTGTTGTTCTGTGTTCGATGGATGCTTTGTTCTTAACCACATGTACTTATTCATATCTTGTTGATTTGTAAGATATGTGCTGTATTTGTGAATTTGTATAATAAAAAAGAAACTTTGAACAAACATCAGTGATGGTTTCTTTAGGAATAGCTTTAATACTCCGATGAACTGAGTTTTATGTTCATGACAGAAATCACATCTAAACCCAGTTCCACCAGGCTCAGGCAGAGATTTGTGTACAATTCTGTTAATTATTCATCTAGTTTTTACATGAAAATGTATTCATTTTTCTTGTCAACGTCTTTAAAAACATTTTGTGAAAAATAAAAGCAGACACTATCACAACTTGAACTTTAGGCCAACATGGATTCAATGTGAACCTTTCAGATTCGACAGCACTGTTTTATTCCCTCTAATTCAATTCAGTTCAAAGATACTTTATTAATCCCAGAGGGAAATTAGAGTTTCAGTACACACAATTCTGAGATCACACATACATACATAGACACAGACACATGACAAGAATTGGTGACTGTGGTCATTCGCAACCCGAGTCGCGCTACCTTAATAGAGATCTGAGGGTTTACATGAGGACCGAGTCAGGTGGAGGAAAAAAGGCACTTCAGAGTTACCCTCCACAGGGAGGGCAGCTTTGCTCTGCAAAAAACACCTCAGACAGATATGCAACAGACTTCAGACAACACAACATAAGTGTCCACTAGGTGGGGTGGTGGGTTGGGGACTCTCCACACATCAGTGCATGCAGCCGCGATAAGCAGCACTCGTCACCTCCGTTTGGACAGGGGAGGGAGGAAATTGAATTAGACAGCACAGTGACTCCTGGAAACGGTTCCATGGCCTTCACCGGTCACAGTCCCGCCCAGGCTGGGATAGGGAGACAGAGTTGCCATGGCGACGGCAGCATTCCACATTTCTTCTGAGCGGGAGTAATCACTTCAGCCTCACAGGCTCAAGGGCACCAGATTCAGATAAGAACTTGTTTTGGGGCCAGACAGAGACAATTTCCTCCCTCTCTTAAAGTTCTGTTGGTCTCCAACCCCTCTGAATCCAATAATGGCGTAAATTAATCTATTCCCAACCGTGCTGTCCCGTCAACTGGCTCCTTGATCGAATCAACCTGGCAACCAGGAGCCCCTTCTCATCGTTGAAAAAATCTTGTCAATCGCGTTGAGAGACCAACTGACCAGGTCCATTTTTAATCATTTCCAGAAAAAAATGCAGAAGCACTGTACACCCAAAGACAGTCAAAGAGCCTTGGGGATAAGATGGGGAGGAGAGGAGGAAAAAAGTGTCTGTACTCTCCAAGAGCTGGAAGAAGTACATTTAAAGAGCAAGTCACCCCCCAAATCAACTTTTTTCTGATAAACTATATAAATGCATGTCTAATTGTGTTGCAGACACGTGTAGTCAATTTAGCACTTTAGTGCATTTTAGTTAAAATTTTAATTTTCTGCCTAAAACTGTCAGTGTTGTGCCATTGTCAGGTAAAAACTCTGCACTGCATTTGAATTTAAATCTGCCATCGCTATTGGCTAAGAGGTACCCTAGAACATTAGCTGGTACTAGAGCCCTGCACTGAAGCCCTCGGGTCGGCTCGGCTCGACGGCCCGAGGGCCGGGCTTCGGGCCAACGACTGTGTAATTACCTCGGACACGGGCCGGGCGCCTTTATTTTTAATCGAATTCATAAAAAACTGAAACACTTGAACGCAGCAGCACCTGCCTGCTTCTCGCGCACCGGCACCCGTTAGCTCAGTTAAGGTGTGTGTGGTTTATAAACGTGCCGATATAAACAAATTCTCAAACTGCTGATTGAAACGTGTGCCCCTATTCTAATACGCCATTTTATGTCCACTTTGATGTCAGAAACCATTCGTTTATTCTCATGAAAACGGCAGCATTCTGTTTTTCTGTGAATAAATTCGCTCTGCAGTTAAATAAATACAGCATTCATTGCTGGGTTTTTCTAACTGGAGAGCGCATTTTCAGAGCGGCAGATTAAATTTACAAACGCATCCATTAATATAGTGTTCGTAAATTTTATCTGCCGCTCGGAAAATACGCTCTGTTAGAAAAAAAAGCTGCATTGATGCTGGTTTTCTTTTCTTTTTTTTTTTTACTGCAGAACGCTTCTCACAGATAATTATAACGCTGAGCATTCTATCACGCTAAAACGTTATGAAAGGTTAAAAAAAAAGTCGGGCTCGGGTCGGGCCAGAGAATCCTGAGAACCTTTTCGGACAGGGTCGGGCTGGGGCTCCACCCCCTCGGGCCGGGCCGGACACGGGCTCAGATTTTAGGCCCGTGCAGGGCTTTAGCTGGTACCATGATGTCACAATGTTGTGAGTGTGTGTGCTTGTTAGCGGCTCCGCCCTCTCGATCTGCTAGGCAACAGCATTTGTTGCATTTTTCAAACAGGAAGTGGGAGTGGAGCAATATTCTGGTATCAGATTCTTAATGCTGTTGCCTAGCAGACCGAGAGGGCGGAGCCGCTAACAAATACACACAGGCTCACAACGACATTGTGACAAACCCGCTAACACTCTAGGGTACCTCTTAGCCAATAGCGGTGGCAGATTTATTTCAACTGCAGCAAGGGCGTCAGTTTGTTTTCAGAATTGCTGGGGACAATAACCATGCAATTGAGTGGGGTTTAAAAATTGCTGGGAACAATAAAGTAGGCTAGCACAGGGGTCGGCACCCCGCGGCTCTGGAGCCGCATGCGGCTCTTCCATCCATCTGATGCGGCTCTCTGTGCTTGTAAACAAACATCAGAGCTTTATACTGGACACTGTGTTCAGCGCGGCTCGGAGCGCCCACGGTGGACATTGGGCTGAAGATCTGTAGAGGGGTTCGCAGTGCAGAACCACGGTGCATGTGATAAGATTTCCTCCCACTGAAGCAGTCTGGAAACCCGGTCTCTCTGAGGGATGTGTCCCCTGGAAAAATGTTCCCTGATTATGAAACTTTGGCTGAACAGCGCTTGTTCCCGTCTCTAATATGGAGACGCATGACGCATCCAGTCTGAGGCAGAATAGCCTCTTCAGCTCAGAAAGCACCTGTAGAGACATTTGATCACGCACAAAGTTCATGTGGAGCAGAAGCGGTCGGGCCACGGCAGGTGAAACGTTCCTAGCCTACATGAAGTGTAATTGTTTAATTGTAACATTAATGTGTTACTGGACACGCTGGTCTGGTTGGTTAGACCAGTGTTTGAAGTGGAAAACACACACACACACACACACACACACACACACACACCAATTAAAATAATGCTGATAGCATGGACTAGAAGACAGGTGATGGTTTACGTATTTAAATGATCAGGCTGATGTAAAATGTAATCTCCATCCACATCCAGGCAGAATTATCCTCTATTCTTTCTCTATTTGCTCTGCTCTTGTCTGGGCTGACATAGCTGACGGTGCGTGCGGCACGTGTAGTGGCTGTGATGCACATTTTACGCATTTGGAGAGGTGGGGATGCTTTGCTTTTACTGGAAGATGGTCCACTTAACGCACGGGTGTAGACTACATATTAATGACAAATGAATGAAAATTAAATTGGGAGTTTTTACTTCATATTTTAGAAATAAAAATGACGGAGGAAAACATTTATGACGTCTTTTTTAAACGAAATTTTCTAGCGCGACCTGCCTGCTTCAGTTAAGTCGCTGCTTATTAAGGTCCGTCCAGAATTACCGTGGCCCACCCAAAAATGAAAACCTGGCGCCGCGCCTGTTATAAACCTCTGCAAATTGTTGTTCTTCACTTTATCAAACTCAGACTTTGTACAGCTAATGTCAAGATGTAAAATTATGAATTCAGTCGAGCTCTTCCGTCCCTCCCTCTCCTGCTCTCCTGGAAACCCGACATCGGCTGTCAGAAGCGGGAGGTGAAGAAGGAGATGAGGCAAACAGAGTGAGTGCGACGTAAAGAAACCAGACTGGTGTGGAGGTGAGCAAAACAGCTGGAAAAGTGTGGGTGTTGCATCCCCCCATGAGATCTGAGCTGGTAAAACAAAAATCCTCATCAGCAGGCTTTTTTGAAAGTGGGGGGGACACAGCTGCCCATCACAAATTTTGCCGGGGACATGTCCCCGGCTAAAATGACGCCTATGAACTGCAGTGCAGAGTTTTTACCTGACAACGGCATAAGTTTTAGGAACATTTTATTTTAATTGTGGCAAGGTGGATAAACGAGGGCCCGAACGGGATTCGATCTCCAGACTCCTGGGTGAGAGTCATACGCACTAACCAGTCAGCCAAAGGAACATCCCCTTGGCCGTGTAGCCAGGGCGCATCATCGGGACACTGTGACAGGACGCTCACACTGTCACAATTAAAATGCACTGAAGTGCAAAGCTATTGACGATATGTGCCTGCAGCACGATTAGACACGCATTTATATAATTTATCAGAAAATAAGTTGATTTGGGGGTGACTTGCTCTTTAACTTGGCATAGTTTTTTGTTGAGCAGCATGCAAAGAGGGTAGTACTGCTTCACAGAGTAGGTTGCAGGTTCAAATCCTAGCTTTGCATACTCCATGCATGTGAGAGTTTACTACAGGTACTCTGGTTTATTTCCAACTAGAATCATGCATGCTAGATTTTAATCGATTTATCCCCAGATATGTAAACTGACTGGAGTAATAAACCCAGATACAAGTCCAAACCAGATCTTGTAAGCCCTGGTCAGAGTTCACTTTTGTATGGATTTGGTTTTTGTAAATCTAAATACATTTTATTCTTTTTTTTTTTAAATTAACTGCCTCAACAGGTTTTTGGGATTTTGTAAAAACCTTTTCAGGGAACTTTTAATAAGAGTCCAGACACGTCACACATACCAGAATGACACCATCTGAGGGAACAGCAGCATTTTTAGTCCAGCTGTTCCCAAAATGATGTTTCACTTTGATCACCTGTGGACTGCAGCACACAAACACACCTTGAACTAAATGGTCTATTTACTGTTGATTACTTAAAAGTTATAATTGCACCTTTCAAGGATCTAGTCTTTAGAAAGCCAGTTGAAATGCTGCAAGCGTAGATCCGCTTCGTGCCCTTCCATCACACTACCCCCTTACACCCAGTGGTCTTCATCCACCCAACCTTTAAACAGGTTTTACTGCAGGACCTTTTAATGGATCACCTTCTGCAGTTCGTGTCACATTCAGCATCATTCAAGATGAAAAACCTTTTCAAACCAAATTACTTAAAAACAATTTATTAATGCAATCAATTTACAGCTTATTGTTGCAATTCAGTTTAAAAATAAAAATAAAACCTCCAGCTAAGAGTTAACACTCCAGTTGGGTTTGACCCGCTTTCAGACAAGTCAAAGTTAAAAAAAAAATTATTTACATCAATAAATGAATTAAAAATAGTGGCACATAGTCCCAAGTTACTTCTCATCAGCACCAAGGTCAGAGTGCCCTGCTGTCCCAAGGGTCCTTGACCTTCCTGCTCTCCTGCAGCTGCTGCAGATTGAGGGCCAGAGGAAGCAGCAGGTCACTCAGATGATGGCTGGAAAAGGTAAAGGCATTGTGGACCATCATATCTGGGGATGAGGTGGCAAGAGGCGGAGTTGAGGGAGGAGATGAGGAGGTTGACGTATTTGATGATGTGCTGGAAGGTAAACCCAAGCGGTCTGGGAACACCCCAATTTGCTTATGGCTCCAGGGTTTAGTTTTACTGGAGAGGCGATGCTGAAAGTGACAACATGTCCCATAAAGACAGAAACCAAAAGTAGTGAAGGTGGGACACAGTTCTCCTTGGGGCTTCCACTCCTTGGACTGCGGCAGAATCGGAGTAGTGGCAGACTCTTCCTCACCCAGACCACTGTCCAAATCTCCATCAATGTGCAGGAAATGGCAGCGTGTGCCATAGGGACAGACACCAAGGGATTGGAACGTGCGACAGGGGATGCTCCTGCGGCGCTCTTTGACATGACGTAGCTCTGAAGGGCTGTGGACAAACAGGCAGCGGCTGCCATAGTGGCAGAAGCCAGTAGTGTGGTAGTTACGACACAACTCCGTCTTGTACCTTGGGTGACGGAAGGGAATGTGGAGTTCTCGGAGGCCATGAGCAAACTGGCAGCGTTCAGCATACTTGCAGGAGCCAGTGGCAGCATATCTGGTGCAGAGCTCTGTTTTGTAGCGGGTAGAGAAGACCCAGGGGTCAAGGGGAGGAGCTGGGTTCTCCACAAGAGGGAGAAGGGCCTCAGTCAGGGAAAGTCCACTTTCACTGTTGTCCTCCAAATCCTCGCTGCACAACAGGTTGTCCACCAGCTCCTCATCCTGACAGGATGGAAGGAAAAAGTCATCATTCCCAATCTGGAAAATAGGTGGTGGTGGGGTGGGGGTGGTATATCCCTTCTAACCTATGGCTCAGAGGCACAGATAAGACCAGAGACTGGTGATCCTGATCCTCTTTGAGACCAGAATCCTATTTAGGATCTAGACAAAATAAACTATCCAGGGATCAGGTTCTTTATAGCTTTCCAGGTTTATGAGTCATTTTGTTTGTACTCAAGGCCGACATCACCGCTCCCCTACAGGCTGCGGTTACCCCTCCCACACGTAGACGTTTAACCTAAAGTACTAGATTAACAGAAATGTAAATAACGCAACTACTGCATCAAGTCATTCTAAAAGGTGCTCCCTGAATAACCGCTCTAGCTTGACAGATTTGTGTTTATAAATAACGTTCTGATCAGAAACCACAAGAGTCGAATCTACACTAACTTACTAAGTGGATTTGTTAGAAGACTCCAGAACTACCGTAAATACTGAACAAGAACTACCGTAAATACTGAACAAAAACTACCGTAAATACTGAACAAAAACTACCGTAAATACTGAACAAGAACTACCGTAAATACTGAACAAGAACTACCGTAAATACTGAACAAGAACTACCGTAAATACTGAACAAGAACTACCGTAAATACTGAACAAGAACTACCGTAAATACTGAACAAGAACTACCGTAAATACTGAACAAGAACTACCGTAAATACTGAACAAGAACTACCGTAAATACTGAACAAGAACTACCGTAAATACTGAACAAGAACTACCGTAAATACTGAACAAGAACTACCGTAAATACTGAACAAGAACTACCGTAAATACTGAACAAGAACTACCGTAAATACTGAACAAGAACTACCGTAAATACTGAACAAGAACTACCGTAAATACTGAACAAGAACTACCGTAAATACTGAACGGTTGAGAGGGAACGAGGTCATTAGGCTAAAGAAAAACAAACGACACCCAAAACAATTAAATCCCTTTGTTCTAGAAAAAAACTCATTTTAAGGTAAAATTCAGTCCGACTTCACGAGGCTGGCTGCTCTTACCTCCAACATGACGGTGAACCGAGCGGAACTTCCGTTTGGCGTTTACAGGACGTTAACGACGGTTCCTCCGGTTGCCAGACAGAAGAAAACAGCGTGTTGGCCATTTTAAACCTGCGGCTGTCTTCTTCAGGAATTAACATCAGGTGTGTTCAAGCTAAAGCGACCAGTCACGTCTACGCTCGCGCACATTAACGGGCCAATCAGGTTAGCAGCTTAGAGACGCGCCTTGATGAGAGTGAAACATCCGGGTATTTCTCCTTGAAACACATCTCTGTAAACAGCGCAGAGTTCATTTGAAGGCTGAACCTCTGTGGCTCCTTTTCTTATGGCGTGTTTCTAAAGAGAAGGCACGTCTAAAACGCTATTTTGTCACCATTGATGAAGTTTACCTAATAGTCCACACATACACAGAAGATCTATATAATCAACCTGATTATTATTATTTTACATCAATCAATCAATCAATCAAAGATACTTTATTAATCCCAGAGGGAAATTAGAGTTTCAGTAAACACAATTCAGAGATCAGACATACATTGGCAAGACCATGGACGTAATTTTTTTACATCCCCCCCCCCCCCCCCCCCACTTTTTCCAAAGTCAAGTTTTGACCCCTGCACTTTTTACCATCCCAAAACAATATTACGCTATATTAAATTGACACTGGTTGAGCTCTAGGACCAAGCAGAAAACAACCGTTTGTGTTGAAGCCTGTTTCCCATTAGAGCATACTGTAAAGATCCCCCCCCCCACACACACACACATACACACTTCTAGAGTGAAAATTACATCCATGGGCAAGACACATGACAAGAATTGGTGACTGTGGTCCTTTGCAACCCTGAGTCGCGCTACCTTAATAGAGATAAGGGGGTTACATGAGGATTGGTTCAGGTGGAGGGAAAAAAGAGGCACTTCAGAGCTACCCTCCACCAGGAGGGCAGCTTTGCTCTGCAAAAAAAAAAAAAAAAAAAAACCCCACCTCAGACAGATATGCAACAGACTTCAGACAACACAACATAAGTGTCCACTAGGTGGGGTGGTGGGTTGGGACTATCCCAGCTTCAGTTCCTGCAGCCACGATAAGCAGCACGTCACCCCAGTGTGGATAGGGGGAGGAGCATTGAGGGTTGCAGTGACCCTGGAAGGCGTCCTTGGAGCCTTGCTGGCTCAAGGACGCCAGATTCCAATTAGAAATTGTTTTGAGGCCAGACAGAGATAATTTCCTCTCTGTCTTACAGTTTGTTGGTCCTCAACCTCTCAGAATCCCAATAATGGACATTAATCTATCCCAATCTGTGCTGATTCGTCCACTCTCTCCTTGATCAAATCAAATCAAAGCTTTATTTATAAAGCGCCTTCCGCAACCCCGTCAGGAAGCCCAAGGCGCATCCATTGATGGCATCCATCTTTTGTGCCAATAATGAATCTCGGCCAAAGTCCCAAGCTTACGATTCATCTAGACAATTATATGAGTCAGTGAATTCACAGCGCGGTGCAAACCATCTCTGAGCTCGGGAGCAAGCCAATATTCCTGGACAGCTCGTTAATTTTCCGGTAAGCCTGGTAGCCTCCAAGGCCAATGAGCAGGAAACCTGACACCAACACCACGAATATCCACACATCTTCAGAGCCCTCCACAGACAGCTGAGAAAGACAGATCAAGTTCCACTGTTTCCAGGAGTCCATGATGTGTCGGAGCCCCTTCTCCCGTTCTCATCGTTGAAAAAATTTTATCAATCGCGTTGAGACCAGCTAACGAGATCCTATACATAGTTGTAAACCAGGCTTGGGTTGATTTATAATGAGGTTTAGTAATGCTGGTTGATTTAAAAATGCTGAAACTGCTTGAACCCTGGAGCGAAGAAGCTGCATGTGAGCTGGAGATCAGTCAGTGGAAGAACAAACCAGAAGAATATCATCAGCATAAGAAAACAGTGGAAGAGGAGTGGAACGGGAATCTAACAGAAGGTCTGATATGAAGAAATCAGCAGAAAAGTGGCAGAAGATCTGCTCAAAAGAACACAAATGAATTGATCCGACTTCTCTATGAGGGTGATTGTGAAGGAACAGTGATGCGTAGCCACAACAGACACATTTCCTAAGAGGGGACACAATCTGTGTATTTTCATACGTTTTTTTCAAGTGTTTAAGTTAAGTGTAGGCCTTACCCTTTGTTGAATATTTTGAAAGATATAAACTCAAGACTCCAATAAGTCACAGCTGGATCGAGAACCTGAATGTTTTGATATGACATTTGTTGAAATAGGAATGAAAGACACTGAAAACATTAAATCAGAGGTTTCATATTCTATAAAATTCTTATATTATTCTTTTCTTTTGGCTGGATTACAAAAATGACCTTGTGAACGTGTTGCCAAATTTCAGAAACAAAAGTACTTAGGCACACAAACAGCTCCAGCAAAACACAAGTTAACTAGATCTTAGAATATTTAGAAGAACTTTGGACATGTAGACCCCATGACTGACATGTCCAAAGTGTCCGTCACCTCTCATTCAGTGACCGAAGGGAGACTGGGCAGCTTCACACCAGCACATGTTCCAGGATCATGCCTGAGTACCTGGAAGTTGTTATTCGATGGTCTACCAATCAGGTTTACATGTTGGCTGTGTAGAGAGAAACGCGTCTGGAACATTTAAGAGTGACAATCAGGGCCGTGTCTAGAAAAACCTTTCTAGACCTTTCCAGGGGGGCTGGCACGGCAGGGGCACACATATGAACGAGGGTGGCACATGTAAATGGCCTATACCTTAAAAAAAATCCATTTTTAAAACAGAACTACAAGCATTAATCCTAATAACTAATACTAATGGTAAACTTTTATTAATAATTATGTATGACATTGTTCAAATTTATTATAAGAAAACTGGGATATTGTCTGACATTGTAAGTTCAGGGCTGTCAGAAGCAGCGTGCCCCCCCTGGACACACCCCTGGTGACTCGTGTTCTCACCAGAGAAACAAGCATGGCTTCACTGATGAAAACATGGACATCCTCAGGAACCATCTTTAACGTTCTAGTGAAGCGGGCTGCTGACAGAAACGCTAATCACCACCAGGCTACGGCTGACTAAAGCGTCTAGCTCAGAAGTACGGTGAAGACAACAACAAGATGGAGCCTTTTTGACCACAAAGAAAAGGAAAAACTTTATTTTTATCAAGATGCATTTGGGGATACAGACAAAAAAAAAACAAAACAAAAAAAAAAACAAAGAAGACTTGAGAAAAGTTTCAATAGTAGAATGTTAGTGGATGCCTTTACAAAAACCCTCCCGTTGGCTCTTCTGGATGTCACTCATTACTTAAAACGACCCCCCCACCCCCTGTTTGTGCCTGTTACAGCCACCCCCACGCTCGTGGAGCACAATTACGTTTCACATGTGATTACAAAAATGTCCGCTTTACACCACTTTGTGTAAGCTACCTGCCACACTTCTCTCTTTAAGAAAACTGGGTCCACATTGGGACAAAGGTTTGTGTAAAACCGAAACCACGTCTCTGAATATTCACAAGATATTCAATCCTCTAACAGTTCCTTTAAACCATTTTCTAACGGTACAAACAGTACTTATAAAATAGAACAGTGTACACATGTACCGGATGTTTTATTTTATCAGCTGGCGGCTTCAACCACTAGCACTCCTTTTTGATTGTTCTGGTCTCGTTTTGGACTTTTGGTGCACATACGGTGCAAACGACTTAAACGCTAATCGTATAGGTTTGCCTGAAAAAGGTGCAGTTTGGGTGAGGATGGGACTGCGGTTCTCTCTCCAGCTGAACGCTTCCTGACACAGACGACTTGGAGCCCTTTCTTTAAACAATGTAGTTCCTTTTTCGGCCGAAGCTCTCTGAGTGCATCTTCGTGTTTTGACATTGCATCTGTTTTCACGTGACGGAGGAGGTGAATAGGCACAAACAGAACTCTGGTGATGAGGCAGGCTCAAACGAAACATCTCCACGCCTCGTCCAGCCGCCGCCGCCGCTGCCCCGGCAGCTGGCGGCGGTGGCTGGAACTGAGTGGCGTCGGCCTGCTGCAGCCGCCACACAAACATTACCGCTTTTACTCTGCAAACATTTACACACAGATCAGAAACATGGAATAAAACAGAGTGTGCTTTGTCACCATCGTTTTGGGATGAGAAATACCAGCATTTAAATTACGATAAAATAAAGAGTGGTATTAAAATAACGCTAAAATAAACCAGGACCTGCAGTAGACTCCACACATCCCAGGGTTTTGCTTTGATGTCAATCATCTTGAATTCAAATGAGGTGTGTGTGTGTGTGTGTGTGTGTGTGTTGGACAAGCTGACAAGGGAATGAAACAAGGACTAAAGAAATGTGACACAGAAAACAGGGAAATCAAAGTCCTGTATGGCGTTCTGTGCTGCCTGTTTGGCAGGACCAGAGCTTAGACCCGCCCCACCCCCCACCCCACCTCCCCAAACCCCTTCAGTCCTCCAGAACAATGGGCTCACTGGTGCTGGAGGGGACCAAGGGCACGGCCAGGGAGCGGGGCGGCGGTGGCAGCTTGATCCGGACCAGGAGGTGAGGTTTCCTTGCTGCCCGGCGCATCTCGGACTGGGTTAGATGTTTCCTCAGAGCCCTGACGGAACAAAATGTAAACATTAGCTACAAAACAGGACAAGAACTTTGTAGAATTTTTGCTACTTTCTGCTCCTTCTGACACGATGACCTTGTCTTCCCCGCAGTCTGGCTCAGAGTGTGAAGTGCTTGTGCTCACTGGGTAGTTTTAAAGCTATGGGTCTATAGACAGTCCTCCCAGGGTTCATCAGAGCAGCTGGTGCACCAAACGTTTGGACCCTTCATAGTGCAGACAGCACCACCAGAATCCACTAATTTAGGGTCAGCCTGCTTAAGCGACCACTAGGTGGTGGTAGTACGCCAAGAAAAGCTTCTTAATCCAGCATCATGCGGTACTGCTGTTGTAGCTTCATTTGGAAAGGATTAGAGAGATGACTTTAGGCATGGATGACTGAACCTTTACCAGCAGTGTCAGCTCAACTCGTCAGGTGAAAACGAAGCGACGCTAAAACCCAACCAGCCTGATCATGAGGGACGCCACCGCGACAGGGACGAACGTCCCGGATCCTAAAACAGCGGCAGTTAGCTCGTCCTAGGGTTGTCACGGTGTGAAGATTTAACCTGACGGTTATTGTGACCAAAACTATCATGGTTTTCGGTATTATCGCGGTATTTTTTTAAACGTGCTACATTTTCAGACATCTACATAAACCCTGTATGTCAGGAAATATTGTCCTCAGTTTGTGTCTAAATTTAGTCTAAAATGTGTTATTTTGTAATTATGTTGTTTATTTGTTTACATTTTCCCCCTTTAGTCTTTAAAATACAATATTTGCCCATAACTTCTTATTTTATGTCTGTTTGATGTCATCATTTTAAAAATATTAGACCAGATGATACTCAGTACTCAAGTAGCCTTGTAATCAGATACTTTTTTACCCTTACTTGAGTAATAAACCCTATATCAGGAAATTATCGTCCTCGGTTTGTGTCCTTCCAGTGAGCTTTGCAGATGTGGGAAAATGTCATCAGACAGTAATCGTTGTTAAATTCATAATTATTCTCGGAGAGAGACCAACTCTTATCTGCCCCTGGGAGCCCCGTAATGCATAGCGTCATTTCAACATGGCGGTGTCCGCGACACGGTTTATATGCAGGTAGCGGCGCTGCGGCTGCTTTATATAGCGACTCGTTGCGTTCTCCCTCAACCCAAATCCTCGGATCACGCATTTTAGCTAAAACGCTAACGTTAGCTTGCCTTGCGTTGACTGCAGAGTTGTGGGAGATGGTCACGCAGATGTGTCATGAGATTTGAAGCATTGCTGCCTTTCACAGACACTTTTTCTGCACGTGCTGCAAACAGGATAGCCGTCTTCTATCAGCTGTCCCTCGGCATTCTTCACATATCCAAAAAATGCCCGTACTTCCCACTTTGTCTTCTTTGAGGGATAATAAATGTCCTGAGCGCTGCCGTCTCCTCCTTTGGCCGTTATTTCAGCTTTAGCTTCAAGAAAGTTTTGGTTGTAAACAACAAAGCGCGCATGTGCCGCCGGCAACTTCAGCAGATGATACGGTGGCTGGTAAGGGTCACCGCGCCTACACCGCAGCCACGGTAATCCACCGAGATTATATATATTTAAAAAAAAAACAAGACGGTTATTATTATTGTCAACTTTTTACCGGGGTTTACCGCTACACCAGTTACCGTGACAACCCTAGCTCGTCCACGTGAAATAAAATCACAAGGATTTCATAGTGACCTCGTTCAGCTCGGGCCCGTTCTTGTGCTCGCACGTTGATGAGACGGTGGTTTGTCAAATCTGATGAGTCGACTTGCAAAAAAATGGCCGTCACTACTTCTAAGAGCTCAAATTTTCTTCACCTGAGAAGATTAAACTAAAAGATTCCCTGAGGAGAGGATCTTCATCAGATCTGGTCCTCTTCTGTGGGTTTTAGCTGCTGGTTCAGGGACATGTACCTGGTGTCTTTTGTGGCTACAAACACCACTGGGTTCGGAGCTTCTCCCTGGCTGACCTTCTGCCTCTTGATGACTGACTGGGAGGTGGTCCTCATGCCTGAAGTATACGGCCTCCCGTTGGTCGGGTAGGGGACCCCTGAGGCCTGTGAACCAATGAGAACACCAGGGCTCAGTTATTACCCTCCCACGCCGTGGAAGCTAAGTGTCGTTCTGTGGAGGAGCACTGACAGTGTCGAAGCCTCGCTTTCCCAGCAGGCTTTGGGCCACCCGAGGCTGGCTGGCCTGGTTTCTGTTGATGGGTGTTGGGGGTCCTCTGGATGCCTTCAGTTTCAGAGGAGCTGAGATGGCTGCAGGAGCACAACAGGAAGGGTAGGAAGGACACCAGATCAAAGGTTAAAACCAGAAGTGAAAATCCCCGACACGATACCTCCGGGTTCGGATTAGACCAGGGGTGTCAAACATGTGGCCCACGGGCTGAATCCGGCCCGCAAACGGGATAAATCCGGCCCGCGAGATGGTTGTGTAAACTTTATTTTCATACTTTACAATGTAGAGTGAAAATAAACGTATGTTTGTGAGCAAGTTTCCTCTCTGAGTATAAATAAAACAAAGCTGCGCTCAAGGCTCACACAAGAACTTGAATCACATCCTGAAGTTGGCCGCCACTCAGGATGTGACTCCTGATGTTGATGTGCTGGTGAAAGCTAAAAGATGTAAAGTGAGTCAAATATACTTTAAGTGCTGCATGAAACTGATCTACCCACGTGATCTGTAAGCTGTTTGAATCACTAAGGATTGTTTATTTATTTATTTATTTATTTATTTTTCAAATTTTCAAGTACACTTCAGGTGTTGTACTTGTACTACACTGTCCTCAGGCTCCAGCCTTGTTTTATATCGATTGTATTAAAACAAAGAAAACAATCTGAAGTTGTTTTTAATTTACCGGTCCGGCCCACTTGGGACTAGATTTCCCTCGATGTGGCTCCTGAGCTAAAATGAGTTTGACACCCCTGGTTTAAAGGCTTCAGGGCTGAAGGAAGATGAAAACAACGAGCTAATGTTTGAGACGGTATCCCAGCTGTGTGTGTGTGTGTGTGTGTGTGTGTGTGTGACTGTCTTGTGCCAGAACAGGAAATGAGAAAACAGCGATACTAATGTGGGCCAGAATTAATTCTACAACCTTTTAGTTCCTGTTTCCTTCCTTTCAGTCATGATTTTATTTAACTGATGAGATTTTTATTTCCCATAATTAACATCAATCTGTTTTTATTCAGCAAAAAACGATGAAAATAAACCTTCCGGGGCCATTTTACATTTAGTGTCCCGGTCACGACTCACCTAGATCCTTCACGATGGCGGCCAGGGACTGTCGAGGCACCACTTTACACTTTAAAGGGGTTTTTGTGGCTTTGGGCAGCCTGATCATACCTGCAGAAACCAGCAGAGGTCAAAGGTCTCCATCTGGACCTCACCATGGCTCTTATCGTTACTCTGTGAGTATTTACACTCAGCCTTGACCGCGTTGGCGTTGATGGAGGCATAGGGTCTGCGTGCTGCACGTCGGGGCTGCAGGATGTCCTCACACACTCTTCGAGCCACTCGGGTCAACTTGGTAGTCTGCAGGATGAAGGTCTGGCGGTTTTTGGCCAGCAGCTTGGCTCGGCCTTCATTGCGGGTGAACGGCGACAGGCCCTGGACCTCCTGACGGGTCATATGAGCACGAGGCCCTGACTCCTGGACAGAATGCAGAGTTGAGCCATAATCAAGTGATGAACACTCAAATATAAAGAGCAGTGGTCGGTGTGCACTCACAGAACCAGGCCTAGCAGCTCCTTCTAGCTGTGTGGGGGTTTTCAGACCTCCGTATTTTTTCCAGTAGATCCAGCAAGAAGCGCAGAGTCTGCACTGCATGTTCGGAGGACCCCAGGCATACCACTGAGGCGACTGGGCCGCTGGGGGACAAAATTTACTGAGGTCAGGAGACGAGACAAACGGGTCGAAGCGTTCGTCTCTTTCAGTCTTCTGTTGAGTCGCAACAGAAACCAGATTTTCCATCAGTGGACGCAGATCTGTAGATGTTTAAAAGGCTAACGGTGACATCTGGTCACATTGTCTCCCAAGTATCCAGTCACATCGAGTAGGGTTGTCACGGTAACCGGTGAAGCGGTAAACCCCGATAAAAAAGTTAATAATAATAATAATAACCGTCTTGTTTTTTTTTAATATATTATCTCGGTGGATTACCATCTTGAAGCTAAAGCTGAAATAATGGTCAAAGGAGGAGACGGCAGCACTGAGGACATTTAGTATCCCTCAAAGAAGACAAAGTGGGAAGTACGGGCATCTTTTAGATATTTGAAGAATGCCGAGGGACAGTTGATAGAAGACGACTATCCTGTTTGCAGCACGAGCAGAAAAAGTGTCTGTGAAAGGCAGCAACGCTTCAAATCTCATGACACATCTGCGTGACCATCACCCACAACTCTACAGTCAACGCAAGGCAAGCTAACGTTAGCGTTTTAGCTAAAATGCGTGATCCGAGGATTTGGGTTGAGGGAGAATGCAACGAGTCGCTATATAAAGCAGCCGCAGCGCCGCTACCTGCATATAAACCGTGTCGCGGACACCCCCATGTTGAAATGACGCTATGCATTACGGGGCTCCCAGGGGCAGATAAGAGTTGGTCTCTCTCCGAGAATAATTATGAATTTAACAATGATTACTGCCTGATGACATTTTCCCACATCTGCAAAGCTCACTGGAAGGACACAAACCGAGGACGATATTTTCCTGATATAGGGTTTATTACTCAAGTAAGGGTAAAAAAAGTATCTGATTACAAGGCTACTTGAGTACTGAGTAACATCTGATGTAATATTTTTAAATGTTGACATCAAACAGACAAAAAATAAGAAGTTATGGGCAAATATTGGTATTTTAAAGACTAAAGGGGGGAAATGTAAACAAATAAACAACATAATTACAAAATAACACATTTTAGGCTAAATTTAGACACAAACTGAGGACAATATTTCCTGATATACAGGGCTTATTTTGAAAATGTAACACGTTTAAAACAGTACTGCGATAATACCGAAAACCGTGATAAATTTGGTCACAATAACCGTGAGGTTACATTTTCACACCGAGACACGTTAGAGGTCATGGTACTCACTGTGGCAGCTCTCACAGCTGAGTCCTTTCTGGAAGCCTGCTGCTCCGTTCATACCGGGCTTGCTGCCTGGTCCCATGATCTGATTCGGGTTGGGTTTGGTGCTGATGAAGGGAGGACAGCAGGCAGAGAGGAGGGAGTTAGTTTGAAAGCCTGCAGAGCAGCGAGCAGATCCCGAGTGTCAGCTGGTACTCACTAGGTGGGGATGTACACCTGCTTGAGCTTGCTGTCTGCTTCTGCTGCCTTTAGTCGTTTCTGAGTTAGAACAACAACGGCTTATAAAACATCGTATGGACAAAATGTATTTAGTCTTTTTAAGTGTCGAGCGGGTTGCCGTAGAACCTGTTGAATGTAGCGGTCAGTGGTCTTCCACATGTAGTAGAACTGGACCACACTGGCCAGAGACTTCCAGGGCAGCTGAAGGGCAGAAAAACAAAAATGAGGGTCCTGTTTCACGAGGATGGGTAGGTCAGTAGCTAGTAGGGCTGCAACGGATCATCACTAATTCGTCTCCGCACAGATCGCTCTCTCTACGGTTCGGCACGCACACGATCCGCGGATCGGTCACGAGAAGGGCCGAGGCACCACCTGTTCAACCCAAATGTGAAATGCACAGCAGTGATTGTGGAGGAAGAGGAGGAGAGGCGCTTGGAAAACCACCAGCGTCGTTGAAGTCGCGTGTACGGAAGCATGTTGGCTTCCCTGTAAAATACAATAAAGATACAAACGGGACGTTTGAGGGTGCAGGGGGGAGGAGGTGGCGCGGGCAAAAGGCCTGGGACAACCGTTACTGAGTCTGAAATATTGGAGGGCACAAATCTGTAAGAGGACAGAAATACAAGCAGCTTCAGGCGAGGAGATGAGTGAAAACAGGCTAGGGCAAGCCGTTTTCACATTTAATCAGCAATCAGACCTCTCTCTGTTATTCCCATTTCACATAGCAATACTTTCATTTATCCTAGTACTAATTGTATTTTTGTTAGTCAGAACTGCAAATGAAGACATCAACAGCTGTGTTGTTGCTATAGCAACTATAATGAGGGATATCCATAACAACAACGACACTAGTAGGAATTAAGTCTGAGATGACTCATAATCCTCAGAAACCTACGGTGGTCTTTTTGACATTTATTAGGCAGATATCTGTTATCGTCTATTGTTCCTAGTACAGATTAACATTACAGATTTCCATAACATTTGTACTGAAATATTAAATCTAAATAGCCAAAACAACACTGACATATATTATAGAACGTAACTGCGTTAAATGAGTCTTCAGTTAAATGTTGTTTGTATTTATGTTTATGTTTATGTATTTAGCAGACGCTTTTGTCCAAAGCGACTTACAAGTGATAATCGGCATGTTGTCCTTGAGGCTAACAACAACAACAACAACAACAACTTGACATCAATCATGGAGAGGAGGGAACAAGGAGCAGTGTTGGGAAAGTTACTTTAAAAAAGTAATTAGTTATAGTTACTGATTACTTTGTCAAAAAAGTAACTCAGTTACTAACTGAGTTACAAGATTATAAAAGTAACTAATTACCAAGAAAAATAACTACTAAGTTACTTTTTTCATTAAAACATGCAAAAATTACTACAATAGTGAAATATAAATGACTGGAACATAATAAAATGTCCAAATGTTTTTTTTATAAACCTGAATAATTTAAATAAATAAGTACTTAACAGGAGGAACTACTAACAGGAACATTACACTAATCTAGACTATTAAAAGGTCACTGTGTGATATTTAACAAGACCCCAATCAGCTAACATTTAAAACTGCAAGTAGAAACACCTGTAAGGGTTCACGAGCCTTTAAACAGTCTCTCAGTCTAGTTAAATTACAGAAATAAATGTAATTTTGGACAGTATTTTAATTTTTCCAGCTTCACATAATTGTGTGTTTTTAGCAGCATTTCTGTTGCTGCTAATCTAGTAACGGTTAAATAAATAATAAAATCCTTTAAAATGACACTAGAAGAGGCACAAGCCTGATGGAGGACTTACATTTACTAACGTGGGTCAGACCCAACCACAGAAGAGCTGAAGCTGGGTGGTAAACACACACAGGAAGTTGTGATAACACCTGAGCTCCATGACGTCTGAGACTGATGCATCAGTGTTACAGCGGGACTAAAGACATGATCAGAAACAGGTTACAGCTGGATGATCTAGGAAGGTAGAAGATCAGGACGTCTGAGCGGTGAACAGGTGAGCGGACCTTCAGAACGTCCCACTGTCACGCTAAGAAGGTCACGGCTGCAGATCCACACCTGCAGCCGTAGATATTCATCACGTCTTCCTCGTTCTTCACGGCCGTGATGCTCTTGGATGAAAACATCTGCCTCTTTAGCTCCTGATCAGCTGATGACAGCTTCAACACACCGCGCTGCTTAATGCACGCTTTTCCTTATCAGTAACAGAAACGAGGTTTTGTTAAAAGAAGACGTAATTAATTAGTTTGCTCGTTACTGAAAGAAATATTTTTTATTAACGCGGTTATTTTAAACGGCGTTATTCCCATCACTGCTCTGTTGCGTCTACAGCAGGCAGTGACTGAGACAGCGAGGATCTCCGCCCACCCGGCCAATCATCATGGTGTTTGTAAGCGCGTTACCGACACCTCTCTCTCCCTGGCTGCAGCTGAAGTGTGGCGGTCAGAAAGCCTCACACTGTTGCTCAACGTTCGACAAGCACATAGTAACGCACAACCTTCCGTCCCCGGTAACGGTAACGGCGTTACAACAGTGGGAAAAGTAATTAATTAGATTATTCCGTTACCTAAAAAAGAGCGCCGTTATACTTAAACGGCGTTACTCCCAACACTGACAAGGAGTGGACAGTAGAGAGGGGGACGGGTGCAGGAGGGTGCTAGTTTAGAAGATGCTCTCTGAAGAGCAGGGTCTTCAGGAGTTTCTTGAAAATTGAAAAGGAAGCCGCTGTTCTGGTAGTGCTTGGAAGGTCATTCCACATTTGTGGAACGATGCATGAGAAGAGTCTGGATTGTCCTGAGCGTGGTGTAGGCACTGCTGGCCAACCATCCTGTGATGACCGGAGCGGCCGGGCCGAGACGTAAGCCTTTGCAAGAGGATTCAGGTAGATGGGAGCCGTACCGTCTCGGACTTTGTATGCTAGTGTTAGCAGTTTGAATTTGATGCGTGCTGCTAGCAGTATTTAACGAGCACTGAGCAGAAAAAGCTGCACCAAGTATTTAACAGAATAAACAGAGAACAAATTTAGTTTTCTTTTTTGTTTCTTTCTACAAATCAGAAAATGATCCGACTCAAAACCGGGACGCGTTTCTTTGATCTGTTGCATCTCAAGTAGCTAGTTGGTCTCTTTGTGAAGAAAGGCATGTGATGTCTTGTTACACCCAGTAGAAAACTCCATCACACTCATCCAGTGACTGGAACTTAAACATTTGGTTTGAAAACACAACCAGAAGCAAACAAAATGATTTTATAACATGATGATGTGCTACCGCTCTCATCGGCAGGAAGATTTCCTTCCTTCAGGTGACAAAACACAACAGTGTCCACTTATCTGGCTTCTCTTCTTAGCATCATGCTAACGGAGATGCTTCTCCTGCTCCATCCTGTTTGTGATGTAGCTGCACATCATAGACAGGAGCTGAGGCTACAGCTAGCTTTCCAGGAGAACTACTACTATTTTCAGTCCCTGCTCCATTGAGGTACCTGACAAGGCTGAGTCGGGCCAGCATCGTGATTCTGGCTGCTGATTGGCTAGGGGTTAGGCACCGGTTGCTCCGGAGTTTTCTGCCTTCTGTTTCACCGCCTGCAGCCATTTCCTGGTTCAGAGTCTGACAAAAAGCCATAAAACTGAGCAAAATTTCCAGCAACACCACCATTTTTGTGCTGAGCAGTGCTTCTGTGGAGCAAACAGGTTACCTTACACTGTTCACTGACCCCCCCCCCCCCATGAGGGGCGTGCCCACTTTCTGTCGTGGAGCTGCACGACAACAAAATTACACTCGGATGGGCTGACTCAGACCGCGCTGTACAGAGCTGCTGTACAGAGCTGCTGTACGCTGAGCAGAGCTCCTGGAGAACTAGCTAAAGAGGTTCGCTGCTGCTAAATAACACATTTCTACATCAGCAGACGACAGACTTAACCCTTTAGGCGCCAGAGTGTTTTCCAGTAAAATATGAGTTTTTTTATATCACTATTTAAAGCGCTCGTAGCTTAAATCTGGTTAGAGACAGAGGAATATTGTACATTAGAAAAATCTTCAGTATGAGCCAAATTTTGTGATAGGAACAAATTCACTCACATAATTTGCATATTATGACGTCATCAGGTAGCAGCCATATTGGATTGCATCACATTTGCTGATTTATTTTTTTATGTTTTTGTCTTAATTTTTTACTGTTATTGATTATGATACATATATACATATTCCTATGTAGACATATACAACTATGTATGTATATATATATATAGATAATATTTATTACTTATGTATATAATTATATACATTTATAGACAGACAGGGGCTGAATTGATCACCAGCGGAGTTTTCACCGGCCCGATCACTGCCACCACATCCCCCCCTCCCCCCTGGCACGGTGGATCAAAGGATCAGACCCGGTACGAGCCCCCCCACCACGTCTCTTTGCCCGACGCAGAACATCAGAAGAGATACGGGCTGGATGGCCTGCTTGTGTAACCGTGTCGTTGCCTGACGGACTCCGTTGCTGCGCGCTGAAGCCACGCTTTCCGTCTCGCTAGAAGACGGCAGATCATCCTCGGACAGGAAATATTCGTCCTCCAAATCCGAATCTGCCAGTACTAGACGAAGAGCTTCGTCAGCACTGAACAT